GTTTTGCACTTGCCCTTTTGAGGCCTAATGCCTCCCTAGTACTGCAAGAGCTTCTCCCCATCTTGGCAAGAAAGAACCCTGAAACCCTTCTGGGCCTTCCTCCACATTTTCTCGCTGTAGGGAACCATCCCCATCTTCCTCAAGCCTGGCACTGACACCGAGACCAGTCCAGGTGCCACAGGTTTCCGGTGAGCAGCTGAGCGGCAGTGGTGCTAACCCTCCAGGAGCACCGCCAGAGGTGGAGCCCACCCCTGGGAACTCTGGCCCCCAGCAGGCAGCTCCTGTGCTGTTGCCACGACGCCGGGTCAATGTGGACAGCAGTTGGACCCCCAAGAGAGTGGGCACCGCCAACCCCTTAGGTGGACTCCAGAAAGCCCAGTCCGTCCAGAGTCTGCCATCACAGGGTGAGGAGCCTGCTGGGCTCAGCCCCAGGGTGTGGGGAGTGTGGAGCACATGAGCGTGCTGGGGGAAAGAGGGCCTAGTGTAGCCCTAGTGTGTGAGTGTGCTTGCCACTGGGTGTCCTTTAGTGGGTGTGTGCAGGGCACAGCAGCTCTTCAGGAATTGAGCCTTGGCACCTGGGATACCTTCCTTACTACCTGACCTGCATCATCTCTGTCTCCTCAATAGGTGGGGCATTTCCACCAGTCACATTACTCTTACGGGAGATGGAAGCCCAGGAGGGCCAACGTTCCCTGCCCCAGGCTAATGGTCGTCTGTCTCGGCCCCACTCCTACCAGAACCCTACCACCAGTTCGATGGCCAAGATATCCCGCAGCATCTCTGTTGGGGAGAACCTGGGCCTGGCAGCCGAACCTCAAGCTCCTGTCCCCATCCGGGTCTCACCTCTCAGGCAGCTGGCCCTGCCCAGCCGGGCTCACCTGGTCCTGGACATTCCAAAGCCACTACCTGATCGTCCCACCCTGGCCACATTCTCACCTGTTACCAAGGGCAGGGCCCCTGGTGAGGCAGAACAGCCTGGCTCCCCAGTGGGCCTAGGAAAGGCTCACAGTACATCTGAAAGGCGAACCTGTTTAGGGGAGGGTACCTCTCCCAGACCTAGGACAGAGTGCCAGGTCCAGCCTGGGCCCAGCAGCCCTTGTGCCCAGCACCTGTCAGTCGGCAGCCACCTCCACGACCCTGAGAACTTGCAGCCCCCACCCCCTGAGAAGACTCCCAGCCCCATGGAGTGCATCAGGCCAGGGGCAGCCCTAAGCCAGGCCGCAGGTGTGCACAGCCCCCCAGCTTTCATCTCCTGCCCCATCCTCTCTCTCCCGTCTCTGTTGGCCGCTCTCTGGCTCCATCCCATTTCTGTGCGTCCAGCCTCTGGCGTTTTTCGTCCTGTCTGCTCCCGTCTCGGTCCATAAGTCACACCCCTGATGGTGAGACACTCCTGCTAACCTCATGATCTCCCTGTGACCCCCTTGTCCCTCAGTACCTTCTGGCCTCTGGGGCTGTCCCTTTTTCTCTGGACCTTATTTTCTGTGTGGTGTCGGGAGGGCGTTGGGAAGGAAGAGGCAAGAGGAAGGGACTGAGGACAAGTGGTGGTGGGGGTGGTATGATGCTGGAGGGTAGGCCTGTCCTGCTTGGAGTGGCCATGGGTGGGGCGGCCTGAAAGGGCAGCTGTGCTGTGCCTGAGCTGTATCTGTCTCTCCCAGAACCAGCAGTAAGCTTGGAGCAGTGCGAACAGCTTGTGGCAGAGCTCCAGGGCAATGTGCACCAAGCTGTGCAGCTCTACCATTTGGTACGTATTGGGCACCCACAGGTGGGGAGACAGAGCATGTCAGGAGTGCTACCTGAGTATCCAGAACATAAAGATAAGATTCTCCCACTGATGGGTGGGTGGAGCAATCAAGAACATCCTGGGCAGAGGAGGTGAGGGAGTTAGAGGCCAGGCTGGGCCATTTGAACCAAGCGCCTATTAGTTATTTCTGGCTAAGAGCTAGAGACTTCCTTAGACAAGAGCTAGCACCCACATGTCCTAATTTGCTTAGGACCACCTCAGTTTGTGCCATTTGTCCCACTGTAATTACTAATAGTACCCCTTTTCATGTTCAAAAACCATTTGGCCACTTTGGACATGGGGGCAGTTCAGCAGGGCCACACCTCGAAAGAGGCGTTACTAACAAAATGCAGATGGTGCCATAATCTGAAGGGCTCTTCCTTTTGGGTCACCCCAGAGTCTGCCTCCATCCCATAGCCTTTGGTCATACTTGCTGATCTTGGAGTGTGGAACTCCCAGCCATACCCCGCTGGGCATGCAGTCCCTTCTTCGGGGGGCAGGCTACCTAGGTGGGGCCCCTCCTTTTTATAGGTTTGTTGACAGGTCCCTTCACTGTTCTCCAACCCACTTTCTGGCTCCTGTTGCAGGTGGCTAGCTGCAAGACACCCTCAGTGGAGCAAAGTCGCATCACCCAGCTCCTCAGAAATACCTTCTCTTCAGTGCGGCAGGAGCTAGAGGCCCTGGCTGGGACAGTGCTGTCCAGCCCGGGTGGGAGCCCTGGGGCCGTGGGAGCTGAGCAAACACAGGCCCTACTAGAGCAATACTCAGAGCTGCTGCTTCGAGCTGTGGAGCGGCGTATGGAACGCAGACTCTGAATTCCAGAAACCTGTTTCAAGTGAATGCTTCCCCTATTCCAAACCAGCCCCTCCTCCACTCACTAAAACCTGTGGGGATGCTTGGAGTGGATAACAGCGATCAGTGCTCAGAGGGGAAGCAGCTTTCCCAGCTGTTCCTCACGGGGCCCCTGTATTTATTAATTTATTTCCCTGACTGTTGCCTCACTTACCTGGAACTCCTGCCTCCACAGCCCCTCCAGTGGCTCATGCAGGGGTTAGGTCTGGGTCTTTGTCATCTTGGTGCTGTGAAGAGTAGGAGGGCGGCCTGCCCCCTCTGGGGGAGATCAGGAAGGGCTGGCCCTCTGTCTTCTTAGAAGCCATTTGAAATTACTGCAGGGATCAGCTCCCTGCGGTGGAGCACACAAACAGGGTATTTAGTGGGTAGAGGTGAGCGATAATGTGATATTCAGTGCCCATCAGCCAACAGCGGAGCAGAGTCTCTCCTCTACCTCCACTTCCCCTCCCACACCAGCTGCACTTCCCTGGCTGCCAGAGCAGGAGTTACCCATTTTCTCCAATTCCTGGCAGTTCAGAAAGGCGAGCCCTCTGGCCCTCCAGGGCATTCCCAGCCTTCAGGAGTCTTGAGTTTGTATCAAGGCCTAAGCCCCCACATTCCACTCCCATTCCCCCTCCAAGAGGGCCCTAGCATTGTCTTTCTCCCTGTGCCCCCTTTATGTCTTTGGCAGAACTTGTAAAGCCAGCTGTGGGATGTTGCTGCGGGACAGTAAAGCCCTCTGCTAGGCAAACATCAAGCCCTGGCTCCTTTCCTCAGCCCTTTGGTCTTCCCTATCCTCCAACCCTGGTCCCCAGTAGGCTGTTGGAGCCTAGAGGCCATCTTCTCCCTGCATCCTGAGTGATGCTCAGTCAGAAGCCTGTATTGGAGTTTCCCTCATGGTTTACAGGGCGCTGGCTCACCTTCTAAAGAGCTTAGCCCATACCCACACACACGCGCACACACACACACACACCCCAGTTGCGTGTTCATTGCTAGAGTACTTGGCTGACCGATGTGTGCCTGGTTTCCTCTCATGTCCTGCCCCAGCTTCACCACCCTGGCTCATGTGGAATGCCCCTCAAGAAGCACGAAAAGAGATGGGACACACTAAACCCCAATTCTGGATTCTTAGTGCCCACAGTCTAGGTGATACGAGATGGCCCATAAGGTATACCCATTTTGGGTAGTGCTCAAAGGCAGTGATGGACACCTGGCTGCTCTGGATATTGGAGGTTGAGGGGAGGGAGGCATATGGGACTGCAGCAGGGGCCAAGAGACACAGGTAGGAGGGACAGGTAAGTAGTGGAGGTGAGGGGATAGATTAGAATTAGAAGGGCACTAAACTTAGTGTGAGGGGAAGGAGATAGGTCACAGTGGGCAGGTAGACTAGGACCAAGTAGTGAAGCAGTTCTTGAAGAGTTGGAGTGAAGAACGTGTCTTTGGGCCCTACTGCTTCCCTCTGCCTCTGATAAGGCAGGGCAGCTTTTAATATATATAGCTCCAGGCCCCAAAAGCCCATTCTGAGGACAGGCCTCTGGGCCCTGCTGGTTTTATAGGCAGAGGCTTAGAAAGAAATTCGATACTGAAGGGTGCCTAGCTCTGGATCAGCCTGAGTGCACCTAAACAGATGAACCCTATTTCACCGCCACTCTATCACCACCTGTATGGCCAATCTGCAGGAAAATTCTGGGCCCAAGAACTCTGACAGCTGAGGGTGGTCCCCCATCCCCAACCAGCACACCAGCTATGCCCACTCTGAATAGGGCTCAGGCCGACCCCTCTGAGTGGGGTTCTTGGTGATCTTAGCCAGCCAGCACTTCACAAGCAGGGAGCAAACTCCAGCTAGTTTGTGAGAAGGTGGCCGCCCTTTCCCTACCCTGAACCCAGCGAGGGGGTTTGTCTTGTGGCCAGGCTAGCGCCCATTCCCTTCTGCATGTCTGAGGCCAACGGCAACTGCTGGCCCTGTCCAGATTTGCCCTGACCCAGTTTTGAAAACCCCTTATTTATAACTTTTTATATTTTGTCCCGGCCCTGACACTTTACTCCTCCCCAGGTCTCACGGGGGAGGGGCTGTTTTTAACATGTCTTTGTACTGATGTATGAACTGGTCAATAAACAGTCGTTTGTTAACTCTGGGACAACAGCAAGTGGGGCAGGCAACAGAAGGCGTTCCTCGCTTGTCGTGTGGATGGCTGAATCCCGCGGGGCACTGGCGGCGGGGAGAAGTGGTGGGGGTGCTGAATCCAGGTTGCGGACTTTAAGAGGTTGGGGCAGGACAAAGCCTCGGGTGGTGCGGGTTGCCCGAGTGCGACGCAAGTAGCGGGGACGGGCGGGACCTCGGGGCGGCGGGCGGGACCTCGGGACGGTGGGCGGGACCTTGGGGCGGTGTTGGCGTTATGGCGGAGGCGGCTTTGGACGCCGTGCGGAGGGAGTTACGAGAATTCCCGGCGGCCGTAAGAGGTGAGTGGGTACGCTCAGGGTGTGGCGTCCTGGCGTTGGCTCCAGATCAGTCTCAGGACGCGGGAGGAGCTGTGGGCTTGCCGGTGGCCGGGTTCCGGAATTGTGTGGCACTGGTGCCTCCTTAACGCAGACACCAGGCCGTACCCACGAGGAGCACACATTCTGGTGCACGTGACTGGTTGATGCCTCCTCTCCGACCACTCTTATGTCTACCCTCCGCCTCCAAGCCCGCGGGTGGGGGTCCTCAACAGCCCTCCTCGCGTGTATTCATGCCCTTCTGGCTTCCTGGGGTGACTATTTGGGTGCTGTCCTATTTCCCACATCCAGCCCCGCGCTGAATAATTGGGAGCCTGTTGTTACCCTTCCCACCCTTTTCCTGTCGTGAAGTGTTTCAGATGGTTGTATTCTCCCTCTTTGAACTCCTGCTGGAACTCTATTTAAGAACAGACTTCTGCAAGCTGGGGAGCCATGCAGAGCTTGGGGAGAATTGGGGGCAGCTGTACAAGTGATCCCAGGCTCCCCGCTGCTTAGTTTTTATTTTCCTCCTTCCTCTTTTCCTTCATTCCTCCCTGCCTTCTCTCTATTTTTCCGTGATTTCTCACCAGTAAATAGAACATGGGCACATGGTTTAAAAAGCAATGGCTTTATAACGTCAGTAAGCTTTCTTCCCATTCGATATCGCAGTTTGCATTCTTCCAAAAATACTGTTTATATTCACACACATACCTCCCTTTTTATACAAATGATAGCCTGCCAAACACACTTTTCTGCGTTATGTATCTTGGAGATCATTCCATATCCCTGTACTGCAACCTTTTTCACACCTGGGTACTAGTGCTGTAATTTACATAATCAGCCCACTGCTGTTAGGCATTGAGGTCATTCCCAATCTATTGTTTTCAATAGTGCTGTAACGAATACTTTGGGTATTCATTTAACAAATACAGCCATGTGACACATGTGAAGCGAGGTAATTTCGTTGTGCAAGCATCATAGAATGATGTTTACACAAACCTAGATAGTATAGCTTACTACTATAATTGTCTGTGCTTTATGTACTTATATTTGACTGCCAGCATCACCAGAAAACTTAAAGGACCACTGTTGTATTTGTGGTCTGTCATTGACCAAAACATTTTTATGTAGCCTATGACTATTCTTGAGCCCTTCAGTGTGCTAGGCTGTGTTCAGTGTGTTAGGATACATCACGGAACAATACCAATCTCTGCCCTCGCAGACCTTGCAATTGTAAGTGAGGAGACAAACAATGAACCATAGACACACTAAATAAGAAAATTATATAGTAGAAGGAATGGGTTACAAGGTAAGTGCTATGGGGGAGAAAAACAAACCAGAATGATTGATCTCAGGATGCCTTCAGGTGGAGGACAGGTTACAGTTTTTTTTTAATTTAATCTTTATTGCATTTTTTTCCCATTACCGTTTAGTCCTCTTATACCTCCCTCCCCCCAGCAATCAGCAGTGTTTTCCATGACCATGAGTCCTTTAGGTTACAATTTTATTTTTATTTCTTTTCACACTTTATTCATTTATTTTATTTTTTATAATTTATAAATCATGTTTATTCTATTAGAGTTGTCTCAATTTTTCCCTCTTTACCCCCCTCCACCCATCCCGCCCCACCTCCTGCTCCCACAGTCAATTCCCACTCTGTTGTCCATGTCCATGGGTCATTCATACGTGTTCTTTGTCCAGTCCCTTCTTCTTTCCACCGTTGTCCTCTTTCTCCATCCCCTCTGGTCACTTTCAGTCTGCTCCATGTTTCCATGCCTGTGCCTTATTTTGTTTGTTTGTTTATTTTGTTGAATAGAGTCCACTTATAGGTGAGATCATTTGGTATTTGTCTTTCATCAGCTGCCTTATTGCACTTAGCTTAATATTCTCCAGTTCCACCCATGTTGTCGCAAAAGGTAGGAGTTCCATCCCTCTTTCCTTCCCTCCCTTCCTTCCTTCCTTCAATGCAGATTGACTTTATTTATTTTTTTAAATGTCACAGTTAATTATAAAATATTAAAAAATTAAGACCATTATAAAGTCTCAGCAATTAAACCAACATGACACCAGCACAGAAATAATCAAGTAGATCAATGAAATATAATGAGCATTCTAGAGACAAACATATATATCTGTCTAACAATGTAATGTATGATTAAGTTGATATTTTGAATCAATGGGTAAAATAAGGCTTATTTAACAAATAAGGTGCATGGACCAGTATTACTTGAAATAAAACAAATATAGAGCCCTATTTCACACATTATACAAGAAATACTCAGGTGAGTTAAAAACCAATATGTAGAATCCAAGGAATTTTAGGAGGAAATATAAACTAATATTTTTCTTACCGTGAAGTAAAATATTGACAATATGACTACATTAAACATTTAAGACTGTACAGTAATATACATATAAAAAAAAGTTAAAGGACAAGTAATAGAATAGGAAAGTATTTGCAACACATCTAAAAAAAGGTTAATGGTTTTTGGGTTTTTTTAGGGAAAAAATTCTACAAACAAAACATGGATAAAAAATTAGGTTACAATTTTAAATAATATGGTCAGCGTAGGCCTCCTTGACAAGGAGACATTTGAGCACAGGCTGGGAGGTGGGGAGAGTGCGCTGTGCAGACCCATGAGAGAAGAGCACCGGGGAAACGGGCATGGACGGCACGCGTCCTTAGGTGGGCGCCTGCCTGGTGTGTCCAAGGAGCAGCGAGGGGGTCGGTGTGCCTGGAGCAGAGTCTTCGTGCACAGTGCGGGTATTTTTGTTGGCTAAATTTCTAGCAGAAGGATTGTTGGGCCAAAGGAATTGTTTGGATTCCTTTTGAAATTCCCTCACTTTGAAGCTCCAGGAGAAAACAGTAGCCATTCTCTAAAGGAAAACTGTTAAATGGTGAGAAAGTAAAACTGAAGTAGCGGCAGAAAGTACAGAGTGTTAAACAAACAAACAAACAAAACCACCAGTTTTGGTGTACTTTAAAAGTCCTAGTGAGGATAATAGGGAGATTTACTGAGCCCCACATCCCCGTCCCCCACAATGTGACTGCTTTGATGGGCTGGTGTGACTGAGAAGGCCTTCTGCCAATTTCTTCCCCCCAATCCCTCACCTGCTTGGCAGGTTCCATCTTACCCTCGTGCCAGTGAAGAATGGCTTGTACGCATGCTAGCTCTTTTCAGTTTTCCTGGGCCCACCAGGGTCTGCCTTCCCACTCAGTTCCAATCTTTGATCTAATGACATTCACTTTCTGTCTGATTGCAAGGCAGAAACTACCGGTGAGACGTGGTTGTGAGAGATGGACCATGACCTTGGAGGTGGAAAGAATGCAGTGGCCACTTGGAGAAGGACGCAGTAACCTCTCATTGGGGGTTAAGACATTCAGGCTAGATGTCAAGGATGAAAATAACAAAGCCAAGCCCTGTACCCTTTATAAAAGCCAGGAGAAAGGCATTCCAGTCCGAGTGAACAGTAGGAAGTTTCGTACTGCCCCAGCAGTGTGTGGTAAGGTGTAGGCACCAGACAGGAGGAAACCAGACTGGAAAAGTGGGTTGGGCCTGAGTGCATGCCAAGGCAGACAGAATGTCGTAACAAGTAGTGGTAAGTCATCAAAGGATTTTTCTACTGGGGGTGTGACAAGATGACATTGTCTTTTAGGAAGATGATGGGGGCCAGTGTGAGGGGTGCTTTGAGAGGGAGTGGAATTAAGCCAAGGAAACCAGTTAGTTCACTGCAGCAACCGTCCAACCAAGAGATGCTGGAGACTGGAATTCAACCATTAAGCAAATACTTACTGAGTGCCTATAGTGTGTTAGACGGTGGTAAATGATAGGGAGAGAGAAAAGTAGAGGGAGTGGTATAAGGGTTTTTGGGAGGTTATAGTTTTTAAAAGGGAGGCTGGGTGGGTGAGCGGGTTAGGGGGAGACTTACTGAAGTGACATTTGAGGATCTAAAGGAGGTAGGTGAACGTGGATACCAGTAGACAAAAAAAGGAGGGGTAGCCTGAGAGAAAAAGGAGGTAGAATCAATAGGACTTGGAGAAAATGAATAGGATGATAGGAGTGAGGGAGAAGGAAGAGTCAGAAAAAGATTTTTATTAAGGTGGCACAGGGCCACTGTAGACACCTGCACAGGCGGCACACTGCACACCCTGCGCGGGTGCTCATGGCAGCCTGGGGGTCTGAGGATGGTGATGCTGTAGCCCTACTTTTCCTCCTATGGTTTTGTGAGGTGGTCTGGCTCCCCAGTTTGGTTGTAGGCTTCCTGAGAGGATGACTGGATCATCCTTCCATACGTCCATATTGACCAAGCCAAGTACTGAGCACATTCTAGGTGCTCAGTCAATGTCACTGTTAGAGAGTGCTTCCCAGGGCCTCAGCCCTCCCACACCAGCCCATAACCTTGGGGCCTCAGCTCTACTCATTCTGGAGTTCCCAGTGTCATTCAGTGGCTTCCGTTCCTAATGGATGCCAGGAGGTTAGCCACTCCAGAGTGGGAAAACTGAGGAGTCCATGGTACAGGCCAGACATAGTCCCATGGGGGGGTTTGGGTTATGGACTGAGCAGCAGCCCCTGGCCCTGTTGACTTCTGTGGCCCATAGTAGTGTGCCTGTGGGTCCTGGGCTTTCTCTCTTAAACTTCCCTCCTTGTTCTTCAATTCCTGATTGTCTGGGATTGTCATTGGTGATCCCATGGTCACCGATGAGCATCATCTAGGGACACAGTGTGGCCTGCCCACGGAGGGCGTCTCTTATGAAGACGGGCAGCCACTGGGTGCTGTTGGCTTCAGCTCTCCCTCGCCCCCCATTCCCATCTTTCTCTCAGAGCTCAGCGTGCCTCTTGCTGTGCCCTACCTGGACAAGCCCCCAACTCCACTTCACTTCTACCGGGACTGGGTCTGCCCCAACAGGCCCTGCATCATCCGCAGCGCCCTGCAGCACTGGCCGGCCCTCCAGAAGTGGTCGCTCCCCTACCTCAGGTTGGGGCTGCCCCAGTGGGATGTGGGCGGTGCTTTGTGGCATCTGGGCAGAAGCCGAATGTCCATTCTTCCAGAGCCACAGTGGGCTCCACAGAGGTGAGTGTGGCTGTGACCCCAGATGGCTATGCGGATGCCGTGCGAGGGGACCGCTTTGTGATGCCTGCCGAGCGCCGCCTGCCCCTGAGCGATGTGCTGGATGTGCTGGAGGGCCGAGCCCAGCACCCAGGAGTCCTCTATGTGCAGAAGCAATGCTCCAACCTGCCCACGGAGCTGCCCCAGCTGCTGCCTGATCTGGAGCCCCACGTGCCCTGGGCCTCCGAGGCGCTTGGTGAGTGAGTGGAGCTGGGGGCCTTGCTTACTTCTCTCCCTTCAGTGGTGACTTGCCCATACTCTTGGCCTCACAGGCTTAGGTGTTATGTACTAAGTGCTCAAGTTCCCAGGCCTCGACTTTATGTCAATGAACTACTAAAGATTGCCGTCCCTCGCCAGTGGTCCACCTCTGCCCTTTCTCCCTTCTCTCCTACTGCGACCCCTCTGCTCCCCACCCAGGTTCTGGCCCAGCATCACTGTAAGGTGGTTATTCCCAGCCTGGCCTTTGGGACACCCTCTCCTAACACCTTTCCTCTGACCTACAGGAAAGATGCCCGATGCTGTGAACTTCTGGCTGGGGGAGGCGGCTGCTGTGACATCTTGTAGGTATCAGGTGGGGAGGAGACCAAGAATGGAAGGTTGGGCCCAGACAAAAGTTAGGCTGACTTTCCCCTAGGATTCCTTCTGGGATTCTGGGCTTGGACACAAGAGAGGGCCTCCCCTGACAGCTCAGGTTGGGGAAGGTAACCGTGGTACTGGGGGTGGAGGGCACTGTTTCTTCTAGGTCCCTAGAAAGCTTCCCAAAGGCCAGTTTGGTCAGGGGGTGAACTGAGGGGAGCCCTGTTTGCTAGAATTTCCCTCTTGGTGGACATGAGCCCAGGACCTGGCAAGTGCCAAGTCCCTGGAGGGCAGAGATGGGAGATGCCTGAAACTTGCCAGGCTTCCTCTCAGATCTGCTCTGACACTGTGCGCTCTCCTCTGACACTATAGTCTGTCTCGGGGCACAGGTCCCCAGCATGACTGTTGGCCCTTCCTGTGCCCTGCCTGTGGGGACTTCTTTGTGTTGGCAGTGCATAAGGACCACTACGAGAACCTCTACTGTGTGGTCTCTGGAGAGAAACACTTCCTGCTACATCCACCCAGTGACCGGCCCTTCATCCCTTATGGTAGAGGACTTGGCCTGCAGGGGGCGGTTCTGGGGAGCAGGCAGCCCAAGGTGGAGGGAGGGCAGCGAGGGTCCTGGACAGGCTGGTGCCCTAGGCCTGAGTTGTGGACACCGTGTTTCCATTGCTCTACGGCTCCTGACCTTCTTGCCCCTCTACCCAGGGAACAAGTAAGTGGGGGTGGCTGGCAAGCTGCAGGCCATTTGAGGGTCCCCACACCTTTCTCCCCCTGGTTTCAGAGATGTACACACCAGCAACCTACCAGCTAACTGAAGACGGCTCCTTTAAGATGATAGATGAGGAGGCCATGGAGAAGGTGCCTGTCTTGTTCCTGGGCCCCAGAGAGAGGGAAGCTTAGGAACCCGGGCTCTCAGGAGCTGGTACAAGAGCTGGGGTGGTGGCACTGTGCCCTGAAAAATCCTTAAGTCTGGGGCCTCCCAGTGCTGAGCAGGGCAAAGCCCGAGAGATTTACCTTTGGAAGAGACGGATTTGGAGGGCCTGGGGCTTCGGGCCTGTCCCCTGGCATCCACTGTGTCTCAGGTGCCCTGGATCCCGCTGGACCCATTGGCTCCAGATCTGGCTCGGTACCCCAGTTACAGTCAGGCCCAGGCCCTTTGCTGCACCGTTCGGGCTGGCGAGATGCTCTACCTGCCGGCTCTGTGGTTCCACCATGTCCAGCAGTCCCATGCCTGCATTGCTGGTAAGGAGCTGCCCATCCGCCGGTGGAAGGACCAGCAGGGCATCTGGCAGATGGGTGAGGGAGGCTGTGGGTTAGAAGGGGGACCCTCATGCTCAGGTCTCATTCTCCCTGCAGTGAATTTCTGGTATGACATGGAGTATGACCTCAGGTACAGTTACTTCCAGCTGCTTGACTCCCTCACTAAGGCCTCAGGCCTTGACTGATGGAGCCTGGTGAATATCATTGCCAAGGACAATTCGTGGAAGATGTTGCATCCCTCCTGGGCTAGGTGAATTCTGGAGGCAACATGGAGTCAGAGTGTGCTGGCTCCTCACCCAGGTCAGCTTGCGACCAGCTTTGCCAGATCTCTGGAGGCGCCCTGGAGGACAGGAGGCCCTGGACGGGTGTGGGCGTGGGCCCACGCAGGCGAGGCAGCGTTCTGTGCTGCAGGAGCGGCCGGGCTCCAGGTGCACGCTGCCTTTCACCTCCGTGACCTGGGGTGTGTTAGTGCCTCGGAGCATTGGTGTCCTGTCTGTACAACAGACAACGATTGTTCCTACCTCACTGGACTTGGAGATGCTATCTGTAAGCACAGCGTGAGGTTGGCCCGGAGGAATTGTTCAATAAATGATAGCTGTGATTCATGTGTGCTGGTATTTCCTTTCGAAATTGCCTTATGTGGTCTGGTGAGGGCTGGAAGGTTCAGGTAAAATTTTGAGGGTGACATTGACTGGGGGTGAGGGCTGGGCCCAGGCCTGGGCCTGAGGAGCTCTCTGCTGCCAAGACTTCTCTGTTCATGACAGCTCTTTTAGCACCTCTTAGCAAGCAGGCTGACCTGTCTCCTCGTAATTCTTTGGCACAGGCCTCATTGATTTGGGGCCCGAAAAGCTCTCCCTAGCTCTTTCTCCTTCCCTCCAGCTCTAGGGCAGCTGGTGGGGTCTGGTGCCTTTAGGGTCACGCCTGTTCCTCCCACAGCAAGCACAGGTAGGAGGGAACAGAAGCCCCTGCCCCTCCTGAGACTGTTCCTGCGTGGAAGGAGTGGGTCTCCGCACTCAGACTCCCTCCTCCCGCCAACCCAGCCCTGGAGATGCAAGAGCCCCCTTTCCCGAGTGCCAAACCACAGGCCGCGTTCACGGTCGCCCAGCACCTGGCTCCGAGGATGGAGGCAGCTGCCTTTGAAGGGCTGTTTCATAGAACAAACCACACCCCTGCCAGGTCATTGTGGGGCCTGGGGCACTCCGCTCAGATTGTCCAACCATTTCAGTCAAGACTGGGTATTCCTGTCCTACCGGGCGTGGGGAGGTTGGGAAAAGCCCTGCCGTGAGGGACCTGGCTCTTCCTCTTCCTTTGCCTGTGGCTCTGGGCCCACCCACTGCTTCCCAGACCTAAGTGCTTCCTCCAGGCCCCACCTTCAGTTTCTCCCTGCTCAGCCTCTGACCGTGAGCTCTCCTGGCCCCTCCTCTGGGTGAGGAGGGAAAGCAGCAGTTGGGCCAGATGGGCACAGATGGTGACGGCTGGAGAGAATGGGCATGGGGGTGTTAAGCCACCACCACAGGGAGGTCAGTGGCTTCATAAAGGTTTAAGATGCCTCATTTCCTGGACAGGTGACTGGTCCAGGAATAAGTATGGGGCTTGGGTAGAGCGGAGGCGGTTGGGAGGGACCAGGGAGGAGCTTGGAGCCAGCTGGGATATCCCTGGCCCTGGATTACACAGCTGACAGTCCTCAGTTTTCCAGCCACTGCCTGTCATTCTTGGCTCCAGAGGACTCTCAGCCTCATGGCTCTGGTAAGACAGAGAACTGGGCCCCCACTCTAACCCCTGGCCTTCCCAGGGCCTGGTTAATGCTCTTCCTTAGCAGAGGTGTGGGTTTCTTGGACCAGGGTGGTATGCAGCAGCCAGGGAAGAGGCAGGGTCTTGGGATGAGGGACCATCCTGGGTTCCTCCCCTACGGATAGGCTCCAAGCAGAGCTGCCTGGCACTGTGGACCTGGGCCCTGGTAACTCAGGCTCCCAGCCGCTGTCCTGGGGCCCCAGGAGGCAGTGGCTGCTCCAGTGCTCCTTCTGACACAGTTGCTGGGGGCGGGGGGGTACCCAGGGCTGACACTGATAGATGAGCTCCCCTGGCTCCTCTCTGGACTCTGCCAGGGCCCTTCCTGAGGTGGGGCTGGAGGCCAAAAGGAAGGATTGGTGGGCACAGATTCTCCCTGTCTTGGCCACCTGCCAGTGTTCACATCCTCAGATCCAGGGTTATGGTTTTGGATGGAGCCGCCTGAGGACCATTGCTAGCCTGACCTTGTAGGAGCTGAAGGACTTGACAGTTTGTGGGCGGTATGGCCCGGTGACTGCTGTCTCTACCATAGCAGACAGCCTCTATCCAGAATTGTTCCCTGGCCAGGGTGGAGAGTGTAGAGGTGGGGAGCAGCTCAACCAGGAGGCCCAAGGCTAGGCTGGGCCCTGCCATACCTCTTCCCTGGCCCCTACCGCCCAAGGCCAGCCTCGGGACTGCTTATTAAGGGTGTGCTAGGGATGCAGGTGAAAGACTATACCAGCAAATGGAAGCAGGTAAATATGGGGACTGAGAGTGCAAGTCTGGAGCTAGAGCCTGGTCCAGTTCTGGCCCTGAACCTTGAGCCAATGGCTACTTAGTCTTCCTGCCTCAGTTTCCTTGTGGGGTTGGTCATAAGTGGTCCCCACACATAGGGCGTTTGTGTGATTAAATGAGTTAATGAACAAAAAGAACTTGTTCCGGAGCTGGCCCAGAGCGGTGCGAAAGTGTTGGCAGGCATCGCCGGTCATCAGCAGGCGTCACAGCCTCTTCCCTTCAGGATGGTGGCTGGGCCGGGCTGGGCCTTGTGGTTCAGGATGAGGTCTCAAGGGGTCTCCCTTGCCTCCCCTTAGGCCCTTGTCTCCTTTGGGTCTCTCTGCCTGCAGTATGCCTGTCCCTTTCTCTCTCCCCTGCAGGCAAAGGTACCGGGGACCTGCCTGCTCACCATTCGTGTCCTGCAGGCCCGTGGCCTGCCCTCCAAGGACCTGGGTGAGTGCTGGGCCCAGGGCGGCCAACAAAAACTCAGGGGCAGTGCAGGCAGGGCAGGGGCGGACGGAAGAGATGCAAGTAGGGCTGGGTGTGCGGGGAGCTCCAGGAGAGGGTGCCGGGAGGAGGCGCTGGGCAGAGGGTCAGGGCGGAGGCTCTGCCTCTGCTCTCCCTGCTGCCTGACCCAGCCCCATTCCTTGGGTCTCTAGGTCTTCCTGGCGTCCTGCAATGGAAGGACATGGACTTTGGGTGGCTGGGCTGGGAAGGGCTCTTGGCTGTCCACCACCAGGTGCCCCTTCCTCCTTCCCACAGTGACCCCCTCTGACTGCTATGTGACTCTGTGGCTGCCCACGGCCTGCAGCCACAGGCTGCAGACACGCACCGTTAAGAACAGCAGAAGCCCCATCTGGAATCAGAGCTTTCGCTTCCGAATTCACAGCCAGCTCAAGGTGGGCCTGGAATCAGCCTGGACCTTCTCACTGCCCCCGTCCCCTCCCAGCCCTTTGTTCCCTGCCCCAGTCACCTTCCTACTCCACCCTGCCACCCCACAGCTCCCTTACTCTATTCCCCTTCCAGAACGTTGTACAACTCCAAGTCTTCGACCAGGACTTTTTGACCAGCGATGACCCTGTGTTGTCGGTGCTATTTGACGTGGGGACTTTGCGGGCTGGAGAATTCCGCCGCGAAATCTTCCCCCGGAACCCTCAGGCAAGGCTGCATCCAGGGCAGGGGAGGGCCCCGCCCTGGGGAGGGGAGATGCTTACACTGCTTCCCTGGCATCTCAGAGGCCTCTGTCAACCAGTAGCTGCAGTCCCTTGAGAAGCAACCCCATACCCAACCCTCCTGTTTGACGCCTAAGCCAAGGGCAGCTTTCTTGAGGCAGCCCGGCGAAGGCGGACAGTGCAGCCTGGGGGTGGGCAGTGGCCTTCCCACCCCCAGGGGCCCGGCAGCCCCAGCTGGCGTCTGCGTTGGAATCTACCCTCTCCCTCTCTCTTCCCCACCCCTCCCTCTCTCCCTTTCCCCACCTCTCTCTCTCTCTCTCTCTCTCCCCCCTCACTATTTCTAACTTGCTCCTTTCTCTTTCCAGGGCAAGGAGCAGCTGGAAGTTGAATTTCGGCTGCAGAGTCTGTGAGTTGGGGGCCACGGGACAATTCCCGGGTGGGAGTGCTTCCTTCTTAGGAGGGCAGGGCCCAGGGCAGCCAGAGCCGACACCCTGCCCTGGCAGACATCCAGCGGAGGAGGAGGGGTGCCCAGGCCTCCTCGGGGTCAGCGCCGGGGGACCTGGACTCCCACTTAGGGTCACTGGGGGCTCTTTTCAGGGCAGACTGTGCTGAGCAGCTCGTCAGCAATGGCATCCTGGTGGTGAGTTAAGAACCCCTCCCTCAAGGCATCTGTCTGTCGTTCTCCCCCCGCCCCCGCCCCCGGAGCTTCAGGCCCACCATGGGGGTCGGGGACAAAGCTGAGTCGGGGCTGGGGGACCCTGGGATTTCAGTTCCTCAAGAGGATACAACCTCAAGCAAGTGTTTGGTGACTCAGGTCAAGGTCACAAAATGCAGAGGAACAAGCACCAGGATGCAGGGCGGGTGGGGGCCTCTAACGGGGAGGGGTTCACGCCTGAGGGCCTCTCTTAATGACTCAGGCCCGGGAGCTCTCCTGCTTGCATGTTCGACTGGAAGAGACTGGGGACCAGAAGGGTGAGTCCCTGACCCCCTGGGATAGCCCTCAACTCTTGTCTTCCCCTTTTTGAGGGGAACCTGGTGGGGACCTTGCACTAGAAGCCCTCAGCTCTCGGGCAGAAGGAGGGGTTGGGGGGCAAATCCATGCTGGGGCTTTTCCCCTCAGTCCTCAGAGGGGCTGTAGAGGGGACAGTCCATCTCCAGCCTCATCCTGGGCCAGACGCCCATCTCAGTGCGGGGAGGGAAGTGCTCCCAGGCCCCTCGGGCAAGGCAACGGCCTCTGTGGGCCTAGATCCTATGCCCAGACTCTCTGCTCTGGTTGCTTTTTCCAGAGTCAGAGAGCAGAGTTCAGCTTGTGGTTCCCGGGTCCTATGAAGGTCCACAGGAGGCCTCAGTGGGCACTGCCGCCTCTTCCTGCTTCCACTACCCGGCCTGTTGGGAACAGGAGCTGAGTGTTCATCTGCAGGTAGCGTGCCTTGTGCTCCCGTGAGGGGCCCACAGAGCCTCCCCCCCTCCCCTCAGCTCTCCCCCAGCCTGTCCCTCTGCTCCCTTCACTCCCTGGCACAGTCACGCACCCTGGTAGGAGTGTGGGGCTGACGCTGGTCGCGTGTCCCCCTGCCTGCCGCTTCTCTGTCACTCCCAGGGGCAACTGACAAAGTCCCTGATGGAAAGGAAAGGTAGAGAGTCTTAGTTCTTCTTTTGTCCCCCTTGCAGGATGCCTCCCAGGAGCAACTGAAGGTACCCTTGAGAGCTCTGCCCTATGGCCAAACAGTGAGACTCGTCTTCCCCACGTCCCAGGTACTGGTCACAGGAGGAAGAAAGCCAGACGCACAGGCGGCCACCAGGCCTTGGAGGCCGGCCTGCTTCAGTAACAGCTTCTGTCTTCGGGCCATGCCCTGGCTCAGCGCCCGGGCAGGCTCTGAGCATCCTGCCTTCAGGCGTCAGGCCTGGCCCCTGTGGAGATGGCTGGGGCCCAAGGGAGCACGGGGACACCCTGGGATGTGGCTCGGGCTGGGATGAGAGGAGCTGGTGGCCCACATTCACTTTGTGACTGGCACATTCATGATTTTCAGGAGCCCCTGATGAGGGTGGAGCTGAAAAAAGAAGAAGGGTGAGAGGCCGGGCCGGGCACTGAGAGAGGCCATGGGGAAAGCAGCCAGAGATGGTGGCCGAGGCTCAGGCGCCCGGCCTGGAGGAGCGAAGGGGAGAGATGGGGTGGCTTCACAGCACAACCGCCTGCAGGCTTCTCTTAGGTGCTCAAGGGTCTGCGCCCAGGGTGTAGCACGATGTGTAGGGAAGCTTAGCAGGTAAAGGCTCTTTAACAATTTACTTGCGTTTCTGCTTTAGTCAGAGTGGGTGTGTGCCTAGACCAGCGCCTGGCACTTGGGAGGCCCTTGATAAACATTTGGCTGGAGAAATAGGTAGGAGGTGAGGAGAGTGTTCTGAGGCACAGAGAGGACAAGGAAACCAAGAGAGGAGAGCAATCGTGTCACTTTGGTTGGCAGCTGTTGTGGGTGGACCTTAGCTAACCTTCATGGGACGAGGAGTTGCGGCCCGGGCCCTCCGCGTGCCCGGGAGTCTCGCTGCTCACCACGACAAGGTGGGATCACTGCTTCCCGTCCCCTCTAGCAGTCCCTTTTGGGTGGGTGAGGGAGAGGACTGAGAGGTGGCAGTGGATCTGTGGTGTTGGGTCCCTGTCTATACCTGGACCCTGGAGGCGCCTCTTTAGTCACCAGTGTTCCTGGTTCTGTGAATCGCTTTGCTGTGTTCCCCACCTGCGTCCCCACCTGGGTCTGGGTTCACCCTTTCCCCATGTCATCCATGCGTCACACTTCTGCTAGGACGCAGGAGGAGGGTGAGGGTCGGGGAGAGGAGAGGAGGGAAGAGATGGCACTGGGCTTTTCAGGGAGGCAGACACAGCTTCTCTGTTTCTGACGAGACCTGGGAGCTGCCTCATGGGCCCTTCTTTCCACTCAGACCGAGGGAGCTGGCCGTGCGGCTGGGCTGCGGGCCCTGTGTGGAGGAGCGCGCCTTCCTGGGCAGGAGGAAGCAGGTGGTGGCCAAGGCGCTGAAGCAGGCCCTGCAGCTCGATGGAGACCTGCAGGAGGACGAGGTCTGGGGCTGGGCTGGATGGGGCAGGCATCCTCGGGCTTGCTCGGGCCCCTAGCCCCGAGCTGAATGCTGTAACTGGATGTTCCCTAACCAAACCGAGCTGGTGCCAAGCTGGGCTTGGGCCCGCCTCCTCTTTACCTGCCCCTGCTGCCTCTCTTGATGTTATCAGGACACTGATCCCACCAACTTCTGAGCATTGCTTGAGACTCTTGGAGCTTGCACGCTGCCCTGCTGGGCTAGCTTTCCGCTCATTGTTTATTGATCCTTGGCCTGGTCCAGGTTGAGAGATGGCCTGGTCTGACCGGTCAGTGGGACATACATCGTGGGCGCTGCCTGCTGGCCTGGGGCTATCTCTGGAGGTGCAGATCAGCTTGGGCAACTTTTAGGGAGATGACCTCTCCTTGCAAGAGGGTGTGGGGTACCTACATGGGAGATTTTTGAGGTGGGCCTGTGGCTCCTAGAAGGCGGTCACCAGACTACTTAGGTGCTAGAGGAAGGTGAGGAGACGAGGCCTAGAACTTATCTGGTCCACTTTCCCTGGAGTTATTAAAGCCAGACAAGACAAACCTGACCCTCAAGGGGCTGATTTTGACTAGACCCTCCTCTGCAGGCTTGACTAGAACTGATCTCAAGTGACCTGGTTAGATTTTGAGCAGCCTTAGCTATGGGTGAGCGGAGCGGGCCCTTGGCTTACTACCTCTCCTTCCTGGGGCTCGCCTTCCACCTCCCTAAGGCCTTTCTGTGACCTGGCTGTCCTCTCTTTCAGATCCCAGTGGTAGCTATTATGGCCACCGGTGGTGGGATCAGAGCGATGACTTCCCTGTATGGGCAGCTGGCCGCCCTGAAGGAGCTGGGCCTCTTGGATTGCGTGTCCTATATCACAGGGGCCTCGGGATCCACCTGGTGAGCTGGCGGCAGGTTGCGTTTATGAGCCAGGGAGTGGTTGGTTGGGTTGTGCAGGGGATGCGGGTGGTAAGGCTCTTAGGCCGCATTGGCCTCTCTGACCAAATCAGAAGGGCTGAGAGAACCCTGGCACGTGCCAGGGAGAAATGTGCAGGGGGACCCTTAGAACCCAAGGCATGCCATAGGGTCCTTGAGTGACAGTCCCACTGGCTTTCGCTTTTCCCAGGGCTTTGGCCAACCTCTATGAGGACCCTGAGTGGTCTCAGAAGGACCTGGCAGGCCCCACCAAGCGGCTGAAGACCCAGGTGACCAAGAACAAGCTGGGCGTGCTGGCCCCCAGCCAGCTGCAGCGGTACCGGCAGGAGCTGGCTGAGCGGGCCCAGCAGGGCCACCCGACTTGCTTCACCAACCTGTGGGCCCTCATCAACGAGGCCCTGCTGCATGACGAGGTATGGGGATGGTGCAGCCTGGGGAGCAGAGGGGGCGGCCAAAGCCAGGGTCTGGTGATGGGAGCAGCCCTGGGCAGCAGCGGTGAGAAGGGCCTCAGGCACCAGGAAGCCAAGGCTTTAGGTTCCAATCATCTCCCTGTCCCCAGCCCCATGACCACAAACTCTCGGACCAGCGGGAAGCTCTGAGTCGCGGTCAGAATCCTCTGCCCATCTACTGTGCCCTCAACACCAAGGAGAAGAACCTGACCACCTTTGAATTTGGAGGTGAGCAGCCTGGGTCTGAGATCCATGCTGTCATGGTTGGCAGGGTGAGGGGGAGCCGGGCTGGCGTGCAGGAGGAGGTTACACCCAGGTCTTCTGGGAGAGGCCCCACGCTTTCCAGAGACTGTCATTCAGGCTTTGGGATGAGAGCAATGGCCTTAGGTCTCAAGCCCAGAGTGCCAGCAATAGAGCTGAGCCCCTGGTCATTAGGCTGCCCTGACCTGAAGCCCGTGGTGGCTGTATTGGTGCGGAGGGTCCTCAGGCTCTGGGCGCCATGGTAAGGCTGTGTGACTTCCTCACAGAGTGGTGCGAATTTTCCCCCTACGAGGTTGGCTTTCCCAAGTATGGTGCCTTCATCCCCTCCGAGCTCTTTGGCTCTGACTTCTTCATGGGGCGCCTGATGAAGCGGCTTCCTGAGTCTCGCATCTGCTTCCTTGAAGGTGAGGGGGCTGGGAAGGCTGCAGAAGCTGGGGCAGGAGGGAGAGTGGGCCTGGGAGAGGCGGTGGGCCTCCCAGTTCAGTCACTGAAATGTTTTCCGGTCCAGGATGGGCCTGGGGGAAGGATCAGGTGGTGACAGGGTGGGGGACTCTGTTGCCTGACTGCCCCCTTAGGTATATGGAGCAACCTGTATGCAGCCAATCTCCAGGACAGCTTATATTGGGCCTCCGAACCCGGCCAGTTCTGGGACCGCTGGGCGCAGCATCAGGCCAGCCTGGGTAGGTGGCTGGACTCCTCATAAGGATGCAGCGGGGCAGCCGGTGGGGCTGTTTTCGGGGGCAGGTGGGGTGGCTCTGCGGCCTTTGAGAGTCCACAGAGGCTGGGATAAAGGCCCAGGGGTACCCACTTCCTGAAAGACGCCCCACTTCTTTCCCTCATGTCTGTGCAGACAAGGAGCAGGTTCCCCTTCTGAAGACAGAAGAGCCTCCCACGGTGACCGACAGGATAGCTGGATTTTTCACTGATCTTCTGACATGGCGGCCACTCGCCCAGGCCACCCACAATTTTCTACGTGGCCTCCATTTCCACAAGGACTATTTCCAGCATCCTCACTTCTCCACCTGGAAAGGTATCTACTTTTCTCCTCCAGTTTCAGATCTCCAAAGTCTTCCCGCAGCTGCCTGGGCCTTGCGTCCCTGGTCCAGGCACGCATATTCTGTAACCCCTTGTCCCCAAGACCTCTGAGCCCAGTTCCCTGGGCTGCTTGGAGCAAGAGCCCCTCTTTCTCTCCTTATGTGGGGGATCAGGGCCCACCTTCAGGGCCTCAGGAAGTGGGGGTGCTGCTTGGGTGAGGGCAGGGCTAGAGGGCAGAGTCCCCTTCCACCAGCAGCACAGAGCTGCGTTAGGCCTGAGGGGCTGGTGCCCTGAGCACCTGTGACAGCTGCTTCTCTACCCTGTCCCCCCAACCTTTCCAGCCACCAAACTGGACGGGCTCCCCAACCAGCTGACACCTGCAGAGCCCCACCTTTGCCTGCTGGATGTCGGCTACCTTATCAATACCAGCTGCCCGCCCCTCCTACGGCCCATGCGGGATGTGGACCTCATCCTGTCGCTGGATTACAACCTCCATGGGGCCTTTCAGGTGGGCTGTGGGCAGGCTTGGGAAGCAGTGGCGAACCCCCAGCCTGGCCTGACATTTTGGCTTATGCTCTAGGGCAATCTGCTTTGGAGTCCAGTATCCGTTCCACCTTCCCTTGGGGCTGTGACAGTGACACTGTGTGAATGGGGAACTGAATTCATAGAATCTACAACCAGGGGAACTCGTTCTGCTCAGGAGATGAGTGATGGGCGAACTGGCAATGTGTTTAAGTGTATTTTATATTCAGCTGTACCCACACACCCCCTCGGTCCTGGACCTCTGGGGCCCCTGCCTTGGGTTTCCGGGCAGGTCCAGTGAAGGACTCAGCCTCCCAGTTGCAGAACCTGGGCATTGTTAGCAGCCCCGCTCGGCTGAGCCCAGTGGAGCTGCAGCCGGAGGGCTGTCGGGTTTGAGCAGCTTTGCAAGGCTGGCCTGGCCCTGCTGGGTGCACTTCTCTGATTTGGCCTTTGGGCACTAAGTCTCGTGTGTGCGCGTGGACCTGCACGTTTGGTCCGCCTGGTGTTGGGGACACTGGGGAGCCCCGTGAGCCCATCCCTCTGATGCCACTTCTTCCTGCCCTGCAGCAACTGCAGCTCCTGGGCCGGTTCTGCCAGGAGCAGGGGATCCCGTTCCCGCCCATCTCTCCCAGCCCCGAGGAACAGCGCCAGCCTCGGGAGTGCCACCTGTTCCTGGACCCTGACTGTCCTGAAGCCCCTGCTGTCCTGCACTTCCCCCTGGTCAACGACTCCTTCCAGGAGCACTCGGCCCCTGGTGAGTCGCCATCCCAGCCCCCCACCTCACCCTCCTGGTGCCCTGGGCCTGTCCCTCGTCCTGCCGCCACCATCCTGCATGCCTCTCTGAAGGTGACCCCACCCCCTGTACCCCCAGGGCGCTTCCCCGTGTGCCCAGGCTGCTGTCTCTCCCCACTAGGCGTCCCCCGGACAGCTGAGGAGAAGAAGGCCGGGGAGGTGAACCTGTCTTCCTCCAACTCCCCCTACCACTACTCGAAGGTGACCTACAGCCAGGAGGACGTGGACAAGCTGCTCCATCTGACACATTACAACATCTGCAACAACCGGGAGCGGCTCCTGGAGGCCTTGCGGGAGGCTGTGCAGCGGCGGAGGCAGCGCAAGCAGCACTGTCCCCAGTGACGGCGGCACCTGGCCTGCGGCTCCCGCGGGGCCCACCGCCCTGGAGTCTTTGGCAGGCTCACCCCCAGTCTTTCTGGCCTCTCTGGTTATATTGGAGCAGAGAGCGTCATCACCAGGTATTCCAAGGCCTCTGGGGGTGCAGATGGCCCCGTCGGGGGCTACCCTACGGTGTGTGCCTAGCACCACCCAGATGTGGCACTGAAGCCACCAGCCAACCTGTCACGGACATGAGCCTTCTAAACAGGGCCTAGAGCCTGGGCCCCACGATGGGGGCCAGAGATGGCCTCCATTTGAGCAAGGAGAAGGTTCGGAGACTGTGCCCGCCAGGGGCAGAGCTGGGGGACACCCAGAGCAGCGCTCACCATATTTGTGTGAGGGCTCAGCCCTGGGACCTGTGTCTGCTCCCCCTTCCTTGCTGCCTTGAGTAGTTGTACGGAGAAAATAGAGCACTTTATACATCACAGAGGCCCATACAAACGGGAGGCATTATTTGAGAGCCTGTCATTGCTGCTAAGAAGGGACATTTTATTCCAGGCTCTTGGGTACAAAGGGCAAGGAATGGTTTAAGAAACAAAATGTCCCCCCAGCCGCCCCTCGGAGCTAACGAGTCAGCATGGGCTTCCCCTGAAATGTGGGTCCTCTGCTCCCAGCAAAGTAGACAGGAGGCCAGTGAGGCCTGGACGGGGGGCGGCCGGGGGTGTCCGCTGTTGCAGTCCCGGCCCTGCCCAGGTGAGCCGGCTTGCAGGTAGTGGTAGCTAGCACCCCTGTCCTCACCTGGTCAGGGACCTTCGGGGTGTGGCCAGGGTCTCAATCAAAGGGCTGCTTCCTGTCCCACAGGAGGGGTGGCCAGAGCTGGGACCAGGTGAGCCAAAGGAAGAGACTAGTGGCGCAGATTCACCAAGCTCTGACCTTGGTGGGGGGTGGGGACGTCTGTTTCTTCACAAGGAACTGCCTGTTCCTGAAGTCAGTGGGGCCCGGGTAGCTGAGTCTTGTCCTGGTCCCCTAGAGGGTGTCCTCACTTGTAGCCCTGAGGTTGGCGGTCCCTCGGAGCTTGCTTCAGGGCTCGGGCCTGTGGAGAGAGCAGGGAGGCAGAGTGAATTTAGGGCCCGGGGCCCCAGGCTGCCGACTTCCCTGGGAACAGCCTGCCTCCGCCTAACGCCCAGGGGGGAGTGGACACGAGGAGCGACCATGGCGTGTGAAGCAGGTGGGAGGCGATTGGTTCTTACCGCATCTGTGTGCCCTGGCCCAGCAGCTCTCAGTCCCTGTCCTGGGCACGTGGCTGGAGTCACAGAGCAGAAGAAATGGCTGCCTCTGTAGCCTGGGAAGCCACCGTGTCCAGGAGGACAAGGCCATTCACTCAGCAACACATCACCTGGATCATAAGCTGGAGCCCGTGGGCCGCACAGGAGTGTGAGCGCACACTTTGCCGGAGACCACAAGTGTGGCTGCCGCCCCCGTCAGGCTGTGAGGGCTCCCCTGCCGCAGGGCTGTGTATGTATTTCTTTGTGTGTCTGTGGGTCTCCTTGTTTCTGCGTGTGTGTACATCTCCATGTTCAGGGGCCTGTGCAACACTGCGTTTGCGTGTGAACCTGGGTGTGGGGCTTGGGGTCTGTGGGTGCGTGTCTGGGTGGCATCCTGACTGCCGGCCTCTAGGACAGTAAGGCCGCTCTTTCTCCTTGGAGCAGGACTGGGGTCCCTGGACTGGTGAAAGCAGGAGGGGAAGGAGGCAGAGGGCAGGGACAGGAGCTAGGGCGCAGCAGGGGTCTGGCAGCCCCACAGCACTGCCCTGTCCTGGGGAGGCGGGGAACGAGGAATGAGCAGTGTGTGGCCCAGGTGGCCCAGGCGAGCTCGCTTGCAGGGGCGAAGGGAACCTGGGTGCCCCTCACCTTGGCTCTGGCCTGAGCAGGAGAGGCGGTGGGAGCCTGGCACAGCTTCCTCTGCGGGGCCAGCTGCCTGCGGGAGCTCTGGGGGCTGTGGGTGGCCGCCAGCACACGCGTGCGTCTCCCTCAGCGGGGAGGGGGAGGGACAGCCATGGAAACTGTGGGGGAAAGGGGGCCTTGTCTCCCCAACTCTGTCACTGCTGAGAGTGAGCAGGGGTTCCACCAGGTGGGGTGGGCGCTGGGGCCTTCTCTTTCCCGGGTCTCAGACGCAGGGGTCACTCCATCCACCAGCAGGGTAGGTCTGAGTCTCAGGACCTCAGGCCTAAGAGGGCAGCGTCTGTGCTGGCCGTGGAGGCTCAGGCCGCCTGCCCGCCCGCCCGCCCGCCCGCCCGCACACCTCGGGGCCCTACCTGAGTGCAGTGGCCGTGCTGGGCACCTCCTCACCAGCGCACTCAGCCAGGACGTCCAGAGGTCTGGCTCTGAGCTCTGGGCTTAGACTGTGGGCTGCAGATCGAGGGAAGAACACCGGGCGGCACCCCACTGGATGCCCGGCCAGCTGCAGGCAGAGTAACCACACGCCCCCTCCCCCGGCTGTAGTCTGAATGTATCTCCCCCTCCCCACCAAATTGGTATATTGAAGTCTTAATCCCAAGGTGATACTAGTAGGAGGAGTAAGAGCTTTTGGGAGGTGATTAGGTCATGAGGTGGAGCCCTTATAAATAAAGACCCCAGAGAGCACCCTGGCCCCTTCCACCATGTGAGGACACAGTAGGACGGTACCACCTGCAACCAGAGGCCAGCCCTCACCAGCCCAGTCTGTCGGTCCCTTGATCTTGGACTTCCCAGCTGCCAGAACTGTGAGAAATAAACGTCTTGGTTATAACCTACGCAGTCTGTGGTATTTCTGTTACAGCAGCCCAGACCGACTAAGATGCTCCTGCTTCTGGAGGCTCCCTGAGCACCAAGCATTGTCCGTGTGGGGGTGCTGCGCAGCCCCCCTGGGGCAGGACCCCCCAGCGCGTCCCACCTCCTAGAAGGCTGAATGTTGGTGGCTAAGAAACTCAGAATCCCTTGAGGATTCTCGAAGGACAGTCTCAGGGAGACCCCAGGGGAACTGAGACAGTGAGGAACGGAGCCGGGAACTGAGACTGAGAGGAGCAGGGAGGGGCTCCTGGTAGAGCCCCAGCAGCCTCAGGATGCGCCCTGAGTGCACTCCCTCCGTGCGCAGGGTCTGAGGGGGAGCTTTCTAGGCATCCCTCAGGTTAGTAGAGCTGGGCTTGGCCACTGTCCCCATCAGCCCCGCCCCTCCTGCCAAGGGAGGTGCATTCAGGGCATGTGAGGACTTGAAGGATGGAGAAGGCCCCAGGATCAGACAGAACAGAGCCTGGAAGAGCCCACAAAGATCCAGGAAGGGCTCAGGGGAGTCAGGGCGGCAGACTCCAAAGGAGGCGGACGAGACCAGGAGGCACCTGAGAATCAAGCCTGGCCCCACCTCTGCTACTAATGAGCTGTGTGATTTTTGGCAAGCTGCGTACCTTCTCTGAGCCTTAAATTCTTTGCAAAAAGACAGTAAGTCCCATTTACCTTGAAGGCTATATGGGTACTAGATGTGAAATTTCTGAGGATGACTAAAACACCACCAGCTTGAGGCCCAGGGAGCCAATGTTCCCCCACCCGGACCCCCCACGCCCAGCGTTCCCCTGGAGCCTACCTGCCGCGCCGCTGGGGGCTCCATGCCAGCTCTCAGCCTGCTCTTTAGAGGGTGCTGCCAACAGGACCTCCTCCCCGCTGCTCAGCCTGCACCCGGACAGCCATGGGTCAAGCTCCCTGCCTCCCGCGGGGGGACCCCTGGCTCTGGCTCCTTGGCTGCTCTTGGGAGGCCCTGCCCGCTGAGTCAGCGCATCTCGGGGCCAGTGGGCCAGTGTCCCTCTCCCCACGCCATCCTCACCTTAAGGGGAAAGTATGTTTCCTGCCATGGCGGTCCCTTGGCCTCTCAAACGGGGCTCCCATGAGGTCAAGGGTGGCTGTGGAAGCCACGTTCTGAGGAGAGATGACAGGCGGGGGTCACCACAACTGTCCGCTTTTCCCGGTGGGCCTTTGTCCTCTGTGCTCCCCGCCCCTCCACTTCCTAGCGTCGCCACCGCCATCCGCCCCTGCGGCCACAGGCTCGGGCAGCTGCCCTCTGAGGCCCCCCTATAGCCGCCCCAGGGGCTCCAGCTGGGCTGCAGTGAGGTCGCACCTGCAGCACCAGGACTGAGGTTCCTCGGGTGGAGGAGGAAACCAGGGAGACCAGAAGAGGAGTCCTACCCTCTACCTGGGTTGGCGCCGAGGAGAAACTACCCTAAGAATGCGGGGGGGGGGGCAGGGCAGTGCCCCCCAGAGTCCACAAGGCCAAGGGGCCAGGCCCCCGTAGCGCCTCTGAGCTCCTTGAGTGGTTCTGTGGACGGGTTCCAGAGGGGTGTCCTGGCACCCAACTGCCTACCCCTCACGTCCTGAAAGTGTAAAATGGGGCCCAGGAAGCATCAGGACCAGCACAGGGTTCAAGGTCCCCTGTGCACAGGTGGGTAGGGATCCTTTCTCCGACCTTACTGTCCACAGCCCCTGGCCCCGCCCTCAGCGCTGGCTCCAGGGTGTGGCCCTCACCCCCGTGGCCGACCGACGGGGGCCGCTGCTGCCTGCCTGGCTGCTGCCCCAGGGAGACAGTGGTGGCTAAGGGTGCGTGCACTGCCCGACCGGGACGCCTGGCCCTAGGTCCCCTGTGTCAGCCAGCTGTGCGCCTGGCCACCAGCTTCCAAGGGACCTGTGCCGGGGGGAGGTTAGCCCACGGCCCCTCTTCCGGGTTTTAGCCCCTTTACCTGCTACACTAGCGTCTGTTCCATCTGGGGAGGGGAGCAACGTGAGCCAGGCCAGGGCACCAGGGGTTCCAGGCCCAGCCTCTCCTTCCCTCCCAGACAGAGCCCCTTTCCCTCCAACTCAGGAGACTCCCCTCTCACCCCTGCCCTCAACGGCGCCCCTGCCTACCAGGATATGGGGGTGACAGCATACTGAAGCCGTCAAGGGAAAGAATGGGGTTTTGCTGAAGGGTCAGATGGAGGCTCAGTGCCCTGGGGAGACCCTGACTCTCAGGCTGAGGCTGGGACGGCTCCCGCCGCCAGCCTGCTGGGGTTCCCTCACCCCAGCCTCGCTCACCCCCGTCTTCCACTGCAGCTGGACAAGCTTCTCCTCCTGGGCCGCCAGCAGCTTTTCTAAGTCCTGGTGTCTGTGGAGCAGCAGCTCCACCTCCGACACGGAGTGCTGGGGGGAAGCCAGCCGGGGTGAGGCCCAGCTCCCGGCCGCGCCGAGAGCCTTCCCCTCACCCTCCGCAGCCGGCCCGGGGGCCAGTGAGAGCAGGAGCAGCGGGGCTGCCCTTGGCCGGAGCCTCTGGCTGGTGTAGCGGGCGAGAGGGCAGGGCCTCGGCTCACCCCGCAGTCGGGGTCCAGCAGGAGGCCCTCCCGGGAGGCCAGCCAGGCCTCAGCCTGCTCCAGCCCCTGCTGCAGTGTCTGCAGGCCCCGGCTCTCCTCGCAGCGTCCCCGGCGCAGGGCCCAGGCCTCCTCCAGGGCCCGCAGCCGCCTTTCCAGCTCCTGCAGACACTCTGTCACCTGGAGGGTTGGGGGTGCTTCGTGTGAGATGTTGGGCAGGGCACCCAGGTAGGGGTGGGCGGCTGTGCCCAGCCGGAGTGTTGAGGGAAGGCTGAGGGGCTGGACCCTCCCCTTCTGGCCCTCTCTCTCCGCCCCGGTCTGGCCTTCCTCGCCCGCTGGCTTCACTCCTGCTCGGGGTTCCGCGGCCTTGGGTCGTCAGGTTCTGTGCCCAGCTCAGTGCCAGGCCCGCCTCTGTGCTTGTACCTCCAGGAACATGAAGTGGCCACTGTCTACCAGCTGCCGCCCCTCCTGCTGCACATTCTGGGCTTGAAGGCAGCGCTCCTTGATTTCTCGCCCCAGCTCCTCCTGCTGCTCCAGGAGCCGCTCGGCCCCTGCCAGGTCCACGGCCAGCTCCGCTGAGGACAAGAGCGCCTGCGTTTCCTGAGCCCACGCTCTGTGGGGCGGGCGGAGGAGGCTGCTGTCAGGGCCGGGAGGGCAGCCTGGGGGCGGCGTGGAGGGCAGGGTAGGAGCCATGCAGGGGGAGGTGGGGTCCAGTTCCCAGAAGAGCTAGGGTGACCACCCCCCACCCCCCAACAGGGCAGCACTGAGCCAGCAGCTGGGCAGGTTGCCACCTACAGCAGTTCCCGGCAGCGTCCGAGGAAGGCGTGGCCCTGGGCAGCCTGCGCCAGCTGCCGGCCCCGCTCCCAGGCCTTCGCAGCCAGTGTGGCCCAGGCCTCCTGCACCTCGGCCAGTTGCTGGGCCAGGCTTTCCTGAGCCGAAGGTTGTAGCAGGCCCAGCTGGCAGGCCTCCATCCGCACCTGTGCCACCTGCTCCTCCATAGCTGCCAATTCCCTCTGCCACCAGAACACAGGATCAGACCTCACTCCCTGGCCACCTGTGCGGACCTCTCTGAGGAGTCCTGCTCTGCTTCCCATACTCTCCCAGGCCACCTCTGTTCTGCTCCGCAACCTGGGACAGCAGTCCCTGGGCTGGGAGGGTCCTACCTCTCACCTCTGCGGTCCCCTTACCCGCCACCTTCAGGGAGTGGCTCTGACGGGAAGTCCGCAGGGCGTTGGCCCTCACCTCCAGGCGCCTGTGCTGTTGCTGCAGGGTCTGTACCGATGACAGGCTGTGGTCACAGGTGTCTCTTGACATCAGGTTGGTCTTCTCCTGCATCTGGCCCCGGAGCTCAGCCACCGCCTGCTCAAAGCCACAGGCCTCCCGGGCCACAGCCAGGCTCTGGAAGAGGAGGGAAGGCCTGCTGTGGTTGAGCTTATTCCCAAGGTCCTTGCTCCCTGGCTCCATGGCCTCCTGGGCTACCTCACTGCAAACAAGGAGGGCCATGGGGCTTGGTGACTCATTCATGACCACCAGGCACAAAAAATATCCCAGACACAGCAGCTGCTCGATGAACGTGTGATGTTACCGATGTTGTGGGTAGGGCCTCAGGGGCATTCTGTGGGGCGGGGGGCCTCCAGGGCCCAACTCCTGAGGAAGGCAGAGATGGAGGCTCTGAAGCAGGTGGGCATGAGTCCATGCGAGGGACGAGGTTGGTGTGGGGGCATCCATCGGGCTGGGAGGAGAGGGCCGGCTCAGGGGGCTGCTCTGGCGTAGGCCCTCGGAGGTGGCACCTCTGGGCTGTGGGGCCTGTCAGGGCGCAAGGAGCCGGGCTGTTTTTGTAGAAACCAGCAGCTGTGCCTCAGGGCTAGGCTGTGGGGGGACACTGAAGACTTCCTTGGCGTCCAGATCCACTCAGAACACTTAGGTGAGAAGAGTGAATGAGTGGAGTGAAGGGGCATCTGCCACATGACAGCGAGATCGTGCCCAGTGAAGTGAGTGTGGTCAAGGAGAAGGGACCAACAAGACATGTGTCCTAAAGGGAAGGGTCTAAGAACATGTGTGAATGACCCATGGACATGGACAACGGTGTGGGAATTGATGGTGTGAGCGGGGAATGGGATGGGCAGGGGAGGGCAAAGGGGAAAAATTGGGACAATTGTAGTAGAATTACAATAAAAAATGATTTAATTAAAAAAACCCCTGAAGCCTGTGTTCAGGGGTGGGGGCATGGTGGGGCTTAGAAGCTGGCCAGACATGCTGTCTGTTTCTCCTTGGAGCTATGAACTGCACTAGGGGGAACAAAGGAGAGGGCAGGAGGCGGAAGACTTTGAGTCTGCTGATCTGCTTGGCGCTGGGAGTTAGAGGCAGCCACCTCCCTGCACGCTCACACACGTATGCCTGCGCACACACACACACACACACACATGCATGCCTACACACTCGCCTGCATGCTCACACACACGCATGCCTGCACACTCGCCCGCATGCTCACACACACGCACGCCTGCACACACACCTAGTGAGCCTGCTCTTCCTGGCCCACCCTAACGGCACAGATGGCCCCGCTTCTTGGCCCTCCCTGGCCTGTGGCACCTACCTCTGTGCGGGCTTTTATTGCCCTGTCCAGTCTCTCCCAAGCGGCCTCTATGCGACTCCTCTGGGCTTGAATCTGGGGACAGCACCTGGGCGCTGCCCGTTCCAGGTTGCCTGCCAGCTCCCTCAGGGCCTGCACCTTGGCCTGCCCCAGTCTCTGGACTTCCTCTCTGAAAGCATCGAACTTCTCTTCCAGCACCTGCAAGGGCGTAGGGCTGGGCAGGTCACTCTGGATGTGCTGTCCCACGGCTCCGGAAGCTCACAAAGGGCTTCGCACTATCTGAGGGTCCTGACGTGCTGGGCCCAGGCTCTAGAGCTGACAGGTCTCCCCGAGCCCAGAGATCCCCATTTTCCTGCTGCTCACCCCCTCGCCTCTCCCAGACGCACACCTCCTTTACCTTGCTCAGCCTCAATTCACTCTCCGCCAAGTTCGCTCAGGACTGACTCACCTTGATGGCCTCCAGGTCCTGTCCGCAGTCCTGAGACTCAGCAGTGGCCACCTTGCTGGCCAGCCAGGCATCCAGGAGCAGGGCCTCTCGCTCCAGCTGGTGGAGCTGCAGCTGCTCCCGCAGGCGTTGCCCCCTGTCCTCCGCTCTCTGCAGCAGCCCTGCGTGCGCCTCCTTCAGGGCCTGCATCCGGGCCAGCACCTTGGGGCTGTGGCACGAGGGACAACCCGGCTGGAGCCCTTCCTCAAAGGCGGGACCAGCCTGTGAGCCTCTGTCCGCAGTGTCCCTCGCTGCTCTTCCCTCCTCCCGCCTACCTTTCTGGGTTCTGTCTGCTCTCCAGGAGGTCTGCTGTCTGCTGATGTCTCTGGATGCGCCCGCTGAACCCCTCCAGGTCTCTCCTGGTGGCCTCCAGCCGCCGCAGAAAGGCCTGTGTGGCCTCGGCACTCTGGCCCATGTCCTCGATGTCCAGGACACAGCCCTGTTCCGCCAGCCAGGATTCTGCCTCCAGGAGCTGGGGCGACACAGAGGAGGGCAGTTTTCCCGGGGTGATGCCCTCCAGGGCTCCCCACTTAAGGGTCACGGACTGAGAGCGGCTCTCAGTCTGGTTGCACAATAGAATCACCTGAGAGCTTTAAAAACACCCTCTGCCTGGCTCTCACCCTGAAAAGACTGATTTGGACTGGAATGGAGCCTGGGTATCGGCATTTCCTAAAGATTCCAGGTGAAGCATTGATTGAGAACCGCTGATTTAGAAGAAATAGCAAAACCAAACCAAACCAAACCAAACTCACTGGTGTTTTCCTAGAAACATGCAGAAGGGAGCCCTTGAGGACTGGAGACCACCTAGGAGGCGCACAGGGCCGGGAGCCCCCCATGGGTGTCCTCGTGCCCACCCCAGCCCTCCGCACTGCACCTCTGCCCTCACCTCCGTCAGGAACTGCTGGGCTTCCTGAGCCTGCTGCAGCCGCTGCCGCCTCCGCGCGGCCCCTGCCCGCAGGCGGCCCATGGCATTCTGCAGCTGCTGTACCTGGGCAGCCGCCTCATGGGCAGCAAAGTGCCCAGCCTGCACCAGCTTGTGCCCTGTGCCTGCCACTGCCTGGATCAGAGCCTCGTGGCTGCTCATCTCAATCTCCAGGTTCTGTGGGGTAGAGGGAAGCAGGACTGGGCTGCCACTGGGCACTCTGCTGGAGACCCCAGAGTTGTGCCTGAAGCCTCCTGGGATTCCACAGACTTGCCCCCAAGGAGTCCCCTGTCCTTGTGACTAACACAGGATCCAGGGTACCCCAGAAGCCCCCAGAGGCCTGAGTCCCCGTTGGGCTCTGGTGCCATTTCCTTAGCGGGTTGGCGGGGTGGGCCCACACCTGGTGCTTCTCCTGCAGGCGCCACAGGGTGCTCAGGCTCTGGCCATCGTCCGGGGCGTCTACCAGGGGCAGCTTCTCCTGCACCCAGGCCATCTCCTCCTCAGCAGCCCTGGAGAACTGCCAGAGCAGGCTCTGGGCCTCCAGGGCGGCCCTGCGCTCCTGCAGTGGCTCCCGCAGGCTCTCAAACCTGCAGCAGTAGAGGGTGAGGCCGGGGCGGGAGGCACCATGGTCATCAGTATTAGGGCAGACAGTGACAGTGCTCTCTCACTCTGTGCCGCTCACCAAAGGCAGGGGAGGCCCTGAGAAGACAAGCTGGGGGCATGAAGGAGGGCAAGGAAGGTGGGTAGGGCAGATCTACCTCTGAAGCAGCCGCTGGGCCCGCTCCTCCACATCTCGGGAGAGGCAGCAGCCTTTCTGTGTAAAGGCCCGGGCCTGGCCCAGCAGGGCCTGGGCCTGCCTGGCCTGCCGGCCCACCGCTTCCTCCAGCTCTCCCTGAGCCCCCAGGAGCTCCTCCAGGCCAGGCTGGTCCTGGTCCCTGATGGGAGCCCTCAGCTCCACTTCCACAGGCTCCAGCCAGCTCTCTAGTTCCTCCACCCTCCTCCGTAGGCACAGGGCCTGGGGCAGAACGGAAGGGGCGTGAGGGGGAGCGGCCTGGTGCCCCATGCAGCCTGCTCTGTAGCAGCGCGGCCTCACCTCACAGGCCTCCTGTAGCTTGGCTGCCTTCCTCTGGCAGTTGGCCTGTAGCTTGTCCCAGAGGTCCCCCAGCTCCTGCAAGCGCTCCTGGATGGTCTCCGAAGCCGGGTGGCCCCCCTGCCGCAGCCTCTGGCCCTCCTACAGCCACACATGGACCGCTGGGGCCGGGGCACTTGCATTGACGCCCCCACCCATCCCATGGCTGCTATCTCTGTGTGCTGGCTGTGTGATCTTGGGCAAGTTCCTTAACCTCTCTGAACTCAGTAGCCTTATCCGTGTCACTGAGATAATAATGGTTATTTCGTGTAAATGACCTCAAGCACTTACAATACTTAGCAGGGCACTTTATATCGGAGGGAGCCAGCCTGGGGTCAGAGCCTGCACTTTGCAGGTAGGAGAGGGTAAGTTTAAAAGGTGCTACACTTTGATTCCAGGACTGCTGGCTGTGCTCTGTGTCTTCTAATATACTTCCAACAGTTTTAAAAACTGTCCTGTCAAAATGCTACCTTTAAAATTGCTGAAAAGGCACCATTTGTGGAGAGGATGCCCAGGGAAGCTGTGGTGTCTCATTTGCCCTTTGCTGCTCAGCACGATGCCTGCACCCAGAAAGCACTCAATGAACATCGGCTTTCCATTGCTATGATGCAGAGCCACTGCCAGGGCTCTGTGGCGTCACCTCATGCTCTGGCCCACCAGACTGTCCCATGGTCCCCAGCTGGACCCCCGGGGCTCACCATCCGCAGCCTTTGTTGCTGGCGCACGCTTGCGTGCAGCTCGGCCTGGAGAGCTTCTTGCTTCCGCAGCTGTGCCTGCAGGGTGGCGGGGTCCCGCCAGCCCTCTTCCAGGGCCACCAGGTTCTTCTCTCTGAGCCAGGTGGCCATCTAGATGCACATGGAGGACCAGGCACTGCTGCCTAGGGCTCTCCCCTTTCCCCTAACCTCTGGGCTGCCCTGAGGAAGGGCGGCCTCTCTGTGGGGTGACTCCTTCCCCGCTCCGCAACCCCTCCCCACCCCAACCGGGGGGAAACCTCGTAGGAGTCCTGCAGGAAAGGCTGCAGCTGCCCGAGCTCCTGCAGCTGGTGACGACGGGTCCGGGCTCGCTGCAGGAGGGCCTCTTTCCTGCCAGAAGGAGGGTCTCATGTGCCCGCAGGTCTGCCCACCAGGACCTGGAGCTGCCATGGTGGGAGGAGAGGGTGCATGCACATGCACACGCGTATGCATTTGGGTGCCCTGCCAGTCTAGGACATTGATACCCTTTCTTGGGTATCAATATATACCCTGAATCTCAGGCTTCCTTTGAAATTGAGACACGTTCTATCTCCTCTCTTTCTTAGTGTCTCTTATGGGCTGAACTGTGTCTCCGTGCCCGCCACCCGCTCTGTTCCCCAGGTTCTTATGTTAAAGTCCTAACTCCCAGTCCCTCAGAATGTGACTTTATTTGAAGGCAGGCCCTTTAAAGAGGGAGTTAAATTAAAATGAGGTCATTAGGGCGGGTCCCAATATGACACGAGTAAGACACAGAAACACGTACGGCGATGACTGCGGCAGCCTCTGCAAGCCGGCGACAGAGACCTTAGGAGAAACCAACCTGGCCAATGTCTTTGTTTGGGACTTCCAGCCTCCAGAAATGTAAGGAAATAAATTTTTGTTGTTTAAGCCACCCAGTCTGGGGTATTTTGTTACAAGCAGCCTGAGCAGACTAGTACAGTGTCTAAACAGCCTTTGGTCATGAGCTGATATTAGTAAGAATTTTTTGAGCAGCCGCTTCCCAAATAGATATGTATTCGTGTGTGTACATGTATCTAGACACATATTGATTTATATACATATGTACCTCTGTACCAATATATTAAGCACATAGCCGTATGCACAAAAATAGAAATTAGATCAATAAAAAATAGGAAAAGAAGTTCTAATCTCCCCCGTCATCCCGGGGTCCACCCACGCCTCCCATCAGCAGAGCCCCCCATTGGCCCCCCTGCTGGGGTTTCCAGAGTAGATGGGGGGGCTCGACTGAACACAAGCGCCGAGAGAATGCGGACGCCTGGGAGGGCAGGGGTCAGGGTGGCGCTGTCCTGGGGGCAGCCGGGCCTGCCAGGAGCCATCTAAGGTGACTGGGCAGAGGGCGTGCTGACAGAGACCAGCAAACCAGCGTTTGCCCTCTGTCGGTGAAAGGCGCCAGGGTTCCCAGGTAGCGGTCCACCCGCAAGGAGCTCCCCCTGCCCCCGCCAGCACAGGGCCTCCGTCACAAGCAGCATGGGCTCTGCCAGTCCGGGGTCCAGGTTTTGGCCCAGATCTGCCTTGATCTCAAAGTCTCAAAGAGGCGCTGGATGAGGCAGCTGAACCAGATGGGCTTTAATGAGGAAAATAGGTGGAACCTGGTGTCTTAGAAATACACTGTGTCGGTTTCACTTAAATGGACATTAAAAAACAGTCTGTCACCCTGTCCGAGTTGAGCAACCGGCACCATGCTAGGACATCAAGGCTATCTTTTCAACCCTCACACAGCCCCAAAAGGCAGGTATCGCTACCCCCTTGCAGGCCCAGGCTCTGTGAGGAATCCGCCCCAGGGCCCCCCATGAGTGGGCGGCAGGGAACGCAGCACTGTCGGGCTCTGGAGGCCTGATGCTTAACACGGTGCGCCGATACTGCCGGTCCATTGGGTCGTTTCTCTTAGTTTCTGAGCATGTGTTTCTTTGTAAAACTCCCCCTGATCTCAGCCACGTGACCGCATGCTGCTTGACCGCCGTAGTGGGCCGGCTCACTGCACGGCTGGGAGGGGGGGCCCTGGCACCTGGCTGCAGCCCCTGGGAAAGCCCGACGACCCTGGGCCGGGAGCGGAAGGGCAGGAGGCCCCGTGCCCACACCAGGCCACCCGTGACTTCGCCCCACCCCAGTGCCGGAGGTACCTGAGGAGCATGGCCCGGCACCGGCCTAGGGTGCTCTGGGCCTCGGGGCACCCACTGTGGCACAGGCTGCGGGCTGTGGCTTCTAGCGCGCTGATCTTTTCTGCCTGTGCCTCCAGGCCCCGCTCCAGCACCTCGTGCTTCCACAGGAGAGTCTCCACATTGGCCGAGGGGTCCTGGTGGGAGCAGGGAAGCCGACACTGTCCATGGGCTGCCCGCACCCGGCCCCAAGCTCCCTGCTTTCCTACGTGGATCCATCCTACCAAACACTTGCCCTCACGCTGAGTGCTCTGCCCAAACACAGTCCTCTAACCCCGCAAGGCCGGATTTGGCTCTAGGACCGTGATCCCCAGCCAGGGAAGGCACTGGAGGATGAGGTCTAAGTGCCAGAATTTCCAGCGCAGGCACAACTTTTCACGGAGCAGGAGCGCCTCCCCCACTCTGCACTCCCAGGGAGGCTCCCCTGGCACAGGCTGGATGGCCACCGGGGCCCTGAGGTTCCCCGCAGGCTGTGCTCCCTGGCCACGCGGGCTTGGGACAGTGGTTGTAAAAGCAAACCTCTGGGTGTGAGGGAGTGAGGAGGTGGAGGGAAGGAGGCAAGAATGGGTCGGGGCCACACACCCGCTAAGCCCCCACCACATTCCCGGTGGGGCCCACCTCCAGGGCACCCGAGGTGCTCGAGTGGCTCGCACGGGTGGGCAAGTGACTTCTCGGTGACTGACTGACGTGGCTGACGTGGGGCGAGCCCCTTGGCCTGGGGAGCTCAGGTGGCTCTGGCTGGTTTGGTTCTTAACGCTGCTTGAGTAAACCCTCCCTCACGCCTGCCAGGCACCTACCCCCAGACCCTCGCTGGCGGAGCACGCTTCCTGGCCGCAGAGCCAACTTTCCATCTGCTCCACAGAGCTCAGAAACAACTGTGAGGAAAGGAAACGGCAAGAGGAAGTGAGCAGAGTAACTGCAGGTGGCGTGAACCTGTTGGTGGCCTGGTGGAGACACCAGGGCCCCGGGGCCTGGCTCAACCAAACGGGTCCACAGCAGGCACGACTTGTCAGGAAGCTGGGTGGTGAGTGGTGGGAAGGGGCCCTGGCAAGGCAGCCTCTCTGGCTTTGGCTTTGACCAGAGGTGGTGGGGTTAGTGCAGGTCCCCGAGGGTAGGGGCAGGATGGAGGTGCCAACCTGTAGCTCCAAAGCCTGCTGCAGCTGAAGCTGGCGCTCCTGCCAGGTCCCTTCCAGGCTGTTCAGCTCCTGGTCTAAGCCAGCCAGGGCCTGGCGGAGGTCAGGGTTGGACAGGTGCCCAGCTAGAAGCAGCCGCTGCCCTGTGCTCAGGGCCAGGCTTACACTGTCCGTTCGGGAGTCCAGCTCAGCCTGCAACAGGACTAGACTCAGGTCCCAGAGGCTGAGGCCTTTGAGGCTGGAGGACGCCCCGTGTCGGGGAAGGAGGGGTGGGAGACAGCTGAGGGATGGGATGGAAGAGGCAGGTGACAGAGAAAGGACCAGAGAGAAAGTTGGGATCACAGCAAGGGAGAGGGCAGATAGGAGGGGCGATCCCAGGAGAGGCCCAGGGTCTCAGCCACACACCCTTCGCTCCTGGTGCTCCTCCAACAGGCGCCGGGCCTCTGCGGGGCTGCGGGGGGCACTTCGGGCGCCCATCTCAGCCCGCAACCTCCGGGCCCAGACCAGCAGGTCCTGCAGCATTGCCTGCAGCTTCTGAGCTTGGTGTGAGGCATCCAGGGACTCCCTCCTGCCCACAGGGTTTGGCAGCTAGTCCTCTGAGCTCCTCTTTTCCCCGTGCCCACCAGGACCTTCTGTCCCTGAGTCCCCTCAGCCAAAGAAGGGCCCAGGGGCTGGGGATTATGGGGTGACAACTGGCCGGTTATTTGAAGGATGGAGGAAGATTCTCAGGGGAAAACTGGGGCCAAAGGGAAGTACGGGGACAGAGGGGTGGGTCAGCAAGGGCAGCGAGGGTTCATACCACTTCTGGGCCCTGCTCCGGAGCTGCCACCAGCTGTCCATCATCTCCTGCTGCTTGCAGCTGAGGCTGTGGGCTGCCCGGGGACTTCTCTGGCAGAGGTGGCCCACCTCACTGTCTAGGGACTGTGGGACAAGCAGGGTCAGGGGCCGGCCGGGGAGGCAGGTTTCACTCAGGGGAGTGCTGGCTGCAGGATGTCCCTGCAGGCGTAGCAGCTGAGTGGGACCGGTTGGCTCTCAGGGTCCCGAAGTCCCCTTGGCCTTTGCATGCCTTCCCGGGGGTCCTCAGAGGAGGAGCCCTGGGTCTACCCCACACCCAGCTGCATACCTCCACCCGGGCCTGGATGAGGCCCACTTCCTGCTCCAACTTCTCGTGCTTCCACAGCAGCCTCTGCACGCTCTCCAGATCCTTTCCGCAGTCCAGGGCCTCGGCCTGGGCGGCCTGGGAGGAATGGGGAGACATTGGCTTGGCCTTTCTCCAGCGGCTCCCCTACTGCCGAGGGGGCGCTGGCAACAGGAATCTACGCAGAAAGCCAGCACCCGGTGTGACTCCCTTCCCAGTGCCCTCAGTGGGGCTCGTGCCGCCTTCCTTTTGCAAAGGAGGAAAAGTTCTGAGGAGGGATGTGGGGCGGGAGTTCCCTCTGAGGCAGGGGCTGCCGTCTATGAGGTGCTTCCATGTGCACGGTCTTGTGTGACCGTCGTTCCTTTGGGGGAACTGAGCGTGGATAGCTCGGCCTGGCTGAGGTGGGAATCAGGAGAAGTGGGAACGGCCTCTTTCACACGGGGCTTCCCAGGCTCTTTCACCTCTGCGTCTGCCAGCGTTTGGCCCAAGTTTCTCCACAGTGGCTCACAGAGTCCTGGTGCACATATCCTATGGGGCCTGAGTTTGCTCAGGGACAACAGAGGAAACACTAGGGTGGGGGGATCTGGTCTCCGCACTCACTGGTGCCTCTGGGGCCGGCTCCAGGGGGGCGCGCCTCCAAGACTGCAGTGGGGACTTCTGCCGTCCAGGGATGGTCCTGAAAGCCCCTGGCAGACCCCCTGACAGACCTCGGGTGGGACCTCCCAGTGTCCCAGCTGAAGCGAAGAGGTGGCAAAGGGGCAGCGATCACCCCTGGGCGGCATTTGCTCTTTTCCACTTACCTTCTCCCTGATCCGCTCAGTGACAGTATCCAGCTCACAGGACAACGTGTGTATCTCCAGGGCACCTTCAAGCTGCCGCCGGTACTGGAGCAGGTTGCCACGGAAACTGTGCCACCTGGAAGACAGGATGTGAGGCTGAGTCTGAGGTGGTCCTCTGGCCCCGCTCCTGGCCCACTGCTTCCTGATCTTGGGACTGGCCTGTTGTTGAGCTGGTGACGCCTCTGGCAGATGGTCCTGACTTGCTCAGGGTCCCGGGTCTTGAGATGCAGTGACAAGTCATTGATGCTCCGGATGTGGGTGTCATCCACTGTGTCCTGTGGGGGTGCAGGGTGAGGCATTGGCACTGCCCACTCTGAGCCCCTTCTTTGCCCTGCAGTTGTCACTTAGAGGGTCCGCTTGGGCCCGAGAGAGCATAAGGGGCAGCTTATCTGGGGAGTGAAGGCAGAGGCTTCCCCTGCGGTGGCCTCCCCATCCCAGGCACAATGAGCAAAAGGCACTAGGAGCCTGCTGGCCTCAGAGCCATTGTTAAGGCTAGAAAAACTGTGCTCCCCAAGTCAGGACCAGATGGGAGGGGGCGGGTGCATACGCACTGACTAACAGGAGCTTTTACAGTTAAAATGCAGCTTTTTGGGATAAGAAAAGCAAAGTAAGGGTGAAATGAAATGGCGAGTCTGGGCCTCCGGGGGTAGGGTGTCCCCACCCCGAGGAGTCGCTGGACTGAGGCTGCTGTAGAGGAGACCCGGGTGGGGCTTACGGGCGCATGGGGAAGGGTCCCTGATGGTAGATGTGGTCGCATGCTTCCTGCCCCTCGTTAAAGCTCCTTGTCTTTGCAGAGGCTGTTAAATTGCCAACGCACTTCCCTGTGAAGTATCTCAGATGAGGTGGGCAGTGGAGGGATTTCCCTCCTCTTACAGATGCCAGAGCAGAGTTCCGAGGCTAATGGGGTCAATTCCTGGCAGTCGCGATTGAAGCCCAGCATCTTCCTGAGTCTAGTGCTCTTTCTACTACAGCATCTGGTACAGTGGCTGTGAACCTCCACTGTTAGCAAAGGATAGCTTAGCTTAAGGCTCTGCAGCCCTTTAAAAAAATCACCTATACTTACATCAGGGGGATGAGGTTAGCATATTTGGTTGTGAATATATCTGTCCAATTTCTTTCCTCTATATCACATGAAAGAAAGATGTTTGGAGGTGTGTGTAGGGGGAGGTGAGGAGGAGAGGCTGAGATGCTGACGGATGGTTATTGATTATCTACTTCATCTAGGCACAGGTGCATTCTTGCATTCCTTTATTTTCAACTTTGAAGTAATTATAGGTGCATGGAAAATAGCAAAAGTGCAATAGCCGAAAAGAGCCCCATGTACTCTTCCCCCGGCCTCCCCTGATTGGTCATTACATATCTATAGTATGGTATGAACTCCAGGAAACTGTCATTGGTCTGTTAACCAGACTACAGATTTCATTCAGAGTTCACCTGTTTGTACATGAGCTCACCTGCGTGTGTGTGTGTGTGTGTGTGTGTGTGTGTGTTGGGGGAGGTTTAGGGCTGTGTAGTTTTGTTACATGTACAGATTTATGTAAGCTCCCCCACGCACATGCTCCCTTGCCTATGAGGGAGGTGTTACACCCATTTCAAAGGTGAAGAGACGAAGGCTCGGGAGCCTGCTGAAGCACATAAAGAGAGTAAGCGCGGTGCTGTCACTTGAGCACGTACCTGGCTCCAGAGCCCACCCACGGTCAGCACCCTGAGCTGTATTTCCCAAAGCCGGGGGGTGGGGTGGGGTGTGTTGGCTGACCTCCCCCCGCAGGGCCCTCACCCCTGCCCAGACTCCTCGGAACTCCCGGAGCCGTTTGAGGAGCTGCAGGCAGTGCTCACGGTCCTGTCCCAGGTCACCGATGTTCACCATCACCTCCTGCAGAGGCCGGGGATTGGGAGCGTAGTTCTCTGAGCACCAGCCTTGGCGCGCCCAGCCCCCTGGCACGTAGCTGCGGGGGCTCCCCCTGTCAGGGAACCGGGGGCTACAGGCCAGGGCTCCCCCATCTCTCAGTCTCAGGGTCCCCCCGAGCCCCACCCAGCTGGGCCTCACCACGTCCTGGATCCAGGCCTCGCAAAGGTCCACTCTCTGCATGAACTCCAGGAAGCTCTGCATGTCCTCCAGGGCCTGGCCCTGGAGGGCCACCGCCTGCCTCAGTCTCTCCCAGCGCTGCTGCAGCTCCCGCAGCCTCTGGGAGACCTCTCCTGCCTGAGGGTGGCTCTGGGCTAAGAGAGTCTCGCCCTCCTGGGGAAGGAGGGGACACAAGAAGATCTTGCCTGTCACCCTTCTTCCTGCTTTCCCACCATCGCAGTCCCCTGTCCCCCCTTCCTAAGGCCTCTCCTGTTGGCCGCCCCGGAGTCCAGCTTTGGGGCAGGGCTGGCTGTTACCTTGACGACAGAAATGATGACCTCCTCATGGGCCTGGACCTCAGCCTGGAAGGCCTGGTGCCTCTGGAGGTGCCTCAGCTTATCTTTTAGATCCCCAGGAGGCAGTGGCTCTCCCAGCTGCTGGACCCGCTCCTGGATCCAGTCCTCGGCCTGGTGGCGGTGGCAACATGAATCCCATGATGTTGATACTGCCTCTGTCCACAGAGACGTCCCACCCGCCTACCCTCAGCTGGGCCCAGGTAGCTGACCACAGGCGCCAAGGGCGGCAGGACTGGGCAGAGCCTGATAAGTGAGAACCAATAGTTCTGGCCCAATAAGACATGCCCCAGGCCCTTGGGCCCCTCAGCCACAGAAAGGGGGCTTGGGTAGGACTTTCTGTTGGAGACGAGGTTTGCCTGCTCCCAGGCCCTGGACCGCTCTGCTCCCTTCCCCGCCTCTCTTTGTCCTGGGCCTGCGAGAGCTGAGGATGCAGTGGGGTTCACAGAGAGGGTCTTAGAATCAAATATCCCAGGCTCTAGGCTGGCCTCTGGGAAAGCCACTGATCTCTCCAAACCTCAGTGTCCTTGTTCAGGATTGTGGTGAAGGCTGAATGAGCCCAGGTAAAGATCATCTGTAAACTGTAAAACATGGCCCAAAGGGAAGGCACGGGGCTGGGGCTGGCCCTCTGACCTGGGTCATGACCCCGGTGAAGCCAGCCATCAGGAGGGAGGCGTGCAGGGCCTGTCTCCGGGTCTTGGCCAGCTCCTTCACTTGAGCCCGACGCTCCAGCACTGCGTGGAGCCGGTCCTGCACTCTGGGGCCCCAGAGGGTCTCTGCCCACTCACACAGAGCTGCCTCCTGCATGCGGGGGACACAGACTGCTGTTTCCCATGCCGGTGAGGCTGGAGCAGGAGCTGGCCTGCAGGGAGGCCCTCCCCTCAGACCCGCGTGGCTTAGGGCTGACCTAGGGCTGTGATCCCCCCAGCAAGCCAGAAGCCAGGGACAACGTGCTATGGGGCCAAGTGGACTCCCTGTCCCCGCAGTGTGGCTCACCCCATCCAAGCCCCCCTTCTTGAGCCAGCCAGTCAACTCTGTTCAGCCAGCCCCAACCATGTGCCCCTAGCCCCGCAGGCCACCTTGTACATCAGCATCGCCTCTGGTTGCTCACCAAGCACCCGGTGCCCCCTAGTTAGGATCCCAAAGTTCCCTAACTCCCCCTTCCCCCACTGACTCTGATGAACTCCCCTAGCCCATCACCTTCTCATCCTGGGCAGTCAGCACCTTCTGGAAGGTCTCATGTTTGCGGATCAACTGCCCCACCTCTTCCACCGAGCTCCCCAGGACACTGGTTTTCAGGGTCAGCTGGACCAGCCCATGGAATGGAAAGAGAGGCCATCACGGAATGTCCAGACGGAGCCCCGTCACCCTGCTTGCAGCGGTTGGTGGGGAGGCGGGGCACAGCCCCTGTGCTCCACATCAGGGAAAAAGCCAGAGCCCCCGGGAAGCAAGGAAGTGAGTCGGGGAGAGGGGGAACCGCGAGGAGAGGGGCACAAGGGTGTGTGCTGGGGGCCGAGGGCGCCTGCCTCCTGGGCGGTGAGGATCCTGTCCAGGTGGTCACACTTTCTGAGGAAGAGCTGCTCCTGGTGCATGGCCTGCAGCTTCGCTCGCTTCTGCTCCCAGGCCTGGAATACCTGCTCCCGCTTGTCCTGCAGGGCTCGCAGCCCTTCCTGGACCTGGAGACAGGCACGCGGGTGTCTGCTCTGGGGGCAGCCGTACGGATGAGAGGGAAGCAGTTCCTGAGGGAAGCCTCAGAGGGGAGGCCAGTGGGGCATAGCAGGGCAGGGCACAAGGGGGTCAGGCTCAGGTGAGGGCAGGGTACGCTGGGGACAGTTGGAAGAGGGAGCCCACCTCCTTGGTGGGTGTCCCTGTAGCCTGAAGTGCCTGTTGGCCCAGCTGGGCAGCCCGCTGGTGTAGCTCCTCCTGGGCCTCTAGCTCTGCCCGAAGCTGTTGGTGGGCGTTGAGCTTTACGGGGCCACTGTTGGCCTCCTGGGAGCTCTCCTCTACCTGCAGCTCCTGCCACACACTGTCCGCCCAGGATGTGTAGTTTTGCACCTGAATCCCAGGGAGATGGAGGGAGAGAGCTGGATAAGCGCTGGGCTAGGTGGCAGAGAACCGGGCTCTGAGGCACGGCTGCAGCCTGACTACAGCCCGGCTGGATCCACTCACACATCGCAGCAGCCTGAGCTGTCCTGGGGCACGGCCTCCGGTGAGGCTCGGGGGCCCTTTGCCACCTGGTTCCTCTGTTGTCATCCATCCCAACCCTCCCCGATCCCAGATCCCCTTGGCTTCCCTATATGCCAGCCCAGCCTCCTCGTCACCCTCACCAGGGCTCATCCCCACGCTGGCACCTTGACAGCTCGCTGCTCACCTGTCTCCTGGATTGCCAGCGTACCACAAACCATGATTTGCCGAGTCATGCACAAACACAGTGTTAGAGCCTGGAGGGGCCTTGGATCCTTGTCCAAATGATTCATTGCACAGGTGAAGAAGGGTAAATGGCACGAGGTGCGCGAAAGGGTTCTGTAAACTCTAGGCACACGCAAACAGGCTAACAACCTGGGGTTAAGGGTTAACCTCTTGAAGGTGGTTGAATTGGATCCCTAAATCCAAGCTTTTTTGCAGTGTCTTGGTTTGGGCTTTCTGGTCTACTAGGCACTGGGCCATGGGGACTCCTGGGGTGTCCCATGCTGGGGCCCACTGTCCCAACCTGACTCTCTTGGGTATCAGGCTCATATCAGCTAGACAGGCTCTATGCGGGCAGGGACTCTCTTACATAGTAGCTTCTGTATCACCCGTCTCTCTCCACCCACAGCTCCCAGCTATACACAGGTGTTAAATAGATGCTGGTTGATCGAGAGGTCATTGTCTAGAACATCTGGGTCTCCAGTTGTGGACTTCCCTGGACCATTTTTACTCCCCAACTCTGGCTGGGACCCTTGACCCCTGTCACAGCCCTGTCACTCGCCTGGGCTGGTGTTGACTCACACCTATGGAGTCACGCCACGCCCCATGTGCTCAGCTCTCTGAACAGCCAAAGAGACATCTAGAAGTGTCCACATTCTTTTTCTCTCTGGAGCTGGAGGGTCTCAGAAGTGCACACACATGTACGGTACAACACATACAACACACACATGCCCACGTATACACACACCGCCCAAGAGGAAGGAGCCCTCACCTCTGCGTGGAAATGGGCCAGGAGGCATGCCTGCTCCAGCTGGGCCCTGCGCTGCTCCATGCATAGCTTCAGGGCCTCCCAGGCCTGCACCAGAGCCTGCTGCCTCTGCTGCACTGCCCGGGCCTGAGGCCCTGGACCCAGCTTCTGCACCATGCCTGCAGCCTCCAGCAGTTCCTGCAGCTGGGGCCGGGGTAGGACATATGGAGGAAAGGGCCATGTCCTCCTAGAGGCTGAAGGCCTGCTCATCACACAGACCCACCCTTGGGCCATGCTCTGCCAAGCACAGTGGGCCCGCTGGAGGCCCCGGGGGAGTGTGGGAAATCTAGAGGAACAGCTGGGAAGGCCTGAGTGGGAGAGGCAGCCAGACCTGGGCTCACCTGCCACTCAGTGCCTGCAAGTTCACACTCTAGCCCCTCGTGTCTCTTCAGCTGGGCCTCCAGCCCACGCAGGTCCTGGGCCACGTCACTGGGGAGGCTTGTGGTTTTCTCCTGAGAGGAGATGGCCAAGGAGATAAGGAATGGAGGGTAGCACACTGAGCCTGGGGTGGATCATTTCCAGAAAGAATCCCCTTCCTCCCCCGGGCTCACACCTGGACCTGGGTGAGGGTTTCCAACAAATCTCTGTGAACTTTGAGAGTGACCTCGGCATCTTGGAGCAGCTGGCCTCGGGCCCGGGTCAGCTCCAGCAGCTCCAACCAGGCAGCCCTGCCCCCGGCACGTGGGAGACCAAGCAACACATCAGGCAGTGACCCAGCCTGCAATCTGCTCGGCCTTACCCAAGCCGGCCCTCCTCCTCTCTGGGCACATCCAGGACTGTCCCAAAGCTCCCCTTCTTAACACTCCTCCTGCCTCTGGCTCTGTCTGCAAACCTGCCTCCCTGGAGCCTGTCTTTCCAGCTTTACTCTGAATTCAGCCTTTTGCTGCTATCACATTCAGCACTTAATTGGTTTCTCTGCTTTGTAGTACCCCTTCCATCTTGCGTGTCCCAGTCTCAATATGTCAATCAGGTTATAATCTCTCCAGGGCATGGGCAACCTCTTCTCTCCATTCCTCACTTACTCTGCAAACTCTCAGGGAGCCCCCCAGGTCTCTGCCAGGCGGGACTCTGTGCTAAGGGCTATGACCTTGCCTCATGACACACAGGCTGGGGGCGGGTCCGAACCCAATGGGTGGCATGTAGGCAGCCCTCCCTCAACTCCTCCAGGTTGTGGGAGCTGGTGTTTTGGAACATGAGCCTCGAGGTCTGGGCAGGGCTCCAGGACCTACATGTCCAGCCTCACCCGTGGCAGGGTCAGCTTCCTGGGAACCAATCCCTCTGTAGACTCCTTGTGGGCAGACAGAGCTGTGTGGCCTTCAGAGCATGCTACCCCCTCTCTTAACTCTCCAGGAGCAGCCTGCCCCTGGCCTGGCCTGCTGGGCACTCACTGCAGATCCTGCTGTGTCTGCTGGGCCTTGGGGGCAGCGCTGTGGCCACATTCCAGCAGGATCGCCACCAGTTGCTGGCAGGTTGCCACCCGCTGGTGGCCCATCTCCATTTGATGCCGAAACTTTGCAAACTTGATGCAGAGGCGCTAAGGAGAAGGAAGGGATTGAGAGACAGTGGCTCCCAGCAGCTGGCAAGGCAGCGAGCACCTGGGACAGAGGCATCTCCATGATGTCTGAGCGATGGGGGGTGGGGTGGCCACAGCACCTGCCCACTCTACTCAGAGGCCTGTCCTCAGCCAGGGCTCATAACTCCCGTGGCCCCCTTCCCCACACAGCCCAGCCAGGCCGGCCCCCCACGCCCAGCGCTGTGCCTCGGGCGCCTCCTTGCCCCAGCCCTCTTCTCACCAGGACATGCTCGTGGTCCTCTCCGAGGTGCTCTCCTTCCCTGGCCTCCTGCGTCTGGCTGGCCAGCCAGCTCTGCAGCTCCTCGGCTTCCCTCATGAACTCATGTAGCTTCAGGGTCCCCTCTAGCTCCCGGTCCCTGTAGGGATAGTTTGTGGTTCCTCAGAAGTTGGCTGCCCATCCCCCTGGGGACAGCTAGCCCAGCCAGAGGGGTGACCTGAAGGAGGTTATGTATGGTCTCTGCTCAAGCCTGTGGCTCTGGATTCAGGGACAAGTAAACATAAACTGGTGTAGGGCAGGCAAGCGTGTGGCTGTGGGGAAGAGACACGGGTGTGTGGGGGAGCTGGGAGCTGGGGGTACACGTTGCTTCCCAGTGGGCCATCGCTGAGGAATTTATGGAAAGACGTAAGCAACACATAGCAAGGACTTATTTGACACATCTCTACGGGCAAGGGGTCATGGGTTCCTTCAGCTCAAGGTTGTGGTACAGGAACAGTCAACCGTGGCTAAGCCTCTTGTACTCAGAAGGTGCATAGTGCCCCTCACCGTGTGGCTGCCAACTCCTGCAGCGCCCGAAGCCGCTCCCAGACCCTCTCCTGCACCACGCCCAGCTGCTCAGGGGCCTCAGGGTCACTGAGGATCTGGGCCGTCTGGTCAAGCTTCTCCATGGTGCTCCAGCAAAGCGCTAGTTCCTGTTGCAGGGCCTGTGGGCACACAAGGGTCCGTGCCAGGCTCAGATTGGGAGACTTACTCATCTACACACGCACCCACCCCCATCCAGTCACCCACTGACGACACACCCATCCTCCTCCTCGCATCCACTTACCCACCCAGGCACCCATCGCTCACCTACCCAATAACGATGGAGTCCTTACTGTTCCATAACAGTGAAGGCATGGTCTGGGCCCTCAAAGGGCTCACTATCTAGCAGGGAGGGGTGAATGCTGGGTAACCTGGGCCAGGGCGGGGAGGGCATAGAAAGCACTGTGCTAGGTCCCAACCTCACAGCGTAAGAGATGGAGAGTGATGAGCCAGGTGCCCAGGAGGCCTGGGACTCTGAGTCTCCTTGAGGCACGGCTATAGGCACGTCCCCAGGAATGGCTCACAGAAAGTCCTCGGTCACACGCAGGACACTGAAACACTGACCATAGAGCTATGTGGAAGAACTGACACGGGGAAAATTCAATGGCAACAGCAACCAGAATCACTTCAGTCCAGGCTTCGGGGCTTCTGTGGTCCTTAGAGCCCCAGAAGGAGCGGGTGTCCAGGACCCCTCCCTTCCATCGGGGGGAAGCAGGTGTGGCAGGGAGGGAGGTTTCAGGAAGCACATTTGGTTAACTCAGAGGAGGATATTCAACATGTGGGAGGAAGAACACTGTGGAAGATGAGGAGAGGGCTTGAACAAGTGACCCCAAGAGTGGAGAAAGGTGTCGGGGGAGGAGAGGAAGCGAGAAGAGAAGGCAGGGAAGCCCTGAGGTCATGGGCATAGACTGGTACAGAGACTGAAGAGGGGAAGCGTCCTTCAAAGAGGCTGCCGCTGCAAGAGGGGAGCACTGCAGGGGCCTTGCAGGACTGGGTGGTCGGGAGGGGACTGGCAGTGTCCTCGGGAAGAAAGGGCAAGGCTCTGTGCCTCCAAGAAGTAGAAGTGCCCCTTGGGCATGTGACAGACCCTTTCTTCATGGCCTGCCATCACCTGAGGCCAGACTGCACGGAGGATGCTCAGAACATGGTACCTGGTGCTTCTCGATGAGCCTGCTCGTGGCCGCCTCATCTCCACCGTAGTCCTGACTGCTCACCAGCGGCCACTTCTCCGCCACCCTGTCCTCAAGCTCTGACACATCTAGAAAATACTGCCAAGAAGAGTCTAACTCACCTTGATGATCTTAGGACTCTTTATCATCTCCAGCAGCCAGCACAAGGAGGCGTCTGTGCCCATACAGGGACAAGCCAGCCCCTGGCTCAGGGTTCTCACCACTGACCCCTCTCCCAGAGAGTCCCAGGTCCAGCAGCACTCGCCACAGAGCCTGCCTGACTTTGCCACTTGCCCTGACCCTGTGCTCTCAGCGTCCTACCTGCTGGAGAGAGACAGCCTGCTGCAGGCACTGGGCTTGTGCCTTGCACGCCTGCTCCAGCTCCGCCCAGCGGCCTTCCAGCTCCCGGCACTGCTCCCCAATGTGCTGAGCCTGGGGGTGCCCTGAGGCTGCTAGGCTTCGGCCGGAAGCCAACACCTGCAGCACCCAGCCCTGGTGGGCTTTCACCTCCGCTTGGAGATTCTGCCATGGAATAGCACAGGGAAGGGGCTGTTGTCTCCAGATCCCCTTAACTGCAGGGTGCCCAGAACAGAGCCTTAGACATGGCTCCAGGTCCCATTTGTGGCAAAACTCCCAGGCAGAGAATAGCTAGGGACAGAGACTTGGAAATCAGGGCAGCCTGCGTAGCAGCAGAGCTTCTGAGGCCCGGGGGCAGGACATCGTGGGTCCTGGGGGAACGAGGGGGCTGTTACCTTGTGCTTGTGGCAAAGGCTCCAGGCATCACCCAAGCACTTGGTGGAGCCAGCAGAGCTTACACTGGGCATGTGCTCAGCTATCCACGTGAGCTCCGCGGTGGTCAGGTGGTAGAACTGGTAAAACTCAACTGAGGCCTGTAGCTGCAGGCGCCTGGTAGCCAGATGTCCTTGCAGGGACTTTAACCTGGGCGGAGGCAGAAGAGAAGAAAGAGGCTGGGAATGCGTGAGGACAAACCTTCAATCCTTCCCTTGGCTCAGCCAGGGACCCATGAAGAACAAGGCAGGTATGGGGGGGTGGGGAAGCCTCTCTGATGGCGGGGGCAGTGGAGGCAGCTGGAGAGGGTCTGGGGCGCAACCTCCCACCCAGGTGACCCACCTGACTTTAGAGATTGTGGGGTGCTTGGCATGCCTAGTTGGGGTCTCTGACCCTCCTACCCCAGCAAGGACTCCACTCATAAGGGACGGGGATTTGGACAACCTTCAGGCCCTCTGGGGCCACCCTGTTGGGCTCGCAGGGCAAACCCGCCCTCATGTCCTTGTGGGAGGGTGACACACAGTGGGGCGAAGGCGGAACAAGCAGGTGAGTACCTCTGGAGGCACTTTTGGGCCTCCTCCACGATGGGCTGTGCATTGGCCATCTGGTGGCCCTGGGAGACGAGGGCAGCCACCCGGCAGGCCAGTGCCTGGCCCTCACCCTCCAGCTGGCGGTGCCGTTTCTGCAGCCTCCTGCTGGAGCCCAGGCCCTGCCCCATCTCTGCACCCGGCAGAGTGCCCTCCAGCTGCTCTACCTTCTCCTTGGCGTCCTGGGGAGGGATTATGGTGCCGCATTTGGCTCTCCGCATACAGGCTAGCAAATGGCCCTTCTTGGGCTCTAAGACTGAGTGCTGGGGTACACCATATTCACCAAGGACCTACGGGGCCCTCTGTGCCTGACAGTTCCATCCCTCACCGGCAGTGCCCAACAATCCCCCAGAACCTCGTGAACACCCTGTCCCTTCATGCTGCTTCCTCCTTGTGGGACTCAGACTATAATAACCATGCACCGGACACACAGGAGACAATCCTGAATTGGCTTCCTGGTGGGACAAGCCAGGCTCAACTTGCCATAGGGCAGAGGTGACCAAGGGGTGCAGGACGTCCCAGGGCTGCCCCGGAGTTAACGTAACACCCAGACTCCTCTTCACACCCTGTCCTGCCGGTGCCCGGCCCCGCCCAGCATCCGCCTCCCTCCCCCTGCGCCCTGCCCCTCTCTTTAGCCGACCTGTAGTAGCCCCCGGAGCTGGTCCTGCTGCCTAGCCTGCCGGAGCTGCTCCCCATGCTCTGCCATTTTGTGGTTCAGCTCTTCCCATTTGCTACTCAGGCCCCGAAGCCTGGCCTGCACGTCCTCCTGGGCCCAGGGCTCACTGCTCAATAGCTTTCTCCCAACCTGCATGGACACAAGGGCCCAGGGAGCCTTGCTGAGCTGTCAGTACCATGATCAGCCACCGCAGGCTGGACCCAGATGGCAGAGGTAGGGGGAGGGGGGTTGGCTACAAGCTCCACTCCACAGGCTGCCAGGGCTTGAGCAGTTTGTGTGGCCCCAAATCTGCAGGCAGAGGTGGGAGAGCCTTCCCCCGGTGCCCACAAGCCACACAAGGCGAGCAGGCGTCCAGCCAGTGGCAGGGGAGGTCTTTGTTCAGGTGGAGGAGGCAGGCCCCAGGCTGCTCCAGGGAGCTGGGGGAAGGAACGGCGGAAGCTTTTGGGGCTGGTTTGGGGGCACAGACCAGGAGTTGCCCAGCTAAGTGAAAGAGGAAGCTGTGCAATCCTTATTGCGTGCTAACTGAAGTTGGTTCTTTCTTCAGTGAGCGTGTTCCATGAAAACATGCCATACAGCTGGGCAGGGAGTAGAGAGAGAAGCAGGCCGTGCACCCTCCGTCCAGGCCCCCACCTGCTGCAGGCCCTCCACGTGCCCACGGGTGGCCAGCAGCTCGCGCTCAGCCTTTTCGTGCCACTTGAATTTCTGCAGGATGTTGCTGGGCTCCAGGGAGGGCTCATCCCTCACCATCGGCCCCTTCTCCTCCATCCACAGCATCAGTTCAGCCACATTCTGCTTCCATTCCTGCCCAAGAACCGAGAGAGCATGGGTCTCCCAGACAGAGGGTGCGGGCTGGTGCGTGGCCCTCTATGATAGAGGTCTGGGGGGCCTCCGTGGGACCCAAAGCCAAGCCTAGGGTGCAGGGGAAGTGGGGCCTGGGGTTACTGCTCCCAAGTCGGGACAGGAAAACCGAGATTGGGGGAGAAATGTCTCAGGGAAAACAATAGGAAGAGGCCAGGGGATTCAGGACCTGTGCCCCACAGTGCCCGCTGCCCCGAGAGGAGGAGAGCCCACTACTCCAGGGCACATGAGATCCCACATGTCCGTCTCTCTCCAAACAGCCTGAAGCTCCAGGAGGCCTGTGGACTGGCTCAGCTCTGAGCCCCTGTGGGCGGTGGAGCTGGTATCTATCCGAGCCAGTCTGTAGCTGGTGCCCACATCCCATGCAAAAGCTTAGAGTGTGGTCAGAAGTGATGGGGAAGGGGAGTAACTGGTGAGGAAGGGTGAGGGAGTTATTCAGGACTTTGAACCCAGTCCCACCTCTGAGCAGTGTGTCCTCAGCCTCAGTTTTCCCTCATCTGGAATAATCAATCATAATACCTGTCTCACTGGGGTGCTATGGAAGTCAATGGCATAGCATGTGGGCAAGTGCCTTGTAAACTGGAAAGCGCTCTGCATGGCGCACAGCTGTTAGTGCAGCAGTGGACGCAGGCATTGCTCTAGGGGAGGCCTCCGGGCCTGGGTGCCCCCTCACCTGGAGCTGGAGGGAAGCCAGCAGCTGCCTCCTCCTCTGATCACTCTTCTCCTGGACCCTGGTCCACTGGGCCTGCACACTCTGGAGCTGCTCTCTGACTCTGGAGGGCATGTGGGGGGTGGGGGAAGCTGTAGGGGGCACTCCACGATGCCTGAGGCCCACACCAAAGGTCAGCCCCCCACAGCCCAGGCTGCTTCTCTCCACCCACTCTCTCAGCCTCAGGGCAATAGGCTGTGTAGACAGAGACAACAAATGTGCTTCCAGATAGGTCTATGCTCACGTGTGTGCAGCAGGGTGTTTGCTCTGCGCCAGCTTCTTGCCACGCGACCACAGAGCCTCTGCCCGAGGGCCCAGGATGCCCAGGAGCTGCCCAAACTCCTGGTGCTGCTGCAGCAGGCGCTGGGCCTCCCTTACATCTTCCTGTGGGTGCAGAGACCTGGGGTCATGCCCGGGAGGGTGGGGGCCAGCCCCATCTCCCTCGCTGCTGGCCCAGGGGCCTCCCGTGTCCCCGGCTCCATACCCCAAGACTGCCCAGCTGCAGGAAGGCCTCGGAGTTGGCACAGCTGGCAGAGAAACCATCCACTTCTCGGCCGAACTTCTGCAGCTCCAGCCCCTCCTGCAGCCACTGCTGTCTCTGCTCCCAGGCAGCCTGCAGGCCCTGGCTCTGCTGGCCCAGGAGCCTCAGAGCACTGGTCACCTCTGGGGAGTCTGGGGCGTCCAAGGCTGCCACGGGCTGGCCCTGAGACTCCAGCTGCTGCATCCTGGCCAGCACGACAGGCAGAGGGTCAAACCTGCCCCTCCTCTCACCGACCCTCCTTCCCTTCCGACCCCCGGCCATTCATTTCAGAGCTCTGATGTGAGGGTAGCTGCGGGGGGCCTGAGGCCGTTAGCTCTGTGGTTCCCTTGGCCGGTGGGGCAGCTGTGCCCAGGCCCACCACTGACGCTGAGTGCGAGAGCCCCAGCATGGTGCTTAGGACCCAGTAGCTCCCATCTCCCTGCCATGTCACATGCTGGCTCCGTCTGGCCACGCTGATGGCTGATGCCCAGGCAAGGACATGGGCTGGGGCAGCATCGCACAAAAAATTGCTCAACTGCACACACGCCTGATTGCAGGGCCACGGTAAGCCCACGTGGAGTCCAAAGAAATGCGAAAAGGTGTCCCTCTCAGCTGGGTGTGCCTTTTTTCCACAGGTGCACCCCTGGGGAACAGGTAACACCTTTGCATGAATTAGGAAAAGGCTCCACTCCTCTGAGCTGATGCAGCCCTGGACTGGGTAGTAGAGGCTGGCAAGCAGAGGATGGGATGGATTCAGTGCCTGGCTGGCCACGTGTCAGGTGCCCTCAGTAGGCACAGCCTGCAGATTGTACTTAGTAACGCTGTCCTGACAGGCCCAAACCGTCGTCTCTGCAGGAGGAGAGGCATCACCACACCGAGGAGGTGAGTGTTGTAGTCCCGGGGGTTCCTGAGCCATGTGCCTCCAGGGGACAGTGGGGTCAGCGTTACCCAGAACGGCTGAGAGGCTAGGTCACCCTGTCTGAAATCAATCCATCGTGCTTGCCAGGATGGCGTATGGCCAAGCCTGGACTGGATAGAATCTTCTGGCAGCTTGGACTGTGCCCTGGGTCCTTCCCTGAGTATGCAGGATGCCTGACTGGTTCTTGGTTACATCTTCCCTCCTTGAAGACCTCCCTCAAGCACCATGGTGGACATCAGCCTGGGTCGGTCCCCTGGCTGACACACAATCTCCTCTCTCTCCCTTCTGGTGGCCCATCCCCACAGGCCTCGGCCAGTCTGAAACACTCCCTGTCTGCGCTTCTCTCCTGACCTCTCTTGCTGCAGATGGATGTCCTCCAACAGGTCGCAGTGCTCCGCCAGCAGCCGCTGGGCTGAGGCCACATCCACTGCCTCCTCCTCACTGCGCAGCTGAGCCTGGATGTCCTCCGCCCACTGCAGCAGGCGCCGGCTCTCCTGCAGGAAGCTCTCCCTGGCCTGGGCCTGGGCCTGCTGGGCCACTTGCTGCTGCATCCGCTCCAGTAGCCCCTGCAGCATCTCCACCTGGTCGCGCAGGGCCTGGCTCTCTGCGGGGCCCGGCTCCTTGAGTCTGGGAGACAGGCCCATCACTCAGTCAGTGCCTTGCCCTGGGCTGGGTAACCAGGCCTGTTTTCTCTAGGGAAGGTGGTGGCAACTCTGAGCCCCCACCTCACTCTTGACTTATGGGCAGCAAGCACATGTGGCTCTCCTGACCCCACGAGCGTTTTCTCACGCTGGTCCCCCACCTTTGCCCCTGTCCTTCAGAGAGTACATCTATCCTCGCCCACCCCAATTTCTGTCTCCTTCCATGTTCCATAACCCGGCTCAGTTCTTCCCTCCCTCCCACAGCATCATCACCGTGCCAAACCCAGGCTGTACTTTATGGCCATTGTTTGCAAGGAATGGACGGTCCTCTCCAGCACTGGCATCTTCTGCTGGGCCAGCTGCAGGGTGCGGCGGCTGTCCTCTGACTGCCCTGGCTCCAGGGCTTCCAGCTGGAGTATCACGTCTTGTATCTGGGCCTGTGTAGGTCCACACTCCTGCAGGAAACTGCACACATCCGCGGTGAGCGCCAGCTGCATTTCCTTCTCTTTCTTCAGGGCCTCCAGCTGCCCCCACCTGGACAGAGGGAGCAGGATGTCTCCATCGCAGGGGTACCTCCCTGTCCATTCCGGGGTCTTGGCCAGAGGCTCACATGATAGAAGCTGCCGGGCCGGCCGTCCCTGCACCCTCTCCTCCCTGGCTCTCACACATCCAGTCTGTCCTCCGGCATCTCGGGGAGCGGGTGAGCAGGCACCTAGGCCCGGGCGCTGCCTTCTGCCTGCCCCCCCACCCCTCCCTCCCTCTTCATTCTCACCTCTGGCTCAGTTCCTCCTGTTGTTGCTGGATTTTGGGGGAGTCTCCAGGATATCTCTGCTTCAGTTTCTCAGCAGAGCTGCTGACCTCAGCCCAGTGACCTCTTCCCACAGTCAGGGCAGCGAGGAAGTTCTAGGGAAAGGATCACCCAGGCCTTGTGGGGGCTTATTCTCTTCCCATGCTCCCCTCAAGACTATGAATGACCTCAGACACGCTCTGTCACAGATGGGTTCAAGTTGCATCCCTCTGGAGGAACAGGGATCTATGTCCTTAAAGGGCTGGGAGGGTCCTTTGAAAATTCAAGAACAAGCATCCAAATTGGAAAGGAAGAACTAAAACTATCACTGCTTGTAGATTACATGATATGTAGAGAACTCTGAAGACTACACACACACACACACACACACACACAATTGTTAGAACCAATCAATGAATTCAGTGAAATTGTAGGATACAAAATTAATACATGAAAATCTGTTGCATTTCTATACACTAATAGCAAAAGAGAAATTAAAGGAAAAATTCCATTTATGATTGCATCAAAAAGAATAAAATACCTAGGAATAAATTTAAGCAGAGGCACTGAAAACTATGCCCTGGCTGGTGTGGCTCAGTGGACTGAGTGCTGGCCTGTGAGCCAAAGTGTTGCAGATTTGATTCCCAGGGAAATTGGGAATCAAATTGGGAATTGGGATCATTTGATCCCAGTTAAATGATTGATTCCCAATCATTTGATGCCTAGGTTGTGGACCAGGTCCCCAGTAGGGGGCACACAAGAGGCAACCACACATTGATGTTTCTCTCTCTCCCTCCTCCTCTCTAAAAATAAATAAATCTTTAAAAAAAAAAAAGAAAACTATAAGACACTGATGAAGGAAATTGGAGAAGACACAAATAAATGGCAATCCATTCAATGCTCATGGATTGAAAGATTTAATAGTAAAATGTCTATACTACCCAAAACACCCTAGACTCAATGCAATCCTTATCAAACTTCCAACACCATTTTCACAGAAATAGAACAAACAATCCTATAATTTGTATGGAACCACAAAAGACCCTAAATAACCAAAGCAATCTTGACAAAGAGCAAAGCTGGTGGCATCATGCTTTCTGACTTCAAACTAAAGCATATTACAAAACTATACTAATCAAAATACTATGGTATTAACATAAAAACAGACACATAGATCATTAGAATAAAATAGCCCTGAAGTAAACCTACCCTATGTCATCAATTAACATATAACAAAGGAAGCAAGAACATACAATTAGGAAAGGACAATAAATGGTGTTGGGAAAACTGACTAGCTACACGCAAAAGGATGAAAACAGACCGCTATCTTACACCATACTTGAAACTTAACTCAAAATGGATTAAAGACTTGAAGGTAAGGCCTGAAACTGTAAAACTCCTAGCAGAAAACATAGGTGGTAAGCTTCTTGACCCTGGTTTCTGCAATGATTTTTTTTTTTAAATTTCACACTGAAAGCAAATGCAACAAAAGAAAAAATAAACAAGCAGGACTACATCAAACTAAAAGGCTTCCACACAGCAAAGGGAACCATCAACAAAAGGAAAAGACAAACTAATGAATGGGAGAAAAATATTTGCAAATCATATATCTGATAAGGGTATATCCAGAATATATCGTGAACTCATATAACACAATAGCAAAAACAAAGCCAGACAAACAAAAGAACCCCTAAACAACCTGATTAAAAAGTGGGCATAGGATCTGAATAGACTTTTTTTTTTAAAGAAGACATACAGATTGCAAACAGGTACCTGAAAAGGTGCTCAACATCATTAATCACCAGGGAAATGCAAATCAAAACCACAATAAGCTATCACCTTACACTTGTTAGAATAGCTATTATCAAAAAGACAAGAAATAAGTGCTGGAGAAGTTGTGGAGAAAAGGAAACCCTTGTGCGCTGTTGGTGGAAATAAAAATTGGTGCAGTCATTATGAAAAACAGTATGAAAAAATTAAAAACACAACTATGAAATGATCCAGCAATTCTACTTCTGGGTATTTATGTGAAGAAAATAAAAACACTAACTGGAAAAGATATGTGCACCCCCACGTCCACTGTAGCAACACTTAGAACAGACAAGATATGGAAACAATCTAGATGTCCGTCGATGGGTGAACAGATAAAGAAGATGTGGTGTATATATACAATGCAATAGTAGCCATAAAAAAAACTAGGGAACCTTGCTATTTGCAACAACATGGATGGTCCTTGAGGGTGTTATGCTAAGTGGAAAAAGTCCGACAGAGAAAGACAAATACCATACGATCTCATTTGTATGTGGAATATAAAAAAAACCAAGCTCATAGACAGAGAACAGATCGGTGGTTGCCAGAGGCAGCGGGCAGTGGTGGGCAAGCTGAGTGAGTTAAAAGGCACAAACTTCCAGTTACAAAGAAGTCACGCAGATGGAATGTATAGCGTGGTGACTGCAGTTAGTAACACTGTATTGCATATTTGAAAGTAGCTAAGAGAGTAAATCTTAAAATTTCTCATCAGAAGAAAAAATATTTATGTATGGTGGCAGATGTTAATTAAACTTATTGCGATGATCATTTCATTTTGTAATATATACAAATATTGAATCATTATGTTGTACACTTGAAACTAATATAATGTTGTATGTGAATTATACCTCACTTTAAAAAATTCAAAGCCAGCTCTCTCCTCCCAAGCAGGACTATAGTTAACATGGAGAACTGAGGCACAGGAACAAGTAGTGAGGAGGCAGGGACAAGGCGAGGGGGGAGGACAGCAGTGAGGAGAGGGGCCAGGGCCAAGCAGCTGAAATTCCCTTTTGGCTCCGAGGGGACTGTACCTCAAACTTGAGCTGCATGATCTCCAAGTTGTCAGCCCGGGGCTGCAGCATGAGGAGCTGGGCTGTCTGGTTCTCCAGCCAGGACTGGAGCCCCTCACAGGAGCCGTAGAAACCAAACAGAGCCACTGCCTCCTCTAGCCGGGCCCTGTGGCGCTGAGGAGAGGCAGGTCCAGAGGGTCAATGCCCCTCACTGGGCACTCAGAGTGGGGTGGGGGTCCCCCCACCCCCAGCAGATCCCAGGCCAGCACCACGGAGGGTTCCTGCCCCGCTGCCCAGCTCAGCGCCCTCTGTCATAGGTCCGGGGAGGCAGCTGGCAGCAGCTTAGCAGGTAAAGGGCGCTGGCAGAGTGTGCTCCTTTGATCTTGTCCTACTCAAGCCCTTTAGCTCATAGGTACAGTCCACACTTCTCCCATGGGGCTGGCAGCACCCGCCCCCCCCGCCAAGGCTCTCCTCTAGAAACCTGCCATTCCGCCTCCCCTCTGGGCTCCAGGCACCCTGGACTTACTCCTCCATTGGGCCTTTCTCCGGCCTTTGCATAGGTCCTGCCTAGAACACTGTCTCCCTGCTCTCTGCTGCCCAACCCCTGGCGTTACCTGCCCTCAGCTTTCATTCAAGTCTCAGCCTGAAAGTCCTTCCTTCTGAGACGCCTTCCCTGACTCCTCCACCCGAACTGGGCTCCGGTCTCTTATACTCCTATGACATCCATCTAATGACTTGTTTCACACCTTCTCTGCCATGATGTCAACCCCTTGAGAGCAGGGAGCATGTCCAGCTACTGCTCTGTCTCTGCGCTCATGGCTCAGGGTCTAGCACAGAGGAGGTGGTGCTTCATGGACATTTCTTGAACAAGGAGCATTACCTCTGCCAGGACCCGCAGGCTCTCGTAGTCCTGGCTCAAGCGGTCCTGTGTCTGGAGTATGGCGTTGGGGTTAAGGACAGGGTTGGGCTCAGCTGGGAGGACCACCTTCTGGGTGCCGGAGGGGCAAGAAACCTCACGCCAGGCCCCCGGGCTCCTTGGGCCTTCCTTTGGGGAGCTCAGGGCAGATGCCCCCTGTGCCGACAGGACAGAGGGCAGTGTGTCCAGATGGGGCTCCCTCGCAGGCAGCAGAAGGCTGGGTGGGGCGGGGCCAGCGGTTGTACCTGGGGTTCCTGCTCCATGACGTGGCTGATGGGCACCTGGGCCTGGCAGCCACCCCAGTCCTTTAGCTCCCAGGTGTCAGGGCCTGTCGGGTGCATTGGCCGCAGGGCCTCCCCCGGGAGCCAGGTGAAGCGCGCCCCTGGGGAAGCAAAGTTCTGGGGGTTGCGGCCCTCCCCATGGGGGTGGGTGAGCATCTGGTTCCTCTGCACCTATAGCCCTGGGCAAGGGTCAGATGGGGCAGCAGAAGCCAGGCTGGCTGTTCAGGGCTGGGTTGAGGAGGCTGAAGAAAAGGAACAGGCACAGAGAAAGAGTGGAAAGGGGGAGAAAACAAAGAGAAGTAGGAAACCAGAGAAGGAAGACTCAGAATTTGGGGCAGCTTCATGCACCTCTTTCAGTTGAACCCCAAGCAGCCTCCTCTTAACTTCCTCCCTTCAGTAGTTGGGTGCTCCAGAGAGCTACACAGAATAAATTTATGATGGTTTGGTAAGGCTCCCATGTGGGGTCTTGGCCTTGTACCTCCATAGATGAAATGCATCTGGATCGAGGGGCGTGGGTGCTCGCTGCCTGGTGGTGCTAAGAGTTGGGTCCCATCCTGGGGTTTCCTAGTTGCATTGCCATCAACCCTGCTCCAGTCGTCTGGGGGCTCCCTCTGCGTGGAAGAGGGAAGGCTGTGCTGAGCTGCTGAAGTGGTTCCCCACCCCCAGCAGAGGGGGTTACCTCCATACCCCCCGGGCATTATGGAGCAAAGCAAGGGTATCAAAATGCCAGAGACCAGGCCTAAGCCCCTCACTGATGCTAGCACTGGCTAGTAGTAGAGGACACAAAAGAAGATGGGGCACCACCCATTGATTCATTCGAACAATTAACTCAGGCTGGAGAATTAGGCCACGTGGAAAAACAGCATGTGCTAGTATGATGCAAGTGCTAGAATGCAACAACATCAATACACGGTGAGGGACGGGGTAGAAACAACCTTGGACTGCAAGTTGAAGGCCTCTCCTGCTGGGATAACCACATGTCCTTGGGCACTAATTTGGCATCTCTGAGCCTTGGTTACCTCCTCTGTAAAGTGAGGGGGCTTAACCAGACAACTGCTCACATACTGTGGATCTATTTTCAAAAATGTTAGCTATGTGACCCAGCGAATAAATGGCAAGGAAAAGGGAGCGACCAGCCCCAGCCAAGTTAGAAGCACAGGCCCTGAGACCTGGAAGTCAGGTGCCGCATAAATGATCAGTGCAGGCTGGACCGAAACTGCGGTCAGCTGCTGACTACTCGGCCGGGCCACCTCGGGCATCGAGGAACCTGAGCTGCAGCTCGGAGGGTGCACGGGACATGGCTGGGCAGAGAGAGGGGGTCCAGCACATAGAATTTCCTTAGGAATTAGGGTAGAGGGAGGGGCCGAACATGAGTGCAGGGCCCGAGAGCCCAGGATCTATCTGCACATCTGGAGCTACACACACAGCTTTTTGAAACAGGGCTGTAAACCGTGATGGTCCTGGGCCTGCCGTCCTGCCAGGCATGTGTGTTTTAAAAACTGGGGGCTCAGGAACTGAGGGAGGGTTTTTCAGAAAGCATCCTGGCATAGTGATTAGGCCATTCCAAACTTACAAAGTCCAAGGCAGGAGAGAGAGATCCCAACAGGGTGTAAGGATGAAGGGTCACCTGAGGCGTGGCTAGGAAAGTAGATTCCTGGAGCCATTCCTGGAGGAACCTGATTATTGCCTGGAAACTGGTGGGCAAAGTGAGCAGAGCCAAACTGTAGTTGGGGCGGACAGGATTTCAGTAACTCTGGGCTGGGGCAGCGGGGAGGTGCGCACCGTGAGCGATGCGCGGGCTGCAGCAGCCCGCGCCTGCTGGTCCAGCTGCTGCAGCTCTGCCCCGAAGGCGCGCAGCGCACGCTCCAGCCGAAGGTGGCGCGGCAGCAGGGCCTGGGCGCTCGCTGGGTCCAGCCCACAGGATGCGTCCTGCAGCGCGGATCGCTGCTCCTGCAGCCACGACGCCGCCGCCTCCGCGTCTGCGAAGTACTGCGGGGAGGAGGGCGGGCTGAGCTCTGGACCACCCTGCACAGCCCACCCGGCCGCCTGCAGCCCAAGGTTCTGCTACCTGTTGGATGAGCAGGGCTGCCTGCAGCTGTGCGCCCCGCCGCGCCGCCAGGGCACGGAGCTGTTGCCACGCGTCCTGCACTGTCTCAGCCTGCTCCTGGGGATCCGGCCGCGCTGGAGGCCAGCGAGCGCTCAGGTCCCGTCCCCTCCACTGGAGGTCAGCGCACACAGCTTGGTGGTGGCGGATCTCGGCTTCCAGGGCCTGGAGGAACATAGAGCAGGTAGCTGGGCGAGGGTAAGGGAGGGGTGGCAGGGAGGTGGGACAAGCAGGACCCAGGGTAGCGGGCACCTTGTGTTTCTGCAGAGAGGTTACGATCTGGCTGAGTCTCTGGCCCAGGGCCACATCTTCCACCAGCCGTCTGCACTCCGTCAACCAGGCTTCCTCCTCCTCACAGTCTCGCAGGAACTCCGCTCTGCGCAGGGTCTGCTCCAGCAAGGCCCGACTGAGGGACAGCAAAGATCGCAGAGGGGCTGGGAGTGGGCTTGGGAGGGGGTTCCATACTAGGCCCAGACACTCCCCCTTAGGAAGACAGTTTTGTTTTTTCTGGGTGACTCAACAGGGGAGACAGAGGCCTTGGGGGTGACGGTCAGTGTAGGAAAAGTTGCCGGGCCAGCAGTATTTTAACCTGGGCAGGAGCTAACTTGGGTTACAGAAAAGTTCTGAAAAGGTAGAGGAGTCGGGGCAAGCTCTTACCGGTTTCTGACAAGAGACACCAGGTTCTGGTAGAGCTGGGTCAGCTCCTGGGCTTTGACCTGAAGTACCTCCACACTAGTGACCGAAGGGGAGTGCAGCTCTGTGGTCTGGTGGGCCAGATGGCTCACATGGGCTCCATGGGCCGAGACCTGGGCCTCCAGCAGGTCGTGCCTCTGCAGCAGCTCCACCACCTCTGCAAGCCGTTCCCCACAGGCTGTGGAGCTGGCCAGCACCTGGCCAGGGACAGGAGGGCATTGCAGTCCTGACTGCCGGGTCCCCAGGAGTGCCAGCGCTGGCACACCTGCTGTGCTCCCTAGGGGCCTACTGGTCCAGGGCCCACCTGCAGCTCCCGGAGCTGGCCGGAGGCAGTCTCCACCTCCTGCAGCAGGCTCAGCCCAGCCTGCACGCCTGCCATCCGCTTCCTCTGCCCTTGGAGATGCTGAAGGAGCCTCTCCCAGCGCCGAGTGATCTCCAACTGCCTGAAGGACATGAGAATAAGGGTGGGCTTCACGGGGCTGGGGCAGGAAAGCTTCCTTGGGGTGCACAGCTAGTTGGGGGCTTGGCTGCCCAGGAGGAGCCTGCGCTCCATGGATGAGAGCTGAGAGCATCCTACCTGGGGCGGTAGGGGCAGTGCTTCCCTGCCTCTGAGATACAGACAGAGAAGCCAGGAGGTGCCTGGGAGGTTCAGGCCTTCATGCCTCCCTTCCCCCGCAAGCCTTCTTTCCAGTCTCCATCTCAGGTGATAGCAACTCCATCCTTCCAGATGCTGGGCTAAGACCTTGATAACTCACTTTCTCACACCCCACATCCGACCTGTCTTCAGATCCTCTGGGATTGAAAGTATACCCAGAATCCTGCCGTTGCTCATCACCTCCACTCTTTCTTGGACTGGATTATTTCCATCGCTTCCTAACTGCTCCCTGCTTCTGCCTTTGCCCTTTCTGTCTGGATGTCACAAGCATCCAGAGTGATCCCTGTGAAACAGAAGTTGCAATGTGTCCCTCCTCTGCTCAAGCCCTCCCATGATTTCCCATCTTTCTCAGAGGGAAAATCCAAGTCCTCAGCCTGCCCTGCCGAGCCCAGCACAGTCTCTGCCCCACCCCTTGACCCTGTACCTCCCTGACCTCAACCCCTACTTGTTCACTTCGGCCAACACTGGCCTCTATACTGTTTTTCAAACATGCCAGGCACACACTGCACCACCTCCTCTGCTCAGTATAGCCTCTCTCCTAATATGGCTGGCCCCTCACTTCTTTCTGGCCTTTGCTCAAAAGTGAACCTCCTCTGGCCACCCAATCTAACTCCCCCCAACCCTTGGCACCTCACATCTCTTGCTTCATTTTTTTTATCTTCTCACATACTATACATTTTTCTTATTTGCCTATATGCCTTAATAGTGTGTTAGCTCCATGAGGGGAGGAATTTTTGTATGCCCTTTCATTGCTAAATTTCCAGGAACTAGAACAGTGCTTGGGAATAGTAGACATTCAGTAAGTGCTTGTTTAGTGAATGGATTAAATAAGGTGCTCTATAGAGAGGACGGTGCTTTACCAAGAGGGATGAATTATAAGTAGTGGAACTTCGGGCATCAGTGGGAGCTCGGTCTTTTTAAAGGGAACCCTGAATCCATAAGCCACTCCTCTGTGGCTGGGAATGGGTATGTGTAATGATGGAAGTGTGACAGGTAGGAAGACCTTAGACTGTTTTGAGGATGGTTTATATGCCTGGGTCTCACCTGCCGGCCACATCTGCCCAGCTGTGGTACTGCTCCTGCTGGAGAATGTCGGCGATCTCGGCCAATGCCTGGAAGCGCCCTTCCTGGGACAGGATGCTGGCCTCCAGCATGCCCAGCCTCTGGACGGCCACCTCCATTGCGGCCGGGCTGGCGGGTGGGGCTGCAGCCTGGTCTATCACCTGCTCCGTGTCTGTCAGAAAGCTCTCCCGGAGGGCTGCCTTGTGCTGGAAGCGCCGGGCCAGGGTTTCTAGCCGGTTTAGTTGCAGGAGTCTCTGCTGCAGGGCCTGGCTCTGCAAGGCCTCTGCCTGCTCCAGGCTCGCCCAGCGCTGGGACAGCTCCGCAGGGCCCAGGCCCTCGCGAGGCAGGAAGGGTCTGCGTTTCTGGGCTCGGAGTGCTGTCTGCAGGCGGAAGAGCAGGGCCTCTGTGGCCCCTTGCTGCTGCAGCCGAGGTGGCTTCTCCTGGGTGCGGAAGGAGGCAAAGGCCATCAGTAGCTGGCGCATGGCAGGTAGGGAGTCTGGGAAATCCCGTGCCTTTAGCTGCATCTGCTTCTCTGCAATCCAGCATAGCAGGTCAGCCACCTGCTGCTCGTACTGGGTCTGCAGTCTGTCTGTCTCCTGGAGCTGAAGCAGGACCTGGTGGGAGGCATGGGATGGAGTCAGGATGACACTTTGGGACAGGCCCTGGAATGCAGGCACTCCCATTTTTGACACCAAGTGCCAGCCAGGATTGTCCGGGTGGGTGGTAGCTCCTTTCCTCAGCTGACGAAGCACTGAAGTGGGGTCGTCCCAATCTCTAGAGAAGTGGGCCTGCCCACATGGCACCTCGGAGCTGGGAGTGTGGGACCCCTGGCCTACTTTCGTCCATCTTATTGGACCCCATTTGGCCTTACCTCTGGGGGTTCTGTTTTTTTTCTGAGCCTTTAGTCCCTCCCCTGAGGCCCTCCTACCCCTAAAGCAGTTCAGCGCCTGTGGCCTGGACCATGTCGCCCATGCCCAGCCGAGGCACCAACCCCGAGAACAGCCCTCCCAGGCCTCAGCCTCTGCCATCGTGGCCAGAGAGTAAGAGAGCCCCCCAAATACACGGACTCGGCCCAGCAGAGCTGCTTCTGTGCCTGTCCTTGCAGAGTCTGGGAATTCCTCTGAGCCTTTTAATCCCATTGGGGGTTTAGCAGCCTAAGAGGGGGAGTGGGGGTGGGGGGGAATAGGCAGGAGCTTGCTCACCAGGCTTTCCCTGAGTGCCAGGCACCACGTGGGCACTTTGCTCATGCTCCCTTGAACCTCGACAGCAGCCTTCTGTCACCCAGGCATTGTTGCCCCCACTTTACAGATGGAGTACAGTAAAGTTAGGTGACGTGGCTAAGGCCACACAAGTAGGAGGCTGCAGAAGCAAACTTCAGACTCAGGTGCGTCTGACTCCAGAGCCCCAGCTGGCCCTCACCTCTCCTCAATGCCAGCTTCCCTTTGTCACCAACCTTGGCGAGCCTCCTCTGCACAGTCTGCCCCTGGTGCAGGCGGGAGAAGTGGTGGTAGTAGAGGGAGACGTAGGTCATGATGCAGCGCTCATCGGGCTGCAGGGCCGCCACGTCCTCGGGGTCCAGCAGCTGAGCAATGCCCAGCTCCTGCTCAGCCACGCGGAAAGCAAGGTCGAGGTTGTGCAGTGGGCGGTCAGGACGCAGGGAGCCGTAGTCAAGCAGGTCTGGCCTGGTCAGGGAGCAGACAGGGCTCTTCACCTGAGCCATTTACTCCTTTGGTTTAAGGGGACTTGTTAAAAAGGCAAATGAGTTCCTATGGGTCATGACCCTGATGGTCACCTGAGAGCCTGGCTGAAGCTCTCGGGCTCTGACAGACAGGGAGGGTTAATCTGGCGCAGTGTCCAGGCTCCTCGGGGCGGGGGGGCGTGGAGTTCCAGAAGGGTAGGTCTGTCCCAGGGAGAGGACTGAGAATAGAATCAGGGACAGGGACACAAAATGGAGACAGGAAGGGGTCAAAAGCAAACATGGCCAGTTCCACAGAATTCCTAGGAGAGGAGGAAGGGGTAATCCCAGACCAGGGCCTTGGCTAGCAGTCCTCTACCTGTGCCCAGGGTGCTGGGGCCAGACGGGCATGGGAGAATGGGCTTGCTGAGGACCTGAGCCCCGGGGCAGTTGGCTCGGTGGGTGGAGGCCTCTGGGAAGAAGGCCGAGGCCTGCCCCAGGCCAGGTCAGAGCTGGGAATGCGCTGGGGTCCCTCTCCCTCACGCACACCTGTGGGCGTGGATGAGGGCATTGAAGCCCAGCCCGTCGCTCCAGCTACGAGAGAAGTCGGTGATGTTGACGTTGGCGTAGCAGGCCGTCTTCCGCTGGCACCAGACCAGCAGAGCTTCCTTGGCAGACAACAGGGCTGCACTGGCACCAAGCTCCTCCTGGAGGGAGAGGGCAGCAGGTCGTCACCATGTAGTGACAGACAGGGAGGCAGCAGAGCCTGGAGCTGTGGGGTGGGGGGAGCGGGGAGCGGGCAGCAGGCTGGCGTGGCTGTGATTCTGCTTCCTCCCTTCCCCATGAGGGCTGACTGTGTGTCCGAAGAATCAGGGTGTCTGAAAGCTGTCACCTCTGAGCAGCTGTTTTTGAGTTGTACCTGGTGACGACCACAGCAGTTGTTCCCGTTTCTCCAGCGCTCTTAATGGGCCTGGCTTTTTGCTAACTGGCCCTAAGGCTCATGGAACCCCAGCCGGCTTCATTAGCGCCACTCCCGGTCGCTGTGGGCTGCCTGCCAGGCTTCGGGCCATGTACATAGCTCTCCGCCCCTCACAGCCCTGTGAGGTAGGCACTATCAGTGTTTACATTCTAAGGATGTCACAAGAAGGTGCAGTAAGAGATATTAGGGAGTTGCCCAGGGTCCCTCGGCAGGTGGGAGGGTTTCACTTGACCCAGGAACATTGCCAGGGATCCGAGCTAGGATGTGTGAGCCTACCTGTCTCCCACCTCAATGCCTCATGCGGCTTCCTGAGGGCAGATTGGGTGCTGCTTTTTCCAGCTGGGAAATGGCCAGCTATATCTGGTTTTAGTCCCCTCCCACCCTGCATGTTCCACCTATTGATAATTTCCTTTATTTTGCTGCTCACTAGTGAAAAGACTTGTCCTGGATCAGGCCTGAAGCCCATGAATCTAGCTCTCACTTCAGCATTTTACAGTCTCTCTGACATTCCGAGTGCTTTGCCTGTGGTTGAAGAGTAAATATAAATTGTGTGGATGCCAAGGATCTGCTGTGGGGGTAACAATTGAGTGGAGTTGCTCAGTGGACGGGCCTGAGGTGCCAGAGGTGAAGCCAGGGCTGGGCGGCGTAACTGGACACTCGGGGCCGAAACATACCCTGTCCAGGGAGATGTGGGAAATCTGGAAACGCAGGATGATAACCCAGATGAGTCCCAGGATGAATGTCTGGTCTCCATCCACGATGTTCTCTGGCCCGATGAGGGGGACTGGCACCTGTGGGCACAGTTGGCTGGGCTCAGTGTGAAGCCTGTGCACCAGGGAAGATTCCAGTAACTGCCTGTCCAGGGAGCCGGCCACCCAGGGGGAGGGGCCTGGGATCTGTCCTGCCCCACAGGGTCTCCAAGGGAGAAGCAGGCAGGGTACAAGGCCAGGCAAGCAGAGGTGTTCTAATTGGTTGGGGCTTTGGCCCCAATCTCGTGAACTGGACCACTGGACCACTGGAGGGGCGTGCTCCCAATACGAGGGCTATAGGTACGCCTGGGTCAAGGTCATTGGTTCAGCTATGGGGGTTGGAAATGAGGGGTCATAACAGTCAATGTATGGGCTCAACAGCTGTCTGCCTCCATCTTCGGTGGCCTCTTGGAGTCTCCAGGGAGAGCTCAGGCCCCTGGCTCACACATGAATCTCAGACATTGTTCCAATCCCTGTTGGAAATTCAGATTCCCAACCTCTACCAGACATACTGTCTTGGGCCAGGGCCCAGGAATTTGCATTTGGACAAACACCTCAGCTACTTCTCGTTAAAGCTGGGAACCTGCTGCCCTAGATCTTGTCACTTGGGCAAGGTGGAGGAGTGAATCAAGGGGAGAAAGGAACAGAATAAACATCAAAGCCACACATGACCTGGACCCCTTCACCCTTTGGCTCCATGCTGTCTCCTGGATCACAAGGCCAAGGCTCCTGGGATTCTTGCATTTCCTCGAGATTGTAAGCACAGAGCTTAGGGCCTTTGTACTGGCTTTCCCTGCTGTCTGAAAATGTGAGTCCCCCAGATAGCCACATGGTCACCTCTCTTTCTTCCTTTACTCAAATGCCACTTTCTCCGTGAGGCCTACCCTGGCCACCTTATTTAAAATAAAAACCCTAGGACTCCTCCTCCTGCCCAAACACACATGCTTGACCCCTTCACTCTGCTTGGGAGGAGATCTTGGTTTTGTTCCCTGATGTCGCCCTGAGCACCCGGTAGAGTGTCTGGCATACAGTGGGTAGTCGATAGGTGGGCACTGTGGGAGGGGTCGCATCCCGGGTACTCCCAGTGGGCACACTTTGTAATAGCGTCCCGGTGTCTAAAGGGTGCACCCCATGCTCTGCTGTCTTCCCTGGCACATCTGAACCCTTCTACATTCCCCTCAGCTTAGAGTAAGAGCGTCTGATTTTTGGGGTGTTGGTCTGCTCAGGCCAGCTTTGGAGGGCTGATCTCCCTTTGTGTTTTATAATGTCATGCTGCTAGCTTGAAATCAGCCGTGGTGGGGGTGTCAATGCCTCAGAATCAACAAATGCTACAAACCAGGGTCTTAAACTCCCTCCAGGGAGCTGGTTGTTAAACATTTACCAGCACGTCACTGATTTGGGGTTTAACTAACTGTCTTCCCTGACATAGGCCCCTGTGGTCAGGTCTTGTCCCCAAAACCTGGCATGAGGCGCCCGGCACATCGAATTCTTTAGAAATGAGTGCATCGCACATTCTGCTACTTATTAACCACGATCTGGGGCAACTCCCTTGTTCTTGCTTGACCACGGCTTCTCGGAACGTACAGTGGAGACGGGGCTGTCGCCTGCACAGGCTGCATGTCAGTGACGTGATGTGTATCTGAGCTTGAGGGGAGCTGCAGGGCCTGATGCGGGGCTCGCACCCTCCCAGGCTCCCCAAGGGGAGGTGGCTGCTCACAGGCCATTGTCCTTGGAGCCAAGGAGGGCCTGGTGGTCCGGGTTGGCAGCTTTCTGCTCTTCCACGTGCGCGGGGACCACAGTGCCCCTGCCGCTTGCTTTGGTTTCTACCTCCCTGGCCTCCTCCCAGCACACCAGGCTCCCGGGGGCTGACTGTAACCTCCAGCCCAGGACATAAGCGACAGGCAGACACACTCAGGCTCAGCCCAGCCGCTTTCTGTTCAGTGACTTCACAGCCTCTCTGACAGTCTCTTCTCAGCTTCAGTATCTGAGGCCAGAGGCCCCCTAATTCCTGCTTCTCAGTATAAATGACCCCTGCACAGCCCCCTGTGACACTGGCTGTGAGAGTCCTGCTGTGTCCCTGGAGCACCGGCCTCCCTTTTGTGACTTTTTTTTTTGACCTTTATTTCTTTCAGGGTCCATCCTGTTTGCGGAGACCCCTCTCTGCCATCCAGTGCATCTTCTCCGAAGCAGACCCCGAACCTCCCTGCTCCACTATGAAGCTCAGTGTCCGGGACCCTCAGCCTGCCTCCCACGGCCCTACATACGGGCTCTGCCGGCCAGCTGGCCATGTGTCTTGCCCGGTGAACAGTTCCCTCGTGTATCAGAAGAGAAGGTTGAGAGCGCACTGAATCTCTCAGCTTAGAATCCTGTGATTCTCTTGTTACAGTCAGCGGCATGTTTCAGTCCCTCCCACTAGGGGTGCTGGCTGCTCTCGTTCCAGCTGGTTGGGTACTCTCTTCGCTGCAAATGCTGTGCCAGGAAGGGCTTTGCTTGCTGGCCCTCTGCACACCAGCTACGCCTTCTGGATTCAGGCTCCTGTGGCCAGCCCAGGAGAGATGGTCTAGGAATCCAGCCTGTCCCTACTGCTCACCCAGCATCACGCCCAGAAGCCCCCTCCTCAGTACCCACCTTGGCCCTGAGGAAGGCCAGAGCCCGGCTGCTGTTCTCTAGGAAGTGCACGCGCATGTGGCCCCGGCTAGGGGGTGGCAAGGCCTCACCCGAGATGAGCTCTAGCAGCCGTAGTAGGTGGGTGCCGTCGGCCAGCTCTGTGTACAGGTTCTGGATCTTGAGGGCCACCTGGGAGGGAACGGGGGAAGGCGGGGGTCAGCTCAGCCTCACCTGACTGCCCCACCCCAGGACCCAGAGCAGCGGCCTGGAGGAAGGGGCATTGATTTGTCTCAGCTGTGCTGCTGGGGGGGGGGGCTGTGGGGGCAGGAGACGCCTCAGCCAAGTGGCCTCCTCACCAGCCCCCCGGAGGCATGGTAGAGGTGGACTGCAGGCACCCCAACTGCACTGACCCGACCACGCTGGAAGATGTTGTTGATCCAGTTGGTGAAAGTCTTTTCCTGCATCCGCAGGTGCTGCGCCTGCAGCTTGCGAATGTGGCCCATCTCATAGGCAGAGTCCATGGCGGCCCTGGGCTGGGAGAGCCGCCCGGGGTTCCTGTGGCTGGCCTGCTTCAGGTATCCTGTGGCTGCAAGGCGCTGCTGGGGATTGTGGGACTGGTGAGCCATCAGGCCCGGAGCCCTTTGGGAACAAGGAGCCCTAAGCTGGAGATGTTGGGGGCATGGAGGCTGGGGGAAGGGTGTGGGTACGATGGCTCCTCCGTGGGGCAGGCTTGCCTCTGCCAGGGGTAAGGGGGCCCTCCCTGCCAGACTGCCCTGCATTTGATGGGGGTGGGGGCAGCTTGGAGCGTAGCCAGGTGAGGCCCTGGGGCTCCTAGCTGGCGTCCTGCACTTGAATGGCCCAGGGCCCCTTTTGCCCACCCCACTTTCCAGATTCTTCTCAGAGCCCTGATACCAGACGTCTCTCCTGGGCCACAGGGATAAATAAGGTGGTGGAAGGAAAACAGGAAACTGCTCACCTAGGCGATGTCTGGGCCTGTGGAGGAGACCTGGCTGGCTGGCTGGAGACAGAAAATAGCAGAAACTGTGTAGGGTGGGAGAGAGCTATCAGGAGAGGCTGAGGCTGGAGCTGGGGCGACGCCATGGCCCTCCTCTTGAACCAGCAGGACAGTGGGGACAGCACACAGCCAGCATTATCCTCCCACCTGCTCCTGGGCGTGGCTCCGACTGGAGGGGGTGGCTCAAGAATGCTCCAGACCATTGGTCCGAGATCCCTTCCTTTATCATGCCCCCAATGTCAGGTGGGGGTCCTGGCTCCCAAGACACGGAGACGCATGGGGCGGCCTCCAGTCGGCCTGGGTTGGGAGCCCCGTGGAGGCGCTGTAGCCTGGGCAGAGGAACTGGGGGGCAGGGCCTCTGGTCAGAAGCTTCTGCACCCACTTCCCAGTCGGGGGCTGCTTGTCTGCACCCCACAGGGCCTCTTTGGGAGCACCCACAGGGGAGGGATGAGAGGGAACGCGCTGGCCAGAGCCCCCTCCCGGCTTCTCCTGGGGAATCATCAGACCCTGGGCTCCGCTTTACAGCCCTGACAGGGGTGCACTCAGCCTAGCCCAGGGCTGACTGCAGTGCTCCCTCACGCTTGGGCTGCTTTCAGAAAAGGGCTCCCCTGGAAGGGGTAACTTGGACCCGCAAAGGCCGTGGAGACAACAGCGGCCCCTCCAGGGCCAGGGTGTTCACTGTCTGGGCTCCAGGGCGGGGCCCCAGCACCTGAGTGCCCATGGAGTTGGCCGGGCGGGGCTCCGAGGCAGGGGCTGCCCAGCGAGCAGGCGGCTCCTCTCACCCTCTCTGAGCCACTGTGGGCAGCGGGCCAGAGGGAGGGTGACTTCTAACTTGGGTGGTTCCCAGGACAGTCTGGCTAAGCTCGGGGTACGGCCTCTGAGCTGGGGTGTGTGTCTGTGGCTCATCCACCCAGCAGCCCCCGGAGACTCTGGAAGGAGAGACGGTGCTCCTCAGGGAGGTGTCCCTGGCAGGCAAGGCCAGCGAGAGGCCTGTGGCCATGGCCTGCTCCTGAGGAGAGCTGGGGAGGATGACTCACGCCTGAACTCGGTCGGTCGGGGCTCTGGGGGTGGGGCAACTTCCCTACATATGGGAGGAGCTTCCTTCCCTGTTGTCCTTTCTCGCGAGGTTCCTCTTGCCACTGGCTGGCTTCCTGGTACTTGGGATGAGCCCCAGCTGCTTCTTCATTGCAGCCCCCATCCAGCCAGTCACCGGTGGCTGCTGCGTGCCCCCTGTACTCCATGGTCCACCCCTGCTCTGCACCCTGCCCTGTCTACCCTCACTGCCCCTGCAGGGGCTCCCCATGGGTCCCCAACCCACCATCCTGCCGGCACATCCGCCTGCTCGTGGCCCCCTGATTACCATCCAGAGCATAACTCTCTTCACACCTGTGAAGATGCCCTCTTGCCTGTATAGAAACAGAGCTTTCCTGCCCATACCTGGGCTTCTGCTGTGCTCTCAGCTTAGAAAGTCCCTTCTCCTCTCCTATCCACCCCCATTAAAATCCTGCTCCTTCTAGGAAGTACCCCCCACCCTCAGCTTGTTTCTCCTCCTAATAAGACCCTTGGTCGAGGGCGCCTGATGTGGTGTGGCCGCTGGAGGGCGGGAGGCAGCTGTGTGACGCTTTGCACACCGATCTCAGCAGAGGCTGCGGTGCTGGAGGTGGCTGAGTGGGGCTGGGGAACTACTCTCCTCCCCCCTTAGCTCAGCTGCAGTAAAGCCACCGCATATGAGGACCAAGCTGTGACATTGCAGCCCCTGCTGACATGAGAATGCCTATTGGTTTTGGGTTATTTGCTTTGCAAGTAAATGAAAGCTCAAGTCAAATGGGTTTAAACAATATAAAGAAAATGTATTGGCCCACATAACTGAAGAGTGTGGCAGGAGGACTCTAGGGGACATTTGATCCAGCAGCTCAAATGATGCCACCCCAGGTCTGGATTCCCTCTGCACCTCACCCCCCTGCCCCTAGCAGTGCTGGGTGCCCTTTCAACGCCACTCATATTGTTGTACCAATAGGCTCCTCCTTTACCTTGCATGGTTTGGAGAAGAGAACGTGTCTCCTAAGAGTTGAAACAGAAATCTGAGGGGCCCGGCTTTCACCAACTTGAATTGAACTACATGTGCATTCCTGAGCCAAGTTCTGTGACCAGCAGGATGAAATACTCTAAGTGGCTCAAGCCAACCAGGGCCCACCCTGGAAAGAGAGGGTAGGGGTCTACCTCATGGCTCAGACTGCGGTGGGGGGACATAGGGGGTGCTCCGCAAAGGAGATTCTAGGTCTGGAAACCAAAACGTAGAAGAGTGCCAGGGGGGATACCCAGAAGTCTGCTATGGGCGGTCCACACCTGTGAGGTTCGTCGAGAGGAAGGAGCAGTCCCAGCCAGCCAGGTCCCCCCAGCACTACTACGCCTTCTTTTTTGTATGGGGAGAGGGACTCGTGGCAGGACTGCTCCTTTGAGAGTGCTCAGTGACTCCCTGGTCCATCCCCGGGAGGGCTCACCTCCAAGGCCCCCTCTAAGTTGTGACTTCGGTCACTCTCGGTTGGGGCTGTAGCTTCCCCTGGGGGCCTGCTCCCACACCCGGCCTTGGCCCCGAGTGGATGGAGCTGCTTTCTTTATAAAGAAGCCCCATTTTGGGAGTCTCCCACCCAGAGAGGACACAGGAAGTCGGGGGTCACAGGGATGGTGTGCAGAGAGGGCGCCCCACCCCCTAACTCCTCTGCCTGGCGTCAGAATGGATGACAGGGATCCCCGCTTTACCTCAGAGACGGCTGCACGCAGTCCCTGGGCAACCAGAGCCAGTGGAGGGAAAGGTAGTGATTTTTTTTTTCAGAAGTTTATTAATCAGTAGACTGACTTCTTTGGTTGACACTTCTAAACAAGATTACAAAAAAAAAAAAAAAGATTAAAAAAAGAAGCGTTGTGTATTAACTGCATTGGCTGATTGACACATAACCTGACATACTCTTAAATTAGGCCCATGTTTACCTGAATACTCAGTGGTTATCTGTCCCTAAAAATGTTATTCTTCTGCCCCATTCCATGGCAGAAATGAACAGTGCCTGTTAAATGCTCTCCTTATCGTCAAGGCGACTTGTCCGGGGTACTGGATGCCAGGCACGACTGGTACAAGACCTCCCCAGTGTGGCGGGGAGGCAGCTCCGTGGGAGGGCCGGCAGGCCACTGGGAAGGACTGAGGTCCAGGCGGTCGGGCTGAGCTCTGCCAAAGCCCCTGCTGTGAGGTGGTGCAGGGGCGGGGGTTGCGGGGAGAACAGGAGCATTTTGCTTCCCTTCTCATGCTCTCTGACCCACCTGGACACCTTGTCCCATGATAATAGAATAAGAATTCAACTCTTCAAGGCCCGCCATCCTGCGGGAGGAACCATAGCCTCAAGTCCAAAGAAGCCGTTGCTGCATATTGGCAAGTGTTCCAAGGAGAACCCAGTCTAGCCCTGGAGAAGCGAAGGCCAACCGACTGAATGATTATCCCCACGGGGAGGGACCCTGCCTTGGCCTAACCAAGTGCACGGGGAGAAAGGGACCAATTTTCAATGCTGGGCTGGGGAAGGCTGAAGCAGGCTGGACGTCTGCCCTTCGCTGTGGAGCTGGGGCGTTTGGGTGGGTCTTAGTGCCTGTTTTTACAGAGGGGTTCAGCCTCACTCGCAGGCTTACATTTGGGAACTCAGCTTCGGGATGGGTAGCTCAAGTTTTCATTTTTCCCCCTCAACTCCAGAGGATTGTGTAATGTGACAAGCATGTGCTTTGTAGAAACTACATTTTCTTCTGTGGAATCATGGAGAGCAGAAAGGTAGATTTTTAGAGCTAGAGTTTACCTGCTTCCACCCTCCCAACCATGTTAACACTGTGGGGAGGGGGTACTTTGACAGTCGGGTAGGTGTGGGAGGGTAGATCTTGCTGCCCCCTGCCCTGCTACGCTGGGGTGGGGATAATGGGTGTTTTGGACACAGACTAAAGGAACTGTGTGGGAGTCTTGGGAGGACATGGGTCCTCACTTGGGTGCCATCCCTTATGTTTTCCAGTGTTTTTCTTTGCAATCAATTCCAATGACTTCATGTTGTAAGAGAATTTACTAAGAAACGTGAACATCCGATTTTTTTCCTTTTTCCTCAGCAGGGAAAGGATTCGGCTGCCAGATGTTCTACCAGCTGAGGGCATGGGGCGAGGGGTTGGATCCCAATACCATGTTTCCTTCCACAGAGAAACCAGAAACCTCAGTCATTGGCTCCTGAAAACAGTTTTCTTATATGTCTCTACATAGACAACACTTGGCCATATCTACATATGTACATGTTGACAAGTGTCAAAAATACATATTCATGTGACATATATGTGCATATATTTATCTTTATATATGACAATTCAATAGAGTTAAAGAAGCAAGATAATTCTGAATGGGAAATCAGCTAAGTTTGGCATCGCTAAACCTATGGACAAATGAACTCTCTCCTTGCCTCTCAGTTTTGCCCTTCGGTGGGCGCCACTGTGCTCACACACTTGGGCAGTCCTCCCGCCGTCACAGAACCGCCTGCTCGTGTTCCAGGACTGAGTTGTAAATGTCTCCTTTCTCCATATCTAATTAATTTAAAAGTGCTCAGTAAGGATAAAAACCATGCTATGCATTGATTTCCCTTAAAAGTATTTAGAAAGCAAGAGAGGGGAGGGTGAGGGCTGGCATCTGGATACACGCTTTTCTAAAGTAAAAAATTTCTTTGGAGCCCACAATTCTGACCTTGATGTCACAGGTAACATAAAAAAAAAAAAAGTGGTTTTTGGAAGGCTCAGGTGGGACTGCTCTGATTTCACTCATTTCTGGCGCCGGCAGGGCCCCACGCCGGGCGGCCATCATTATGTCGTGCGCCTCTCCTTTACCGCACGGGTAAAGTGCTGGAGCCCATGGGGCGGGAGTGAGCACGGACCACCCCCTCTGACGCAGGCATCGGAGTGAACGGTTCTGAGGGGCCTACACCCGGGACTTGGGAGAGAGCCCTCAGGAACCAGTGTAGAGGGGCATTCGTGATATGAACCACACAGCTTTTTTGAAGAAAATGTTTTATACGAAAGATTCCATCGTATTTCTAGATAAAGTTTTTTATGCTTTAAGAAAAAAACCGCACCAAAACTGGACATCATTAAAATGCCTTTTTTAAAAAATAAAAAGTGCCCAATGCTAGTGGACTGACTTCTACGTGACAGCTCAGGGCAGGCTGGATCCTCATTCCCCTCTGTCCACAGGCCCAGGACGCTGCATTCACCAGGACATGCTTTTGCTGAGTTTAAATCCTGCCATTGACCAAGAGCCTTGGGGACAGGTAACAAGTGTAAGTGACAACTGGGGAGAACTACCTCTTTCCCTTACTATAGTTTAAGCACAATAAAGAGACTTCGCTACAAATTATTGGACAGACCAGTGAGAAAAGCTAATCTTCAGATTTCAACATGACTTGAAATGAATACTAGAAATCTTGGCAGGACTAATAAATTATTAATTCCCAATTCTTCATGAAATACCACTTTGCTGGGAAGACCCCGGGGCGGTGGGGCGGTGAGCAGGGAGCTGGGACGGACGCTCTCTGCGGCCTGGCTGCCCCTCCGCTTGGGCCTGAGGGAGGCATGGGGCGCGTGCAGACTCCGTGCTGCCCTCTTTCAAACCTGGGGCAGCAATCACCTTCTCTTTGGTAAAGAGTTTGGAGAGAACAGAAACCCTATCTGCTATATATATATATATGTATATATATATATATATATATATATATATATATATATTCTATAGCATTCTATAGCAGGAAACAAAATAAATAACATCCTTTCTGCTCCCTCAGGTTGCCCTGAGGGACAAACAGGCCCGCGGTGATGTGCGGTCCAGGGGAGCCCGGCAGACTCCTGCTGCAGCGGCACCCACCCCCCGGCTCCCACCCCGAGCTCCGGGGGCTCCCGCCGGCCCGCCTCCACACTCGCGTCTCTCCAGGCTTCTGAGTACTCTTTGGTCAATTTCTCTTTCTTCTCCACCCTACAATCTCCTTATCTGCTCCCCACCCCCAATATTTTAATAAAAACTCAGGGAATTTGGGAGGTGGAAGGACCTCATCTGGTGTCCATTCTACAGGTGGGGAAACTGAGGCACAGAGAGGGTGGTGCCTTGCCCAGGGTCACTCAGTGAGTCAGTGACAGCAAGGGCCTCAGGCCCAAGTCCCAGGATTCGCACCCCACACCACCTGCCCTGTGGGTGGCCTGCCCCTCAGTCAGCCTTCTGAAAGGACTTCCTGTGAGAGGGGGGCACCAGATGGGGGGGCAGGCTGTTGGGCAGCTCGTAGCCGTCCAGCTTGATCTTGATGAGGTGCTTGGCCAGCGCGAACTCCTCCTCGTCCAGCATGCCATCGCAGTCACAGTCGGCCAGCTTCCAGATCTTGCCCAGGACGCTGTTGGGCAGCTTGGAGGTCACCATTTCCTTTTTGGCGTTGACGCCCGATATCTTGCCATTGACAGGGGACAGTGTATAGAAGAGCTCGTCGTAGACGGGCTTGTCTTTGGCCACAACCCATTCCTCCTCATCGGCGCCCTCCTTGGCGCCCTCCCCGTAGCCCTGGTTGAAGGGGCCCTCGGCGGTGCCATCGAAGGCGCCGCCCTGCACAAGCTGTGTGGGCATGTTCAGCTCCTCCTGGCTGATGAGGCTCATCAGGGACGAGATCTTGTTGGTCAGCATGTTGTCCACAGCCTCGATCAGCTTGGGCTTCAGCGAGTGGAATTTGGTGAAGTCATAGCTCTCGAGCTGTTCCTGCAGAAGGAGAAACCACAGACTTGGTTACATGCCCTCTCTTCAGGGGGATAACGGGGGGGGGGGGGGGTAGCTGAGGGACAGGAACTTCCCCTTGAAGCAGACACTCCACTCTGTACTCGGGGCTGTTCCAGAGTTCTCTCTTCCAGCACTTGCCAGACACAGGAGTGGCTTTTGGAACAAGAAATAGATGCATGGGATGCACCTTTTGCTCCAGGAGCTCATCTCTGCTGGTGGCTGTATGACTGGCAGCAACCGCTTAGGGCTTTAAGACGACAACATGCCCTCGCCCTGCCTTTTTCTTTTTTTAGTCCTCTAGAGAGTCACTGTTTTCTCTGTTACGACATACCTCAGTCGATCTTAACAGAGCTGGGAATAAAGAAGGATGAGATTAATAGCCGTTCTTCACAGGGAGCGCCTGGGGCGTCCTGGTGGAGTCAAGACAAGAGCCTAGGCCTCCTGCCCCTCGGCTAGTGTTCCTTGTGCTATGACATGAAGCTGTGGCAGAGGGACTTATTTAGGTGAAACAATTAAGGATGTTGTTTTTGAATCAACCTTTGAAAATGTTACAAATGTTACTTAAGTTATAAACAGGTAAAAGTTGAAACTGGTAAGAGGGAGCAGAGCGGGGATGGGGAAGGTGCGTGTGAATGCAGCCAAAGCTGAGGATACCAGTCAAGCCAGGTCAGGTTGCAGCCCCGCCTCCCAGGAGAACTGGCCTATCAGTAGGCAGAGCAGCGGGAGCACAGGTTCCAGAGAGACAAGGCAATTGTCCGGCCAGGACTAGAGCCAACCATCAATGCCACAGAGGCTCTGAGAATGGCTGGGTAGAAATGTTCCTCCCACCTCAGGTCTCCTTGGTTACTCACTTATCCACCCACCCACCCATCCATCCATCCACCCATCTGGCATGTATTAGGGGCCAGAGATATAAACATGCACAGCCAGAGCCTGTCTCTCAGGGAGCCTATGCTTTAGTAGAGGAAGGACACAAGTATTTTGTTCTTGTCTGCTTTCAAAAAGGGTTGGCTTAGCTTATAGTGAAAATGTTAACACGAAATAGATGTCATTAGAAAAGGAAAAGCCAAGTAATTAAAAGGGAGAGGACAGGAATGAGCACATCAGACAAGAAAAGCTGCTGTTTCTCAGCTGCCCTGGCTGGGATCGGCGGGAGGAGGATCGCGCCCCCTCCTTGTCTGAAGGGAGAAACCACCTGTTCATCTCGAACATTCTCTTGTCCTGAAGTGTGAGAGATATTGAGGTCTTTTTATGAGGGGCCTCAAAGATATAGTGGAAAATGTCTTCAACAGAGTTTTGTAAAAAAAAATTCCAGGCATGGCAGCTGGGACAACTCTGGAGGGCCTGGTGTGTAGTTATCGGGGGAAGAGGCAGGGAGACTCCTCGAGAGGTTTTGCATCCCCTTTAGACCTGACTGTTGGGGTACAAGTGATATAGTAGGTAGTTAGAAAGCAAGCAAGCTTTGTGTTATCATAAATATCACACTTTTATTTTTAAAATTTTGGGGGGAAAAACCAGTATACAAAAATAAAAAATCACTTCAATCCCGTCACCCAGGGAGAACCTGCTAATATATTTGAGGTATAGCCATTTTTATAAAAACATACACAGACACACACATTTTAACTGAAATAAGACCACAGTGTTTAACAACCTGCATTTAAAAGAAATAATGTATTATATCTTTCCATCATATTAATTTTTACACAAACTTATTCTTTTTTAGTAATGTTCCTAAACTATTTTTTGCAAAGACTGTATTCACTGAAATCTGTTCCTCAGTCTGTGTTCAGCTAGAGTTTTGACAGTCATTTCCTTGAATGTCAGGAGCTAAAACAAAAAAAAACAAAAACAAAACCCCAAGACCAACCAACCAACCAGCCAGCCAACCAAAACCAACAAAAAAATATCCCACCTCTCTGTCTTTGCAGAATTGCTCTGTTCTGGGGCAGTCCTTCTATGCTTAGCCAGGCTTGCACTGAACCTAGGAATTGGCCTGATACATAACCTTATTCTTAATAGTTACATAATACCAAATTTATAGATAAGCCACTGTCATTTATGATGTTTAGGTTGTTTCCAATGGAGAACCAAAATTGCGGTCTCTAGGGCATACCAGCAGGGCAGACATTCTATGCTGTTCATTTAGAAGTAGAGCCTTTAGCTTTAGGTGGCAGAGGGGACAGAACTGAAAGCTAAACTGCCTGACATCATGTCCAGAGAGGCACCTTCAATACTTTGTTAGCCACAAACTCGGCAGCTGTCAAGTCTCACTGGGCTGGGCTGACGTCAGTGTGTGGCCTGCCCTCGGCCTAGAGCAGCGGGCGGTACAGGCCGGGTTTCTAGAACGCATTCCTTCATCCTTACGGACAGACTGTGGACACCTGCATGTCACCCCAACATCAGCACCAAACATCAGCTGCCAACAGCTGAGTCATCCAAGGGGACTGAGACGGGAAAGCGTGGGAGGAGGAAAGCAGGCAGCCTACACAAAAATCCGAGTGCTGCCGGGTAAACAAGGCTGGCTTCCCCTGGGTGCACAAGCACCCGATTTCCTCATGAACGAGCCTGGGCTCTGAGCACACACAGGGCCCTTGTGGTGTCCGCCCAAACTTTCCACTCTCCTCTAGGGGACGTGGGTCCAGACCGCCAACCTCTGGAAAGCTGGCAAGGGGAAATGGCCACATATTTGGAGGAGTGGACAGGAAGCAGCAGCTGCAGTCATTTCCGCCCTGGAGGGCACAGAGGAAATACACTCCGCATGCCCATTCCTGCGCTCCCCGACGCCCCAGGCCTGACCAGGGAGTGCGGGGCACAAAGTAAACCACTGCCCTCCCTGTCCTCCACCAGGGCGGCTCCAAAACAGAAATCTTTTCAATGGGATGAATATACCCTGAGAATTTAAAGATTTACTCATCAACAATTGCATCTGTAAAAGCCACCAACCCGGGATCCCAAAACTCAAAGGTCAATTACGGGCCCAGTCTCCAAGGGCTGTCTCTTGCTGACTCCAAAGATTCACCAGAAGCAGTTTTCAAATCCAGGGAGGGTCTGGGCAGCTGGGGGGTGGCTCTGCTGCCCTCTGCTGCTGAAATGCTGCCAAATCCTCAGCTATGGGGGCCAAATTCTCCTTGGAGGACTACCGAGTCAGCACTAAAGGGAGCCTTGCTAGTGTTCTCCTTGTTTTCCAGTATGGACACATCAGTGTGGCAAATCAGGCTCCATCCCAAAAGGACAGGGTGGACACAGGGAGTTTTACCAGCAGGTCACAGGTATCTCCCGGCACGAGGCAAAAGCCTTTAAAGTACACTCAACTCGTTATGGCTAAGAGTCAGCCAGGCCAGTGTGGTCTGTGAGAGCACAGGGAGAACAGAGACTTACAGCTGGCCCCGGTGAGCTCTCCGAGTGACCCTGAGAGGTGCAAAGATCATGATGAATCGTTGCCAAGTTTAACCCGACCCGATCCCAGATGCAGGTGAAGTGAGGTCAAATGCCTGTGTTTAGAGGAAGTCAGATGATCAACAGACTCAGGGATGACAGAGGCCCTGACCTACACCGTGACCCCGACTCCCACCCCCACCCGCTTCCTGGGTGACAATAAACCAGCCTGGAGTACCAGGTGATTGTGAGCACACCTTACAGGCTCCGGGCCTGTCTTGTTCTCCGGGGAGCCCCTGAAGGGACGGGAGCGGTGTGATCAGGGCCCTGCTAGTTTCCCAAGGGAGAAGCCTCTTCTGGTTCCCAGGGGTTTGCTCTGGAAACTGCTGGTCTCTAAGGCCCGTGAGAGTCAGAATCAGGGCTGGACCAGGGTCTGAGGGAGTCACTGCCCTGGAGCCTGCTGGGATGTGCATGTGAACGGAAGAGAGGGGCTCTGTAGCAAACCCGACAAGCTCAGTGGCCAAGAGGAACTCACAGGACATCTAGTGCGTAGTCACAATCCGGGCCTGCAGATTCCTTAAGAAAAGGTTAATTTTGTGCCTTACGGGAGCCCTGTCCATCGTTTTGTGCGCTGGGATAATATGCCTTTAGAACGTCAGTAACTGTCTTCGTACGCCCCTCGGAGGAGGCACAGCCACCTGCACCAGGCGGGGGCTGCCAGCAACTCCTATGGTTACCTCGTTGTCCCTGACCTTCCCTATGTACTGGGACGTTCAGTGTCCTGTACCTACTAATGGAAAACAAATATGTGTCTACTTTCCTTTTTATCCAGTCCTAGAGATTGCCCCGCTTTGCTTTCTCCTGTCTCCTTAGTCTACCAGAATGGATTTCATAGAACCTTCCTTACATTTTCTCCTTTGATTCTAAGTGTATAAAAAGAATTGTAAAACTGCCATTCTTTGGCGCATTTTCTCAATCTGTTGAGATTTTGCTTCTGGCTGGTCCTCAGTTTTTTTTTCTCAAATAAACTCTCAAAATTTTTTTTCCTATAGGCTTGGACTTTCTTTCATTGACAGAAATATATACTAACTTAAGAACAAACTCATTCAAAACATATTCATTGAGGTGCTGGGGATACGGCAGGGAAGAGGACAGGGCCGCTGCCCCGCGGAGGCTCAGCTTTATGAGGAAGGGAGTCCCGAAGTCACAGGCAATGAGTACGTTAATTAATGAGACTGAAGCACAGCAGTGCTCTGCGGTACCAAGGAGCACGTGTCCCAACAACAAGCTTTGCTGCCCAAAGCTTCATTGCCAACCACAGTCATAGTGGCAAAGACCATAATCCACAACATATACCCCATTGGGGCAGAGATTTTTGCCATTAGTTTCTTTTTGTTCATTGATTTATTCTGGGGCCTGGACTACTGCCAGACCACGGTAGGCCTAATTAGTCTTTCTGGGGTGCGTGAATGAGTGAACACAGGCGAACGGGGCATCTGTCAGGTGGAACTCCTCGGTCCCAGTCCTAGGGCACTCAGGTGTCCACTGAATGTGCTAAGGAACCTGGTGTGGGGACTGACCCACCGGGTTTCCAGTGGATGACACCGGGCTTCCAGTGTCATCCAGCAAACAGGGTTGTGCCTGCTCCTGAGCCCACAGTGAGGGGGCACACGGCTCCCTTGTTTTCTTCTCCAGGGGCTGTCCTTCCGCCCCACCTTTGGTGTCCTCTGACCCGGCCAGGCCCAGGCTAACGTGGTCACCAGTGGCTCTGGTCACAGTGTGCTCCCTATGTCAGGGGAGCTCGCTGGGGAAGCGGGGGAAGGCCCTGGGGGAAGGCGTGTAGCAGCCCCGCGTGGGCGCGGTGGTGCCTCAGGTCTGGGGGACAGCACTGACCTGTGGGCAGGGCACGGTGGCAGCCTCAGCAGGTTAATGAGCCACCGGAGCCCCACTAGGCCATGCTGGGCATGGTTTTCAGTTCCTTCGAGAAACCAATTCCCCTTTGAAAATCTCTAAAGGACGCCGGGAAACAGGTGTCCCCAGTTTGGTCATGGAATGCAGGGCATAAACCAAGGGCATTAAAGTGGAATCTGCTCAGGAAGATGCTCCAAGAGGCTCCTCAAATTAGCCAACTTGTGACTAGGAAAAAAAAAAGAAAAGCAATTCATCTCCTAAGCACAGGAACACTCGTTTATGAGAGAACACAGGTGTTTCTGTACTTATCCTGAAGCCGGCTAAGCCATTTTGACCAGGTCACGTATACCAGAGACACTCGCCCTGGGCCCTGCCATTGTAACAGTAAGTACAACCCACTCCTCTTAGAGGGGGTACTTATATGAAGTTTACATTAATGGACATGTCCCCTCCAGCTGCCTGTTGGTACCTGCCCCCTGTCTGTCTCTCCCCTTCCGAGGCAGGCAGGCAGCTCACGGGCCCAGCCGGCCGGCTGCGTGCTTTAAACTGCACTCTCACGTCAGTGCTGTCTTCCCCTGCGGCTCCGGGCGCCGCCAGCGTGTGGCGTGCCCTGTTTGGCCTATGTAGTATTCTTTGAAAGGTTGAGCCAAAATGTGAAAACCAGGGGACTTTAGAGGTTTCCAGGCCTGCACTCCAGCAGGGCAGCGACCACCAGGCAGAACAGGGCCTTCCTGGGGGGGGGGGGGGAGGCTCGAACCTCCAGTCTGCCCCCACCATGGCCCCCCACAAGTTCTCACTTTGCTTGTACAATTGATTTCTTCCTCATAGAGACACACTTCTAGGAACCCACCTCTCTATCAAACATGAGGAAATAAGAGGTAGCCAGAGCGGGCGGCACAGGTCCTGTCCGCCCGGCCGGCCTCCCCGGCTCACGTCACCGGCTGCAGCCCTGTGGGGGCATCGCTCGCCCCCCAGAGGCCTGTGGCCCCAGTGTAGGCAGGTCCTGCCCTGGGCAAGAAGGTGGTCAGTCTGGCTGTGTGAGGATGATTTTCTTGTCCAACGCGAGGACCTGTCTGCCTCGCTCGGAAGGGTGTGCTCAGCATTGATGTGTTCATCCAACACCACTGCGGGGTGGTGGGCACACTGGTCAGGCCAGGGCGGCGGAACGCAGCTCCCACTTGGGCTCATCTGGGGCTGCCCACACATAACTCAGGGAGACCCTGAAATCTGGCCTAAGGCTGCCCTACATGGACATTTAGGCAAAGCCCTCAGTGGGCACTGTGTCCCAGTGTTGTCTAGCCGTGTCCACGGCCTCCGACTGATCTGAGCCTGCAGCACCGATGCTGCCTGAGCACATAATCCCACAGCGCAGGGCCGGCCTGCGGGGGCAGCCTGGGGGCCTCCAGGGTCACTCCCAGCTCTAATTCCCTTAAGGTTCTGGGATTCCAAAAAGCAGGCATCACCCCAACATCAAAATGATCTGGAACAGAGCCTGAGAGGATGGCTCATATAATTTTTTTCACATGAGCTTAATTAACTTCATGAAATGTGTCCCTTCTTGTTTCAGTGTTCCAGGAGGCAGGCAACTTCCGCCCTATTCACTGCAGCCCGCTGTCACGGGTCACCATCAGGAAGATGACTTCATTGCATCCTCCCCCGTCCTAAACCATGAAACCATGCTTGCCCAGCGACCAGCCGGCAAGGTGGCGGTGCCCGTCCGCCCTGTCCATGCCACTGTGACGGGCTCTGTACCTGCATTGCCTTGACCTCTGGGAAGTCCCCTGCAGAAATCTGGTATTCTCGCTGCAGCTGAATGTAGATTTCTGGCAACCGGCTGATGAGCTCTCTTTTCTTGTTTTCCTTCCCAAAAACACTCGGCATCTCCTTCTTCAGGTGGCTGATGATATAGGCGTGTACCTGTAGGGGTATGTGTCAGTGAGGATGTGGCATTTACAAGTGCACCAGAAGGATAAACAAGGTGGCATCTTACATGCATGGAAACACACAGCAGGCGCCCCTGCGGAGCCATGGCCCTCGGGACAGGAGGAGGGCAAGGCCTGGGGGAGCGGATGGGGGGAATCATCGGTCTGGCTCTGGACATGGGGAATGCGAAGTCTATGAGGTACAGAGGGGGAGCGGGCTCAGGGTGGCTGGAAGGGAGGGCCAGAGCTTGGGAGAGGGCTGGAGTAGGGGTGGTGCCAGGGCCACAGGAGTAGATGAGAGCACTCGGGAAAAGTGAGCAGAGAAAACCCCTCCCATTAAGGGTCGGGAGGGGAAAGAGTTGGGAAAAGACCTCGGGATGTGGACTGTGGCAGATAAGGGCTGTGGGAGGGCAGATCCAGGGAAGAGGCGATGTTGGAGTTGGGCCCTAAAGAACAGGTAGGATGTGTGGGGGAGGGGAGGGCCACGCGTGGATGGCGGTGTGGAGGTACCACGCTGGGCCACACCTGGGCAGTGCCGAGTACGAGGCAGCAGCGCAGGCTTGGGTGGGGGAAGGCTCTGCTTGGGGAGCTAGGAGCTGATGGAGGCTGTGGAACGACACCGCTACCCTAGTACTGTGCTAATAATGATTCTGGCCGAGCAGAGAGGCAGGAATAATGCCTTCAGCTCCCGGCTTTCCAGGCAGGCTGATGAGGCCTGGCTGGGTAAGGGGTGGTGGCAAGGCCGGGTTGCACAGATTTCCCCTGGAGCCCTGTCCTAAGCCGCATCCCCGAGGAAGGGCGGCTGACTTGGAGTCGTCCTGTGGCGACAGGTCAGTGGTGCCTCTTCTGTGTCTGTGGGGAGTCAGCAGGATGGGCGGGGTGGGGGTGGGAAAGATCTTAGTTCTGGTGATTAACCAGAAGACCTAAAGGGAGTTCCACCGGGGCCAGTGCCCAGGAACAGCAGGAAATGAAACTGGAGCTGATGTCAGCGGCTGGTTGCACGGAAACGTGTGCCCAGTGAGCAGTCACATGAGAATTCCCGTAACCTTCCTGTGAACAGTGGAAAGCCCGAGATCTCCACCAGTGGCACTGAGGTCACTTTTGCACGGGATGAGCTGCCTGGGCCCCGGATGGACAGCAGAAGCTCTCTCAGGGGGAGGGACCCCCAGAAACCCTGATCACAAGCGGGCAGCAGGCCCAACTAGAACCCAGGGGGCGGCAAGTCCTGCTTGGCCTATGTCACCACCTTCCTTAACATCGCACACTTCCAGATTTTCCAACTTTAGGACCTTAAGAAGTGTTCGTTACAGAAGTTCTCTTTGTGTATCGAGAATTCTACAGGGTGATTTAGAAGTCAAGAGAATAACTAAAACAAGAAAGGATGAAAAACAGAGCAGTGATTACAGAACAAAAATGACTATGTAACTAAGGAAAATCCTATTAAAGAAAACAGACTTGTACTATAATCTTGTGGAAGAGTGGAAATTAAATAAAGGGGTTACGCAGATACATCCCACAGTTCAGCTGAGGGCCTCTGTGCATAGATACACACTGGGCACAGCCACGCCGTTCTGCTAGGACTTGAACACAAAAATAAGTGCAGAGGGCAAACACTGGCTTGCTCGGACCAGACAGTGCCAGCTTTTCCATTCCCATAAAGGTCATTTTTACATAAGCACACATTGTGCTGCCTGGCTCTTGCTATACATATAGTTTGGGAGAGTTGATTCTAAACTTTCTGTCACTAGTAAACTTGTCTCTCTACTTATTTTTCAAATTAAAACAATTTATAACATTTACATGATTCTTTGAGATAGAGAAACCAAAAGTTTGGGAATCCTTTATTTAGAGTAATGGGCTTTAACTACACTCCTGAGGATATGATGAATAAGTGGTAAGACTAGTCATTTCCTTGCCTTGGAGAGAGAGGCCTGACTTCGTATGGATGTGGCTGGGGAGGGCTCTGGGTGGCCCTGAAGGACTTGGAGGGGCTGCCATATTTAATCAGGGAGAACCAGCTGCTCACCGGGGGTCCTTGCCTCATTTCCTCGGCCTCAGCCCTCCTGGAGCCTCTGGACTGAACCTGTGGATACAGCTCCCTTCCACGCCCAGACCTGACCCGCTCTGGAGCCAGCCCCAGCGCAAGTAGGAAGTTCCATGGCTGCTCAGTCTCCCATCTACAACAGCTTCTCACCAACACCTCCCCCGCCCCTACCCCTGACGAGCTCAGGCCTGGGGCAGCTGCCAGGCCCCTGCAGGGTTCCCTAAGACCTCCTCACCATCTACTGTTGTGCATCGCAGAGTTTCCAGGCCCCCGCTCAGGGAACGCTGACTCCCTACCCAGCCCCTGGCCTTCTAGGGTTGGTACCCTGTTCCTGAGCACTTCCTGGTACCCAGGGGTCTGCTGTACCTGGGCTGAACTGCAGGTGATGTGCACCTACCACAGCTCTCTACCCACCGCCTGGCACCTGCTCCCTGACCTCAGCCCTCATGGTGTTCAGTGGCTGATGACTGAAGCTGCTGAATAACGAGACACCTTTGGACACCAGGCCTCCAGGGTTCTGTCATAACTGGGGCAGTTTTTGTGTCAATCCCTGACTCCCTCCTCTTCCTCCCACCTGCGTGCTGCTGCCTGAGTCATGACCCTCAGGTGACCTACTCATGCTCTCAACCTCAGCCTCCACTTCCAGGAAGCTCCACTGGCCTGTTTTGTGGAAGTTTCCAATTGTGCCATCTCTGCATGGCCACCCCTCTCCTGCCCTTCCCTGGGCATCCTGAGGCAATAATGCAGGGTCATATTCCAAGAATGGGCTCCGCATCGAAGAAGCTTATCAGCCCTGGCTGGTGTTGCTCAGTGGATTGAGTGCCGGCCTGCAAACTGAAGGGTCATCGGTTCAGTTCCCAGTCAGGGCACATGCCTGGGTTGAGGGCCAGGTCCCCAGTAGGGGGCACTTGAGAGGCAACCACACACTGGTATTTCTCCCCATCTCTTTCTCCTTCCCTTCCTTTCTCTCTAAAAATAATAAAATAAAATCTTAAAAAAAAAAAAGCTGATCAAGTTACAAGGTAAATTATAATCCTTAGAATCATGGCATATTAAATCTGGTAAGGAGCCCCTGTGTCTAGGTGAACAGCAGATTCCAGGAAATTCATATGACTTACTCAAGGTCATACAGCTAGTTAGAGGGTGTAGACACTACCATTCAACTGCCTCAGCCCTGTCCTTACAGAATTGCTGTCTGTGAGAATAAATTAAAACCTTACTGAAGCTGCTGGAAATCTGAAATTCAAAATGAACTGCATCCTATAGAAAACTGTGGAAAACTTTGAGGTTGGCTTCTGATTGTTCCTAACTGCTAGGGAAGCTTTGGAAGGTCACATACTCTACCCTTACACACACAAGGAACGAATACACTATGACACACAACACTGTGAACACGATGTGGGTAAAGACTGCAATCTTCTGGCAGGATGGCACCTTGTCATTTTCTAAGGACTCCTGGTAAACAGAGAGCACAGCTGGCATGCCTGAAATCCCCAATGTCAACGTCAACAAAAGTCCTTATGCGTCAAAGGTGTCTCTCCAAATAAATGCTGGATAGAGAGCCAGATGAGGCGACGGTCCTGTGGAAGGAGGTGGAAACAGTCTAACACCTTTTATTCTTCATAATGAGAGAAAACTCATTGAGAAGAAGAGAAATGGGAAAGAGAAGAGGGAGCAGAGGGAGAAGAGGGGGAGGCAGGACAAGACCTGGAATTGGAAGGCGAGGGTCAGGCCCTGTCGCCTCTGCCCACTCACTGAGCAACTTGAGGAGGGTTGTCTAATCCCCAGCCTCAGCTTGCTCATTTGCAATTTGGAAATTACAACCCTTACCTCACAGGGAGGGTTAAAATCAAGAGGATATGGATTTGAATGCACTATGTCCACTAGACAGAGGAGTAAAAATGTCACATTTTATTGACTAATGGTCAAAGACCAGTAGCTGGAAGGATAATGCCAGAAGACTCATGGCTATTTAGTCCTTACTGACTAATTAATAACCTCTCCATATTTGAATAGTAACATATGAATTTAAGTCCCAAGTGCTTCATTCACAAGTGAAGGACTTTGCACCTTGGGCGCTTTTTAAACATTCTTATCTTGTCCAATTTGCCCATTCCGTTGTATTAAACTGAAAAAGCCCGGAATGTCAATTTTTTCTCTGGGCTAATAACTCAATGAGCAGAAAGAGATGTCCTCCCTTTAAATGAACATGAATTGACAGATAGTTCACATATCGACTCTGTCACAACTGCATCAATTGTGTCCTGTGACAAGTGTTTCTATATACCTAGGACTGGGAAGGATGTACTCAGAGTGATACTGGACATGTCCACTCTAGACTCGGAGGGCAACCCTGGCTGTGAGTACTAGAAGCATCCAGTGCTCATGGTGAGTAGAAGTGGAAATGCTCATGGAATCTGAATACTGGGGAGCAGCTCGGGGTGGGGGGGTCAGTCTGGGAAAATATGATTCTACACTCTGCAAGCCTAACAGCCTGTTGGAGACCTGCATCTTTGTAGGCCCAGCTGGAATCTTGCAAAGAGCACTTAACATCAGGGGATCAGTGCATTTTTAAAGTGGATTTATGATGATATAGAAATTCAGTTCATAAAGACCCAAGAGAAGCAGAGTGTGAGACTGTGCAAGGCAGAGAAAAGCAGCTGATAGGCTTCTACTTGAGTGAGGTTTTGCTGGTCTGTTGAAGTCACAGCTGGCACTGACAGCCACTGGATTCTGAACAGCTTAACGGGGACTGGAGGGGACCCACTCAGTCATCTGAGGTCAACCTTCAAATAAACAGGCTTCCCTACACAGGCTCAAGCACAGACACACACATCCACAGCAGCTCAGGACTGCCGACTGAGTTATTTTTAGAAGCCTCATGGCGGACTCGTCCTCATCAGCTACTGTGGAAAGACCCGTGCACACCTTAACCTCATTTCTCCACAGAAGGAAGTGACAGTGCAGACACCAGAAAGCTGGGCTCCGCACGGTACACGTGACCAAGAAGGGAACATGTTTTGAAGATGAAATTAAATGCCACAAAACTACAGTGAACCCTGAAAATCACTGACCTCTCCCTTTCCTTCTCATTTTTAGTTGTTTCTTCCTCAAAATGTTGGCTCATTTTTTGTTGAGCAAAGATCTCCAAATAGGAGGGAACCTTTCCTATTCTTGGACAATGTGTTTAAAAAGGGTGAGCTCTGAGAGAGAACTGGCCTCAATTTTTACTTTTGTGTATTTATCCCATAAAACACTACCATTTCTTTAATTTGGTTATTTTATTTATAGCTGAATTCAACTAAATTATATTTTCTAAACTACTTATTGGATCTTTCCCCAAATAGTTTACTTTAAAGAATCATGAAACAAACCCTGACTGGCATCTTAGACTGTGAATACTCTTCAAAGAGTGAGGTCTACTGACATCCGAAGATTCATTCTTTGAGGCTAACTAAAAACCCACTCCAAAGGTTTCCTGTCATTTAAAATAGAGAGCTGTGAAAAAATATATAAATAGAAAAAATCAGAAAATCATTACATTTAAAGAGCTCTTTGGTAAGAGTGGCATTTGTCATATTATTAAAGTATCATCTTTATGACACCAAGAGTTTGATTAATGTAGCACCGGCAGGACGTTACCCCACTTGTTTTATTTCTGGATGGGTCATGAATCTGCCTGACTGTGGTGTTCTATAAATAGACACACTCCATACCCCAACTCAGATCTGACACCTCCTAGGCGACATCTGAAAACACATCCTTTGCAGGTTTTCGAAGTGTCAGCTCGATAAACCTCTGAACTTTTGTATGGTTTCTGTGGATAGAGAATTTTATGGAAAAAAAAGAATGGCAGATTAAAGCGGAAAGCAAAGATACACATAGGAAGGAGCAATAGATGCCGTCCACCCTGGATTTCGGGCGAACGCTTTCCAGGCCCAGCAGTTAAACCGACTGAGGTATGATTCTAAATTTTGTGACTTACAGGCTGGGAAGCCTTGTGCCACCTTTCTGAGCTTCAGTTCCCTTGTGAGAGAAATGAAGACAGTGCCCAACTCTGTGCAGTTATTGACTGGATCAGACAAAATAACACAGTAATGCAAACCATAATGCTTCTGGAATGCTGCAGGCCCTTAGAAAGGGTTGACTTGCAAAAGGAAAACTGGGCCAAGAGAAATAAAGATTAATATACCAAAATCAAAGAACATTTTTAAGAAATAAATACAGCAAAGAGAAAAATGCAGGAGGCTCCTTATCCATTTAAGCAACAACTAGTTCACAAATGGCCATGACACTGCAGATGGTAAAGTGATGGCATCGAAGGGCACTGTGCTGAGTTCTCCTTCTTACCCTTGCCCGCCCGAGGCTGTCTCCTGGCCCCCGCACAGCATGGTGCTGTCCTGGGAGCACGCAGGCACTGAGAAGCTCAGGCTGGAACTTCTGTACTTCAAGCATATTTTTTAATGAAAAGGAACAATTCTCAGGGAGAAAACAAAAATGACAAGCTTTTTTCCTAGAAGTAAGCTCAGCAAGTTGACCGCCCCCTGCCCCTGTCCACACAGGGCCTTCATTGTTCCTGTGTCTGTCCGGGGCCATACGCTGGGCCTCTCCAGACCCAGGCCGAGCTGGCCCACTCGGAGGGCCCAAGGCTCAAGGACGGCAGAAAGTCCCACGCCCATGGCACTCCCAGTGAGTGAGCCCTCGGCTCTTTTTTCCTTTGTATGACTGAATACAGCTGCGTTTGCAGTCACTAGGATCTCAACAATAAGTGAATTAAATATGTCCATGTGCATTTAAGAGTAATTCCAAAAGATTCTGAAATCTGCAAAGGCTATGACATGATTTACCAGCCTTGGTTATAAGACAATGTTGGGCAATGTGGGCCCTGAAGGTTAAGTTCAGCTGTATCAGCTGCAGAAAAGAAATACCACATGCCAACGGGTCACCAAATGGACAGAATCAGGCTTCCTGCCACTAAGCATTAGGCCCAGAGCAAGCAGGAGAGACAAATCATTTCAGGGGAGCTGCAAGTACATGGACTGACAAACTGGGTTTGCAGAACTGGAATAAAAGTGGCTGTAGTTCCAGAAAGGAAGCCGCTTGTAGCAGGAAGAAAGACTCCATAGCAGTGACTCACAGGAGAACCAGTGACCACAGACTAGCTGAGCGAGAGGGGAGGAGGGCATGAGCCTGCACAGGGACGGAGCTGGGGAGAGGACAGGAGCTGACAGGGGTACTGCTGTACGTGGGGCGCGGCAGCCAGGGACGCCCTTCATTGACCCAGGAGAGATGCTGCTGTGCGAGCACACCGCCGTGAAGAGAGGCTGCTGAGGAGCGATCAGATGAGGCGGTGTCAGAAGGCTGGTCGCCCTCAGTGAACCCTCCTGCCTTCCCTGGCCAGGGCCCTCCTCAGAGGACAGTGTCCTCACCCCCGCAGCACACAGCTCGCTATTCTGTAACGGGTTGGCTGCCACCCTCCCCCACCTGACTCGGCTCTCCAGCCCTGGCCCGGCGGCTCTGAGCAACTGTCGGCTGAATGAGGCAAAGGAGTGGAGGTATGCATACCCCAAAGCCACACCAGAAGCCACCCTGTGTGCAGCCAGAGGATGTGGGAGGGGACAGGTTCTTTGCCTCTAGAAGACAAGGGGAATGAGCTGACCTTGCCTCTGGACCAGGGTACCAGTGGCGCGGGAGAGGCAGGCCTGTGGACTGTTGACTGAAGTGATGAGGCCAAAGCAGAAGGCTAGAATAAGGAACAGGGGGGCTGTCTGTTGGTCCTGGCGTTGTCACTAATGGGTTAGGGACCCTGGAGAAACCACTTACTGTGCCTTGCCCTTGTAAAATTAGGGAGATTGGGGAATCAGGAAAGACGTCTGGTTCAGAAACCCAGTTGCTCATCACCTAGGGAGCTTTACACACACACACACACACACACACATGCACGCACACGTGCGTGCAGCCCTCCCTCCACCTCCCTGCCCTGAATCAGAAGCTCTGGCGTAGGGTCTGGGAATTTACATTGGTTAATGCTCCTGGGTGCTTCTGATGGTCTCTGGGACTAAAACCCTGGAGGCATTTTCAGCACTAAGGACAAAGATTTTATGAAATGCACACATATTTAAAAGAATTTCTCCTATACTTTTTCTTAGAGGGGCTTCATGCTTTTCTCTCCTCAGAGATGTGACAGAATTGACTTTACTTACTTGCAGGCAGTCAGGCTACCACTCAGCCCGTCAGGCACACCCTCCTGGGGCTGCTCAGAGGCTCAGCGACAGGTGGGGGAGCCAGGGCCGCTGTACACACGCTCACAGGCACAGCCAAGAATGGGGACAGGGAGGGTATGACCCGGAAGCTGGCTAGGTTAGACTGAGCCGACCTTCCTTCTAGGGTTCCTCTGGGTCCAGGCAGTGACTTCAGGTTCTATGTCACAGGCACAGGGTGACTAGCGGTGGCCTCTCAGTACGGCACTAGTCCCATCTACACCACCTCTCCCCAGTTCTGCTGGTTATGTTTCCATTGTCCTAACAGTGTTTTCCAACCGATGTGCTGCAAGAATTTTTAAAACATGCAACACCTGACTATTTACTCAGGAGTACTTACCTTTTTCCCCTTAGATTGTCAAATAAAAATATAACAACAGCCAACACGACAATAGCCATCCAGTGTGAATGAATCAAAATTACACTGATTTTTTTTTTGTCTGATTGGCAAAAAATATAGTTTTTGGTGTGCCACAGAATTTTAGTAATTAGTTTACATGCACCATGAGGTGAAAAAGGTTGAAAATCTCTGTCCTAACTTAACAGTAGCTTCCAGGTAGAAAGTGCACTGATCCCTTCCCTCGCCGTGTGCCAGGTGCTGTACCAAGTGCTTTGCAAGCCCTGTTACCCTGAATCCTCACAAGCACCATGTGGCGTGCTCTTCCTATCTTCATTTTACAGATCAGAAAACAGGGTTTGGAAAGTTAAGCCATTTGCCCAAGGTCAGGGAGCTAGGAGCCAGAATCTAAACCTGGACACTGATCTCAAGGACACAGGCTCTCTTCTAACCTATGACAGTTTCTGTTTCCTATGTCTCCTGGCATGGGGCGTGTCCCACCTGCTTTCTCTTAGAGAGGAGAGTGTGGGACGTGTCCCCTGCCTGAGTCCGCCGCCCCGGGGCATGTGCTGGCTTACCTTGGCCAGTCTGGCTCGCTTGATGAGGTCGTTGAGTTTGCGCACTGCTGCCTTCTGGGGGAGGCTCTGTATATCTCTGAAGAGGTCCTGGGCCTCAGCCTCAAAGAGCCTGCGGTTGTCAGTGTTCTGCAGGGGCTGTGCCCAGAAGGAGCCGATATAGACGCGCAGCACCTCGGGCGTGTTGATGACCTTGCCCAGGGACCACATGAGGGCCCCATAGACACGCATCAGCTGCTGCGTGTCCACTTGGTCGGCCTTGTTCAGCACCACGCGGATCTTGTCATCCTGGCCTCGGAAGGCCTTGATGGCCTCTGAGAACTCGTCTGAGATGTCCAGTTTGTGAGCATCAAAGAGCAGGATGATCCTGTCAACCCGCTCAGCGAACCACTGCAGGACCTGGCAGAAGTCGTACCCTAGGTAGAGAGAGGAGCATGTCAGTACAGCCACTGCTGCGTGTGGGAGGCAGGTTTAACGAGAGGGCCTGGGAATCACTGGTTTCCAGCAGTGGCCAGGGAGAGAGCCTGTCTCCAAGCTGGAGGCTGTGGGGTCCTTGTGACCTGAAAATCACTTCAAACGGGGTCCCCTGGATTGGATGGATCTAGTTAATGTTGGGGTTCCTAGGAGTCCCTCTGTGGGAAGAAACAGGGAATAGAAAGGGGCTCACGGTCAGTTTGGGCATTGTTTGCTTCTGTATCTATAATTTCATTTAGTCCTCACAAGTCTCTTATTTCACCTACCACTGTCCTTTGGATCAATGGAAAAGATAATCGGTGGCTCTATAAAACCACAGGCCATTCTTACTTCTATCAGAGTCTCACTTTTCTGAAAGTATCAGAGATGGAGAAGGAAGAAAACCTGGAAGCCACTTGGAGCACCACTGGGCACCCAGTGAGCACAGCAAAAGAAGAACTGTCTCCTCTAAACCCAAGTTTTTAAGAGTGTTAAGGAGGTCAAAGGTTAGGCTGGCTGCAAATGTGACCGATATTTATCATTTGGACTATTTATATCTTAAGGATGTTGTAAATATTTTTAAAAATTTTGTCTCACAGCCATTCTATGAAATGATCTCTTGCCAATTTCTTCTTTAAAATGGCTAGGCTCACCACCAATTCTGTTTAGTTTGTTTTGGCCACATACCAATATGCTTCAAATCATGCAGTTAAGTCAACACTCCGCTCAGCCTGCGGTCAAGACTTCAGGCATTTCCCCAGGGAGCAGAGTCCCGTGAAAAGCAAACAAGGGGAGGCCAGTTGGACAAGGTTTATTTTTAATCTCAGCCTGATTACCGGTAGCTGTGGAATCAGAGCTTGGATGGCACCTTCCTCGACTCCTGCTTTAGTCCTTGTGTCCCTTATTTTATATTTTGAAAACTTCCAAACACCTAAAGTCCAGATAATCATAACATGAATGTTGATATACTCACCAGGTAACTTTAATAAATTATGACACTTGGCCTTGTTCGCTTCGGATTCTTTAAAAAATTTAAGTCTAGTTTATTTATATATAACAGACGAACTAGATTTTCACTTGTCAAAATAGGCCAATCTCTGAAAAACTCGTGAGTGAAAAAATCAATTTTAAAAGGATACGGGCAGTGTGGTAACATTCAGGTAAAATGCTAAAAAACAAAGCAATACACAAGAGCCTGTGGGTACATCCTGCAGCACAAATACAAAGACATTAACACCCATCTAGGGATATTGGGAGCTAGGGAGCTAAGATGGATGAGAGCACATCTAGAGGACAGTGGTCCACTAGACAGAAATAAAGGGGGTCCGTGCACTCAAGCTTCCATGAAATTTGAAGAGCAGGTGTAAGGGGAGGAGTGGAACAAGCAAACTGGACACAGACACATTTTAGTTAAGAAATGCAAATGTTCAGCAATGCTGAAGCCCCCTGTGCACCAGTCCCCGAGCCTTTTACTCAACCCTCGCCCACAAAACCACCGCCCAAAAGTAGTAGTTATCGCCCAAATGCATTATTTATCATCACCACGCCTGTCGGTGTACTCTCAGGGCACGTGGTTCACTTCTCTATTCTGCCCCACTCCCTGATTCCCTAGGGGTGAGCAGGACAAAGGCAGTTCTCGGAAAGGGGGCCCCAGGTCACTTTCATTGCTGTCAGCAGCTGGTTGAGAACAGAGAAAAAGCAAAGGCCTATTGAAAGGGTCACACGGTGGCATGAAGATTCAGAGTCAAGATTTCACTCGGAGCTCTGTCCCTGTGAGGCCAGAACAAGCTGTCTCCCAAGGTAACAGTGAGTGGTTCTGTCATCCAAGACCAACTTGTGGGCCAGATCCCCAGATCCCAGTCGTAGATCCCCAGCAGATGAAGGAGGGTTCCCTAGGAAGACACCTTAGAACCACCCTCCAGAAGAACCTGCCTGTCCTTGCTTTTCCTATAGTGAGGATTGACTTCTCTCTCTGACCCAAACATCCTCTCACTCAGTCTCGTTTGTGACAAAAATCAGGTAGCTGAAGGTTCAGAAACAGGTTAAAGAAAATCTGTGTCGGTTTTACACCGAAATAGACACGAATTGTGGTTTGGTGAACACCCTTCCTGTTGGGGTAGGGGGTTCCTTATGGGCCAAAGAAGCTGCAGGCGTGGCAGACAGTCCCTCACCTCACACATTGGCAGGTTGGGGTACATACAGGTGGTCTAGAATCAGACAATTGTCACCTTCCGCCAGAGTAGGCTGTAGACTCCTGAGGGAGTGGTGCAGACACAGAGAGAAAGAGACTTTATTCATAGTGGTGGTGGCTTCCTGACCTAGTTTTTCAACCCAGTTCTCCAACGTTCTCATTAATTCTATGAATGACCTTATCTTCTGGAATATTCTTTTTCCGCTTAAGTCAGCCAGAATCAGCTTCTTTGGTTTGCTACCAAGAGCCCTGATTGGTAAATAACTTTTCTCATATTTAAATATTTCTGGATTCTGGATGCTTCTTACAATCAGTGTCAAAGGAAACTTGCCACGCCAGCAACTGCTGCCACTGGTGCACCTGCAAACCCAGCCATGCAGACACGCATCTCTTCCTCTGAGGGCTGCCTGGGTTGAGGGGCTGGTCTTGATAGAACCACAAGTGTGTAAGCTTTAACTTAAATTTGGGTTCCTAATAGTTTTATATTTTAAAAGTCTTTTAAAAATACTTCATTCCAATGCTTTGGTGCAGCAGAAAAGCTACTGGGCACTGAGCTGCCAGATGTAAGTTTACTATAAGTGAATCCATTGCTCCTCTCTGGAGAAACGGCTGCACATGCATATTCTCTTGTTTTAAAATAACAATGAGCCCTGACTGGTGTGGCTCAGTGGATTGAGAGCCTGCCTACCAACCAAAAGGTCACTGGTTCAACTGCCAGTCAGGGCACATGCGTGGGTTGTGGGCCAGGTCGCCAGTAGGGGGCACACAAGAGGTAACCACACATTGCTATTTCTCTCCCTCTCTTCTTCCCATCCCTTCTTTCTAAAAGTAAATAAATAAATCGTTAAAAAAAATAAAATAAGAATGAGAGCTTAATAAGATTTAAGTAGTACAGGTAAGTAGAACAGTGTTTGTCACGGGCAAGTGTAAAAGAACCACTTGTCAGACATCAGGCAATGCAATCAAAGGTGAAGAAATCACCTGTGTCCCAGAATACAGCAGAGAATTATCAAAGCTGGGAAAGGCTGGTTTACTCAGGTCCCCCGCCCCCACCACAGTTTTTATTATTATTCATTGGCATTAAGTTTATTCACATGGTTGTGAAACCATCATCACCACCCCCAGATCCCTTTTCATCTTCCCAAACTGGAGCCCTGTACAGGATTTGTTTTTCTGTGACTGGCTTAACTTCACTTCAACATAATGTCTTCAAGGCGCATCCATGTTGTAGCATGTGTCAGAATTTCCTTCTTTTAAGGCCGAATAGTTCTGCTCAATTATTCCATCTTCATGATATAAGATGGGCACCAAATACCTATCTACCAAGAGGTTCTGACTGATTTTTACAAAATGATTTAACTTATGATATTTAGTCTGCTTGAATAAAGGCAGAAAGAAAACAATGATTCGGAAGGAGTTAGTGACCACTGATTCTCAAAGTGTGGTCTTATCAGAATCCAGTAAGAGGCTTGCTTAAAACTTAGACACCCAGTCCCTCCCTAGAACCCCAGAATCTAAATCTCTGGGGTTGGGCTTGGTGAGCTGCATTTTATAAGCTCCCCAGCCGATTCTGCTGCCTGGTAGAGCTTGAGAACCACTGCCTTAGGGTGAATACTAAGGCATGGATGGCAGATATGTCTATATTACTGTTAGTTGGCAAAACAAAACACATTTAAAGTAGTTTATTTTTATTATAAAAAAGTTATCAATAGATGGTTAGATGGTACATCATAGAATTGAAGAAAAAATGGAATATGAATCTGCTAATTTGAAGATGGACTTTAAAATTCATGAAAGCTCCCCTATCGTTGCTCATGCTGGGCCTTGGCCCTGGCAAGTCGTTCCTCTCTGGTTTAGGACCAGGAAGTCCAGCCCGAATCCTCCTCATTCTTCAAAACATGTGGGTAACCCTTGATACCACTTACATACTACTGAACCCTTACATACTACTTAACTTCTTTAAGCCCCAATTTTCTCATCTGTAAAATAAGGTTATTGAGTGATTTCATAAGAAAATGCTTTTAACATGCTCAATATAGTCTTGAGACTTAGTAAACTTTCAATCAGCCTAAGCTGTGTTATTATTTCTGCTCTCTCCTCTGCTGTAGGTAGACTTAAATGTTCCCTCTCCTGAGCTCCCAGAGCCCTCTGCTCATGCCCCATCACACCACATTACACAGTGTGTTACCATCAGATGCATGTACGGGGCTCTCTCATTAGACCATAAATTCTTTAACTGCAAGGACCATCACGTCTTCCTCATGGTTGCACGAGACAGTGGTTATCAGTGTGGGCTTTGGGCTCAGGCTGCCTGGGATCAAATCCTGGCTTCATGACTTACTAGTTTTGTGACTGGGACAAGTTATTTAACCTACTCTATGCCTCCTTTCCTTATCTGGAAAACAGAGTTAATAATAGTATCCACATACCTCATGGGGCCCCAGAGTTAATATATGTGAAGCATTTAGAATCATCTTGGCACCTGGAAAGCTCACCAAAATGTTATCTACTAGTTATTTTTGAAATTTTTGTATCCAGTGCCCAGTGCAGGGTGCAAGGTGCAATAAATATTTGTTGAAGGATGCCTGGCTGGGCAAAGTATAGTCAGCAGCCATGGAAAGAAACAAAATTAATTAGTGTAAAGGTGACAATGCAACGATGCATGAGCCAACTGAGTGGACCAGTGCTCAGAATATAGCTAATAGAAGATACCCACTGAGCAGGGAACCACTCATATTTTATAAATAGAGCTAGTGGACTCACAAAGACCCA